TGCCCAGCAGACCGGCCCACGGCTGAAAATGGTTGCTGACCCCTGGTTTACATCAAAAGCTTTTCCCTCTCCTTCACCCCCCCCCCCATAATCCCTTCCGAGCATTCACAAGTGACAGGTAAGAACGGTGTTACAAGTGCATTGTTTTGTCACCTCAATATGTTTGAGAAGACTTGAGTGGTTGTTTCTTACATCAGGAAGTGAATGCGTTAATGGTTATATTTATTTGACAGGAACAGAGGTTATCGAGGCTGCTGCTGGGATTTACGTGACGCGCCCGCTGTTTCCTGTCTTAATGCTATGCATAACTTTGTAAGACAGGACCTTTAATAAAAGTAACTTTTGCATTCATGTGGCCGTGTGTTGCGTCTTTTATTCTAACGTGGTCAGTTGACCTTGGGCATTGCCAGCATGACGTGTCTGGGCATGTCTTGGTCTCAGGCATTTTCTGCCGGGCTCAAACCCTTATTTCTTAGTTGCACCTTGAAAGGGATGTTGATTAACTCCTGGGCATGTGATGGTTGCGAAGACCCAGTAGATGGCAGTAGTAACGTCATGAAAATGAAACATTAACCGACGACCACACATAGTTACAACTTGTCTATCTCGGAGTCGAGTGTGGATTTCATGCTCTTTATTCAGCTCATAGTAGCGAGGAATGAATGTTCCCCCAAAATATCTGCTTTATATACATTATTTACACAATGGGCCGCACGTGATTAGCTAATTCCGGGATTCTCCTGTGGGCCAATCAGGTTGCGGATTCACTTCCACCTGGAGCTGGATTGGGTGGCTTCTGCGAACCAAACATACTGCTGCATTGTTCTAGGACCAATCAGACTGCTGCATTGTTCTAGGACCAATCAGACTGCTGCATTCTGAATCCTATTGTTCTAGGACCAATCAGACTGCTGCCTTTTGGATCCTATTCAACTCAGTACATAACGCCCCTCCCCTCTAAGTTCCAGTCCTGCCCGGGAGGTTGCATTCATAGTCCTCAAGGTACGCCGGCTGCCTACGTATGCGTTGCGGCCTGGGGTGTTCCCTGATCAGGGGTTACATAACACGATCCTACACATTTTTTGACGGAAACAAAATCTATAATAATAATAATAATGAGGAGGATGAGGATGACCTAGGGGAGATGGGGCTTCCCAACCTGGGGAGGTAGCCCATCTAGGCAAAGAAAAACTCTTGATATTAAAATTGTGGCGTATCTTTGGGAGAAGAAAAGGCTAAGGAGTGAACCCTACCCAAACCTGAGTCCTGAAGATGGTTGGATGGCACCTTGTATGTCTCCTTCCAGCAACTCCTACAGCCAAGCTAGCGCCAAATGTCTTGCTCTGCTTTCCGAGGCCGGGGCAGGTCTTGTCGTCCGGGCAGCCCAGGACCTCCATGCACAATGTCTAGGCTTGTGCCCCAGGGACGTCACTTCACTCCTGCTAACTCAGTGGTTTTAACTTCACCCCCAGAGGCACACTCCGTTGTCTCTCGAGACAGATGGATGCCAGTAATAATAATAATGATAATAATAATAATAATAATAATAATAATAATAATAATAATTTATTACTTATACCTTGCCCATCTGGCTAGGCTTCCCCAGCCACTCTGGGCAGCTTCCAACAAAACACTAAAATACAATAACCTATTAAACATTAAAAGCTTCCCTAAACAGGGCTGCCTTTAGATGTCTTCTAAAAGTCTGGTAGTTATTTTTCTCTTTGATATCTGGTGGGAGGGCGTTCCACTGGGTGGGTGCCGCTACCAAGAAGGCCCTCTGCCTGGTTCCCTGTAACTTGGCTTCTCGAAGCGAGCGAACCGCCAGAAGGCCCTCGGCGCTGGACCTCAGTGTCCGGGCAGAACGATGGAGGTGGAGATGCTCCTTCAGGTATACTGGACCGAGCAACAATCAGGGGACACGTTCAAGCACAAGAATAAACTTGATCCACCAGGATGACCATTCTTTTGCAATGATCACAAAGACATGGCACCAAAGAATAATAAAATAAATAGCTAGATGTGTCCGCCCCAAAATATACTTTGGATGAGGATAAATTGTAAACGTAGGTAAATAAGAAGATTGTTGTGTTCCAGGTGCCAATGCATCCTGTCTGGCCCAGAGCTTCCTGTGGAAGCGCATGGCACAGCCAAGGGCATCTTGGCACAGGCAAAATAGCCAACCTGTGTAGAAAAATGTAAGTAACTGGGAGTGCCCAAGAAAAACACTGCTCTCCCTACATAACCAGGTACAAGTGCACTATTGGAAATAAATGTTTCTCTAGACTAGAGGGGCCCATAAATCAAAAGCGTGTATGTATAATTCACCCCTGGCTCGCACCTGCAAAATGGGCCCAAACGCAGGTGGAATACAAGGGGCTTAAAGAATTTATTCCTGCCCAGGTATTTTGGCTATAGAATGATCTTATGAATCATACACACCCACCCACACCAATGCATTATCTCAGGTTCACACACCTTAAAATGATGCGCCCGGTTTTCTGCATGGACTGCTAGTTATAAAAGCATTTTCAGTGATCCACACACTGCATACGGCAACGTATCCTATTAGAAACCATTGACAAAGCCATGCACATTTTGATTGTATGTTTTCAAATCATTTAATGTGAAAAAGACAAAAAGCAGGTTTCATAACTGCTTTGGCTGTACATCATTTCTTGTGTACACAAACCCCACTCCCACTTCAAAATGTACTGAAATAAATTCAGAGATAACACAAACTGCGGAAGTGTAGAGTCTGTGTGTGTGTGTGAGCACATCTATCTATATTACTTAAACTGAAATCACTCTGAGATCACTTATGTGAGAAGAATAATCCTCAAGATAAGACTAAGGGGCTGCGCAACAGGTAGGGAGATCTGTATGTTGTTTTTGCTACCTGTTCTGTAATTTTCTATACTGTAAGGTCTGCAAGGAAGACTTGCTGGAAAAGGTTCTTCGGTTTCAAGCCTACTGATGTATGACATCAAATGCAATTTTGCAAATGCAAAGATAGTCTAGTTCTTACTTTTGAACACTGATTAGTAACCCCACAGACAAATAAATTATAATAATGCTAGTACAAGACATGATCACATCCAGATTGTGAAAAACACTCATTGCATTCCACTGGAAGTTCATGACAGCCATTCTTTTTTTTAATTTTATTTCCACCCATCTTCTATAGCTTTCTGAGCTTACGGTAGTTTGCCTTTTCCAAAAGTATTTAAAACAAAAAGATCAAAGCTTTTATTTGAAATATATACCTCTATTGCCACTATGGCAACATAAACAAAAGCTTCAGCACCCCTCCACGCCCCACTGTCACAAGGTGTATCTTCTCTCCCCACTGCCATAAGAAATATTTGTTGTTAAAATAAATTAATCAGCCAGTTGTCAAATCAAATATTATAAACTATAACAAAATATAATAAACTATCATCTGTGTATTTGGGGAAACACATTTGTGTAGCATTAATTACATTTTAAGACTATTTTCCAAATATTTATGGAAAAATGTATTTGGTACTCATGCGCCTTTAGAAATACGAAACCGGAGAAAGTGTATGTCATAATGTTGGAAAATATTGATGTAACCAAGGATCTCACCTTAAGGACACAGTCTGAAGCCTTTGTGATTTTTGGTTTGAAACCTGGTGATTTTTTAAAAAGCTCTAACTGTGTTGAATGTGGATTTGACTTCTCTAGCAAAGCATGGAGGGGAATAAGGGGAAGAGAAGATGATAAGCAACAGCATTACCCTTCAAGTGCTACACAGATGAGGAAGCAAAAAATGGGTCATTATGTATATGCAGCACACTGGCATTTCATACAGACTGTGGCCGAAGTCGTTTCTCTGCCTCCTAGTATATTTTGTACAGGACTATTTAAATGTGGCTGTCTAAACTGTTTTGTTAATCACTCATTTCAGGCGAAATGGAATATGTACATTAACATGCTTTACAGAACTGCCACACCAAGTGGCAGAGGCGGGCAGGAAGCTTTTGCGGTTTTATAGTAAGAGGTCACAACCCAACACAGAACTGAACACATTTAAGCCCCCGGATTTGGGCTTAGGCATGCCAAGGTCCATGTTGAGTTATGGCCAGCGTTTGTGAAACCTTCAAAAGCTGATGGGGGGGGGTCTAATACGCAACCAAGTAGCGCCAGTGGTCAGACAATAGTACTGATGGCATAATTCAGTATCCTGGGCATGTAAACAGTGTGTTTAAACCAGGATCTGCCTTATTCCATAAGAATGCGGCAGGTGCATGGGCTGAATTTTTGAGCAACTAAAGTGGTGTGGGCAAAGACTGCTACACCCTCTTGCCACTGCAGGCTTACTTTATCAGTCTGTGGCTAGTACTGCAAGTGAGCTTGGCTCAGAGCAAAACACTTGGGGTGAGGGAGAAAAGTAGTGGCCAGGGAGGGATGACTTCCATCGTATATTCTTTTTGCTGCCAAAATAGGACCCATCCCTTTCTTCCTTTGTAGCAGATCAAGGTGTAAAAACACGTGGTTCTGTCACCAGGTGTTCACTCTGACCCTAGGTGGCAGTTGAAGGATGTGGCAGTTGATAAGTTTCAGCTAAAAGCCCCACACTTGTATTTTCAATTCAGATCAATGTATTGGGCTAAACTCTTCATACGAAGAATGAATGACCAAGCTTATTAAATAAAACCAGTACGAAAAAGCAAACTAGCCCTGACAATTGCTGCCTGGAACAGAATTGGTGTTGTTTCTGCTTTACAAGGAAAGACGTAATTATTATTTTGTTAGAAGAACATAAAACCTAACTTTACAAGAACTCAGCTTCTTCTCACTATGACTCTATTCCAAAGCAACATTTCAAATGTGCTATCAGCATCAGAAGGGGAAAAAGAAAAGCTGTGTTATTGAAATGAACGTCAGCAGGATGAACTGGCTTAGGGGCCAAGATGAAACAAAACAAAAGGAAAAGGAAATCAGTTTTAGGATGGTATAAATTGGCAGCTTCTTGAAATCTCAACTGCCACCTCCTTTAATGGTCAGTGTCTGTGATCAGGTTTTATGATTGCAATTCTGGTCTTCCTGCAGTGCTTAATAAGTGTGTTTTCTTCAAAAAGAACCATCATTTCCAGCAAGCCTCTAGTTCTCCTTAGGTATAGCTATGAAAATGCTACATACAAGGAAATTGCAAGTCCGATTTGCTATGGAGCTCCTTAGTACATATCACAAATTTCCACTGTTTTGTTTCTGAATTAAGGCTTCACCAAGTATATAGTACCATTTAAAAAATGGTGCCACACTCCTTTCATGTGGTCCTGCTATGCTGTAAACGGTAGGCCTGCATCAGTTATTTTCGTGGGCAAAATAGTATCGAACTGGTGGTCCCGGCAAGTCTTCTTCACCATCTGTTTCTGGAGCAAATGATACTGTAAGGTCCACATACCTCTTATTCGCTGCTGGTTTCACAAGTTTTTGCATCCTACAAGACAGGATACAAAAATCAAGTATCAGCAGCAAATCATAAATGAACCAAGCTCTCCTGAAGTACCACAAACAAATTCAAATTGCAACCCATATGAGAGAACTTGTTAAAGATGCAACGAATCTGGATCTGGCAAGTCCTGCATTCCAAGACACCACAGTTCTAGAAGGGAGATGGCTAAAGTTGATTTTATGAACTGTGGGGCTAGGAGGGGGGAGAGAATAGAGTTAATTAAGTTTTCATATCTTGCTTTGTCCTGCTTTTGTCATGTGTTTCGGCAAGTGATGCAACTGGGAAGGGCAAAATGCTGTGATTCAGTATGCACAGAGGAGGAGATATGGCAATGGGATGTTACTAGCAAGATGAATAGGTGGCTTAAATAATATCGGGCTACCCTCCTCTCTAGCCCTTCTCTCACCTGCCATGCCAGCAGTGCTCTCAATCTTAAAATAATGCTGTTCAAAATACCAGGGTAGTGAATTGGAAAACCTCTGCCATTCAGAATCTGATCCTCAATGAACAAGCTGACAGAGCATGCACCAAACAAGATCTGGGAAGAATCATGCTATCTGTGAGCTAATATACTGCATACCCCCTTCAGCTTTACTATTTAGTCAATACTTACGTCAGCTTTAATCTTTTGACATGTCCAGGCATTACAGGAACATAAAGCATTTTAACTCCCTGAACCACCATAGTTGGCTCAATTCCGTATTTCTCCTGTAACACACAGTATATGACAATTTATTTAAAAAAAACAGATTGCACTTGAGAAAAAAACAAAACAGCTCTTGTTACCCCAAATAAAATCAGGAGACCAGAAGATCCCCCCCCAAAAAAACCCTTAAGGGGGAAAGCGAGAGAAGGACTTGTGTGAAGGAAAAGAGACTGAAAATGCTCCAAAAACAGTCTAAACTCACCAATACAACAATAAGCAAATACAAAAGGAAAGAAGACACACAACAGTAAAAAAGCAAGGCTAGAAATGAGGGAAGAGAAACAGAACCATCTGGACAGGAGGCAGACAGGGGACTGGGAATCTGAATTTTCTGCCTGTGGATGCTAGGTGGCAGTTCTCTAGGAACCAAAAGTTCCAGTAAAAAAATGAAGTAGACCTGACATGTTTCCCCACTCCATATGCTACAGAACATGAACCTCCATAGACAGAATGGATTACAACTTTTGTAAAGTAGTAAATTATATGGGCTGTACACCACACTGCAATCCACCAGAACGAAAAACAGCAACACTATCTCCTCCATCTGTTTCTACTGCCTATTTATCACAAATAGCTTACTTTGACAGCATTTATGAAGTCCAAGAGTGTGAAATCATCTTTCCCATAAATAGTCCATCGATCCCAGATTGTAAAAGATATTCCATTTCTGTCAGAGAGCAAGAATGTAAAACACTTTATCCAAGACACTGTGCTGCAGCACATTTTTCAATCATTTACTATCAGTTAATAACTAAAAGGTTGAACACAAGCTTCCCACCACAAAGCATAGCAAAAGAGGAAACGGGTCACTTTTCTATAAATTTCCACGCTCGTGGGTGTCAAATTGACACTGCCTGTATAGCCAGGAGGAGTCATTATCCCAGATACACCACCTGCCAAAATCTGCTACTTGAATACACCCATTGCTGAATCCTTCATATGTGCTATTTACCTTATTTCAGTTTTTCTCACTTCAGCTGTTTCTGTGAAGACAATTATTGGAATGGCCAAGTTGAAAAAGCAGTTTTTGTATGCTTGAAAGGGGTAGCCACCCACAATTTTGATCAATTCCAAAGCAACCTAGGGAAGAAATGTAAGAATTGGAAAAATTTTGCAGTAGCTAACAAACAAAGAACTAAAGAAGATGTAGCTGTTCTGATCTGTACAAGATGCAACATGAACCAAAGTAGTCTGGAATCAGTCTGGAAGATCAGAAAAAAATCTCTGAATTTAAACCCAACAGTGTGCCCCAGGCTGCTCTTTAATCCATTAACAGTTAGGAAGGAATATGTGATAACGAGGAAAAACTGCAGCAAATGTTTCCATTTTCCCACCCCATAAATTGCCTATATCACCTCTTTCCTACAGCTGACATGCTGACTCCATCAAAGGAAAATTAAGGCCAAGAATTAAAATGAGACTACCTTCTATTCCCATGACAAACAAACATTGCTAACAGGAAGAGAAGAGCCTTCTGCCTTGCAACATTTGGCCAATCCAGCAGAGAAGCTAGCATTCGCGAAAAATGCGCCCTCACTCACCAAGCCAGACACAGCCGCTGTGGAAGTTGCAATGGCAGGGATAATCTTTCCGGCAATCCGTTTTGTTTTGAGTCGATCTGCTGGTTCAATGTTATACATTTTGGCTCGCAGGTTTGAAGCTGCTGTTATAAAGTCTATGTGCCCGTTACTGTCATCATCCTTTTCAAAAGCAAGTTCCTTCATTTGTAAATCATCTGTTCGGAAACAAATTAATTCATTGTTTAGGAATCTGTGGTCTTTTAGTTCACAGAATCATAGAAATGGAAGGAGTGCCAAGGGTCATCTAGTCCATATGTGGTGGGAATGTAAGAAGGTGAAAGGTTTCTGGGAATTGATATATAATGAATTGAAAAAGATGTTGAAATATACATTTGTTAAGAAACCAGAGGCTTTTCTTTTAGGAATAGTAGGAAATGAAATAAATAGAAAGGATTGCAAACTTTTCCAATACGCAATAACAGCAGCGAGAGTTTTATTGGCCCAAAAATGGAAACAGGAACAACTACCGATGCTAGAAGAATGGAGAATGAAGCTGATGGATTATGCAGAACTGGACAAATTAACAGGGAAGATTAGATATTTACAAGACCACAAGTTCATCTAGGATTGGAGAAAATTTACAGATTATTTGGAATGTATATGTGATAAGCAAATAACGCTAGTGGGTTTTAAAGAAGCTCTGTGAATGTTTGAGAAATATTGTAATAGAACAAAATATGAGGGAGAGGGCATATATAAAATGCAATACAAAAATTAAGAAATGTGTAATTAAAAATTTGAATAATGGATGATGATCAGAGAGGCTGAAGGAAGTCTAAAAGAGAAAATATGTGATAAACTGTGATTTGATATTATAAATATATGTTGGAAAACTAATAATTTTTTATTTTTTTTTTAAGGGTCATCTAGTCCAACACCCTGCAATGCAATTTAATGAAATACATTGTTGGTTTGGTTCAATGAAAGCCTTCTCCATCTTGTGAGTAGATTATATTAGCCCATTTTGGTACTGGGTTCAGGGAGGCTCACCTGGCGCCACCATTAGATATGTTTGGCCTAAGTAACAGTTTATTTCGTTTTGCGGTCTGGGTTCCTTTTACTTATATTCCTTGGTGTCTTGTATTCCCACCTACCCTGCTTATCTGTTCAGTGTGTTATGAGTTTAATGTGCTCATGTTGATATTCTCTGCCTTGAGTGATTCTATTTGAGCTAATGGTTCTATCTGAGCTAAAAGGATCTGATATAAATATATTGATTGGAAATGTATTGTAACTTTTGAATAAATGGTTTTTGAATTATTAAACAAATAAATAATACTCACTTTTTGTAGCTTCATTGGCCAATATGGCAGTCTCCAACTGAAGTACAGCATTCCTTTCATCCTCACTGCTTATTGGAATGGGATCTGGTTTCCTCACTGTTTCATCTGTTTGTACAACCTGAGAACATCAAAAGTAAATAGAATAAATGTTAGTGTATGAATCTATTTCTGTACAATACCTTGATTTATTGAAGCAGATGGAGTTATTCATCAATAAATAACGTTTTAGTCAAATAGAGAAAACCTGTATTTTTCAGTTGCAATATTATGTAAAATGATAATCTGAAGAAGTGTGCATGCACACGAAAGCTCATACCAAGAACAAACTTAGTTGGTGCTACTGGACATATATTTATTTTTTTAAATGTAAAATGAGGGAACATTTTCAGCCTGGTGGCCTAGATCCTGAGGTCCCCCACTCCAGTAGCCACTTTGACAGGTGGGGCCACTCACCTGTCATCACCATGACACCAGATGACCCATTTTTCCTTTGCAATGTGGCTTGAACTCAGGAGGCACTGCAAAGGAACATCTCCCCAGCCAATTCAAGTGGGGCTTGGCAACATTGCTGATAATTTCAAGCCCTACTTGGACCAGCTACATTCCAGAGTTTCCAGTCAAAAAATCCCAGGTGTAGCTGATCCAAGCAAGCTTTAAGTCACTGCCAATTAGCTGGCTGGCACCAACTTCAAGCCTAAATTTCATCATGGATCAGCAACACCCCAGAGCTATGCATTGCAATTTACAAAGCACCAACTTCAAGCCTTTAAGGCTCTCATGATTCTTCCTTTGCAGCTATGTCAAAGACTCCGGTCATATACTTGAGATCATGTGCCGGTGTGAGGGAGGGGGCCCAATCAGGTCCACAGGCCAGAAGTGACCCACAACTGTTCTAAAACACCACATTTTGCAGCAATACTAAAGTAGTTTATTAACTCTGTCTAAAAATCAACAGTACAAACATAGATGGAACCTATGAGCCTACAATTAGAAACTTAAGGCAGAACTGCATGTGAACTTAAACAGAGTCTAATACTTTCTGTAAATGTGGGGTTTGGCACAAACAGTACCTTCCCAGCACGTCTCCAACAATTTTTGGAAACATGCTTCCTAAGACTATACCACCAAAGGAGGAGCTTTGCGCTAAGTAAACCAGGTCTACCCTAAAGAAATATACTTTACTTTTTATTATTAAAGTTAGTTTTACAAATTTTTGCATCAATTTTAGTAAGCATTTAACCGAAAACCTGGAAATATTTGAATGCTAAATATTAGTACGGAAACACTTGTAGAAGAGGGACGGGGAGCTTGTGGCCATCCAGATGTTGCCAGACTACTACTCCGCTCATCTCTGACAATTGGGCATGCTGGCTGGGGCTGATGGGAGTTGGAGTCCAACAACATCTAAAGGGCCACAGCTTCCTCCACCCTGCTTTAGAGTATTCCAAGCCCTGGCACAAATTACATCAGGCATAGGCAACCTCGGCCCTCCAGAAGTTTTGCAACTACAACTCCCATGATCCCTAGCTAGCAGGACCAGTGGTCAGGGATGATGGGAACTGTAGTCCCAAAACATCTGGATGGCCGAGGTTGCCTATGCCTGAATTACATGATCATATTGTTTACAGCTGCCCTATAAAGGTAAGCCAGAAGCCAAGAGAGAGCAGTGAGTTCATGGCAACTGCTACAACACTGGAGAACTGGGAAGTAGAACTGGGAAGTAGCCTACAGAACATCATGCGTAGGATGAATAAATAACGGATCATCAAGAAAAGGGGAGGAGTGAAGAGGAACATTATTTAAATGAGCTTACTTTGTTAGAAGGCCGAAACTCTTGAATCCTCAGTCCAGAAATGATCTTTAAAATGGTTTCTTCTGACATATCCTGTGTTTTGTTAAAACAGAACCAGTTAGCATGAATGGATGAAACCACATGTCCTCTGCTCTTCAACTTTAAGCCAAAACTAATTAAGAATCCACTTATCCCAATAAACGTCAAAGGAACCTATAACTTATCAAGTGTGTGGCTCATGAACATTTCCTAGCAAACTTTTCTACAAAAGCGGAACCTTGTATACCTTTCCACATTCCAAATAAAACTCATATTCTAAAAAAAAATGCATGTGAACAAATAAATACTGATGGACTAATGGATATCGCTTTCACACCAGACACATAAATATACACAAAGGGAAGTCAATTTTGCATTTATTTTAAGTTAGTCTACAAGTGCATTATTAAAAGTCGAGATGGGCCAGGATACAAATTTCAATAGTCCAGGCAACAAGATTAGATTTCAATGCATCTGCCAAAATACGTTGCAAGAAAGAATTCTATCAAAGTGAAATATCAGGAAGAATAATTCATAGAGGTGGGATATAGGTCTCATAACTTATTCAAAGCATCTTTGGACATACTGAAGCTTCCTGAAGGTAATTCAGTCACTGTCAGTAGCAGGAGTAATGCTTCACTTATCAAAGGATTCTGAAAAATTAACACAGAGAGCTAAACAGTGCAAATTCTACACCCTCCAACTGAAGGCTTACCTTTTCTGTAAAAGGGATACAGTAAATAACTGCAAATAATTTTGCTGTACTCAGTATGAAGCTGTAGTGCCTGGAGGAAAAAGGAGATCGGGGTGGGTTTTTACTCCATTTTCCTGCATTCAGATATCCTGCAAACCTAGCTAACAGTGGGTGGGGTGGGAAGGAGAAAAAATTCACTGAGGAGGTGAAGCAGAGGGGCTGAAAGAACAGGGGGCAAGGTTGCCTTTGAGAAAATGCTTACCTGCTTAGCGTGCTTGCTTTTAAATGGCGAAGATTCAGAATACACCTACTTCAGAGAAATTTCACATAACAAATCCCTTCAGACTACAAATATGAACATATACGTATGAATTACCTGTATGTAATGTATAGCATACAGAAGCGTGAGGTCTAATTATGATGAATTCTTTTTAAAAAGTGAAGAGAAAGAGCTGGGAAAAGATGGGAGATGCAGAGTGATATGACTTAACAGAGGAGAATGCTGTTCAAGCTATAAGGAAGAGTCTGGCAGAAGTCACAAAGCTGGGAGCAAGAGGGAGGAAGAACTAAAGGAAATTGCCTGCTAAATATGCAGCACACATGAAAAATAAAAGTGACAAACAGAGGGAGCAGAACTGGAAAGTTCAAAATAAGAGTGGCAGAGAACCTTCTTTAGGAATTTGACATTGCCAGGAAGTGCTAATATTCCAGACCCAAAATGTAGACTGCTTGCACTTCCTATCTCCTTCTAAATGAAGCAAAAGGAGGGATTACGAGCTGCAGGCCCTGGCACTGCTTCTGAAGGAATGCAGAACCACACTATAGGGATCCTTCAGAGCTCACTGTGGATCATACAGAGACTGGAAGCACAGTGAAGGTTTGCCATATGGAGATGTTGGTTGTCGGAAAGCAGAAAGGGGTAATGTAAGACTTGGAAGTAGAAATGTGCAGTCAATATCTATTTTGCTCAGGAATTGATAATGTTAAATTCGAACTGTCGTTCTTAGTAGATGCTGACAGCAAATCCCCAAAATGCTGTCTAAAGTTGAAATGGAGTTTTGCGTGGACGTGGAAAGTGCCAACAAGAAAACTGGGGGGGTGGGGGGGGAGAGCATAAACAAACATGCACATGAGGCAACTATCATGAAGATATCCAAAGTTTGATGTATGGCAAATACTCAAAGAAAAAACTGCTGCCAAAAGGAAACAAGTCACAAAGTTATGCATTATTTGATGTGGGTGGGTTTCAGATTAGAGGAGTCAACAGATTATTCTAAAGGCCATATAGGTTTTTAGGACATCTTCTTTGAAGAGATCGTCTAATAACACACCTTTTATATGAGTATCAATATGCCCACAAACAGATCATGTGAAGTTCTTTGCCTCTTACAATAACAAAGTCTAAAGAGAGAGATTTACTCACAAAGGATCGTTGATATCAAACTGTATCGGGAAAGGTGGTCTCTTTGGTGACTGCCAAAATAAACCTGGTGGTTTGAAAAAAAGCATTTTGAATCTTAAAAGGATTGAAGTTAAAAATACATCAAACATATCAAAATTAATTTAAACTTTTTCTGTACTTACTGCCATCTTTTAATCGTGTGTCTATGGGAAATGAATGAAGTAACTGGAGTGCCTAGATGGGAAGAAATACTCTCAATGAAGTGAGATAACACACATCGGCACATGTTTACATTACCGAAACCTTGGTAGAAAGCATTTTCATTAGCTATTAAAATATTCAGTTCTAAAACACTTTCTGGCAAATTCGTCCCTATGCAAAATTGTTTTGTGTTCCGTATCTAAGAACTGAAGGAATTAAAGTATGTCTACCAAATGTAGCTCTATCGGAATGCCTTACTCGCCATAGAAGGGTAATTAAAGGCACTTCAAAGATAGACACCTTTGGCAAGACTGGGCTTCCATTCTTTTCAGAATATACTTTTATTCCACCTACAATACAATAATCTCTGTGGAGAGGATACTTGAATTGACAATGCATAAATAAATGTCTTGCTTGTGTACTGTCTACTGCATATGAAACTTAGTAAGAATGTACCACTGGACAAGTTACTGTAGTTATATGTTGTTCTTGTATTTACACGAAAATCAATAAGAATTATTTGGAGTTTTAAAGAAAAGTATGTCTACCAAAACAAGATGACCAATACAATTGACATCATTTCAACATAAAAGATCATCCACTGCTAGTGAAACCACTGAGGTCTTCCCCTCATGTTAAAAGGTTTAGACAACAGCTCAATGAGCATTAAATGCACATTGCAAATTGACAATTTAAATAAATCATAGCATCAGCCACCAAATTAAAACAGATCTCAAATGCTCACCTTATGATTAAAATATTTCTCAAACTTTAATCTTGCTAATTCAACACACTGGGGCCAACTTCTTGGCCTTCTACTAAGGCATTTAATAACTTGGAAAGAGCCTTCCAAACTCTCACCAGACTTTATTCTCTAGGAAAGGGAAAATAAAGATGGAAATGAGAGAACATGCAAAGTCAGCAAACACATTACTATTCATGAAGTATCACCCACGTCACAATTCATTTCCTACTTCCATTTAGATGGAAACCAGTAAACTGGACCAGCCTACTACAGGGGAAGTGAACACGGCACCCTCCAGATTTTTTCAGACCACAAGTCCCATCATCCCTGATGACTGGCAATTCTGGCTGGGGCTGATGTGAGGTGTAGTCAAAAACACCCAGAAGGGAACATTTTGTCTACCCCGATCAACTAATACAATTTGAAACGCATATAATTTTTACTAACTGCTTCTGACAAACAGTGAAACATGCAGAGACTAAAATCAGCAGCTGTAAAATGGAAGTTCCTCAGATTCATCTGCTACTATTTAGAATACCTGCACCAAGCCCTTGAAATTATTCACAATAAGCTTAAAACGCAAATTCCGCCCCCTTCACTTTCCTTTCTAGGTAGAATTAAGTTGCTACTCCGGTCCAAACCTTTGTATACCCCAAGCCTGGACCAGCATGAAAACATAGGGGTCTTAGTTAGATTTCACCACTGTATTAAAATCAGTCCATATTACTAGCTACCTGCAAGGCTCAGCACAGCAAAGTTAAAATGACATCCAGAGTAGCTTTACGCACAATATTCAACATAAAGTTAGCTGTTACCTGTAACACCTCTTCTGCTGATGGATACGTTTGCCAAAACTTGTTAAACAGGGAAGGCTTGTGTGAAAAAGCGCTTTCAAACTAAAAGAAAAGGAGTTATGAGAAAATAGAATTGGATTTCCTTCCCAACTGTGTTTTTTTGGGGGGGTGGGGTATGTTGGTGCCCTTACTGAAATGTGTAGTTCTCCTTCATTTCAGTGCAAGAGAACGTCCCACTGAATTGTGCCCATAATCACAGAATTGTAGAGTTGGAAGGGACTACGAGGGTCATCTAATCCAACCCCCTGCAATATATAATGCTTACAATAACAAACAGACAAACTTGCCTTGTCTCTTGCCCATTGTATTGTGTGCTCAGTGGCAGCTGGGAAAGACTTCAAAGTACAAAATGGTATTTCTTCTTCAGGTGGATCTCGCTACATGTAAAAAAAAAAAGGACAAAAGATCAAAATATATCATATACACATGCAGCTGTTTTACCTCTTGCACTATTTATTTCTAATATCAGATCAATTTCTTTCTGTACTCCAGGGGTAGGAAACCTATGGTCTTCCAGATGCTGATGGACTACAACTCCCAACATCCCTGCCTATTGCCACTGCTGGCTGGTGTTGATGGGAGCTGGAGTCTATCAAGATTTGAAGGGCTCTGGTTCCCCACCGCTGCTATACATACTTGCCTGGGAACAAGTCCCAATGAATTCAACTGAACTTCCTCCCAAGCACTCGTGTACAGTGGATCCTCGGGTTACATTGGCTTCTGGTAACGTAACTCCGGTTGCGAACGCGGCAAATCCGGACGTGTATACTTCCGGGTTTTGCTGTGCGCAGAAACGCACTATAGCACCGCCTTTAGATGCGGACTTTTTGGAGTACGTACGGACCCTCGGAACGAATAAAGTTCGTATCTGGAGGGTCCACTATATAGGTTTGTGCTTTTGGTATCGATTACTGACAGGCTACTATTTTTTTCCTTTACAAATGAATATTTATTTTGAGATATACATATATCCATACATACAATACTCAAATGGACTTGTTACAAGGCCAAGATGGTTTCCAAAAATATTGACCTCACAGAAGCAGATTGCCATAAAAGCCCCAGTAAAAAATACCACTCTATACAATTAATTGAGGTCTTATAAGAACTTTTTACTTCTTGGCATATATACACTTTATTGACTGGCATCCACAAAGCCATGCAGTCAGTTTTGCATGCCCATGGACACTTTGGACTTGTGTCCGTCCCACTCTCTTTGGCACATGGCAAACCACTTTTGAAACCGGGGGGCCTTTCAAAAGCAGTATGTGGGGCTGCACTGGGGTTTGGAATTCAAAGTTTAAAAAAGGGGGGGGGGGAGAGAAAGAGAGAGATCACAACGGGCATGGCCAAGTTGCCGAGTGCACTTAGAGCCAGCTCTGTGATTTGACAATGCATCTACAAGAATGTTCCAAAGGATCACACACTTTATGGAAGAGTAAGGAAGAGATATGGATTCATCAAGCTAAGTACCGTACTTTTCTGTCTATAAGACGCCCCCACGTATAATGTATTTGGGGGGGGCTCAATTTTAAGAAAATGGGGGGGGATGGCACAGAGTTGTTGAGCTTTTCTTGGGGGGGGTGCCCACAGTTGTTGAGCAATTGGGGGGGGGATTGCTGAACCGAACATCACTCACACAACTTGAAAATACTAACAATCGCTAGATCCTGCTCGTGGATGCAACCAATTGCCCATCCCCCCCCTTTACACTACCCATGTATAAGACGACCCCCCCCCTTTCCCTTTATTTTGAAGTAAAAAACCCTCATCTAATACACGGAAAAGTACGGTACATTGTTTTTGTAGATGGAGCACTTACATGACTGTTGTACGATTCTGTTAGGTGAGGCACAATGACTTCTGTATGCCCTTTGGTCCCCATCGTTCCGGAATCTAAGAGAGGGCGCAAGCTTGCCAGACAGCGACTACATAGAAGAAGAAAATAAGTGAATAAAATGAACACATCAGGGTAGATGCCAGAGTGCAGGGGGGAGACAAAAACCATGGTATGACTTCCTAGCTTTGGTTTAATTGGTTTAAAACAAGGGATTTCAGTTGTTGCAGGAATTAACTAGTGGCATATCATTTATCTGTTGCCTTTCCAATTAAAAATAATGCTTGGCAAGTTTAAAACCATTTATATCATCAACAATAAATTAAGAATTACTGATAAATCCAATATAGATTTGGTGAATCAGAAAAATATCTTCAACTTGGCAAGTCAACCCGGGTCAAAAAAGGAAGGTCTTCATAAGGCCAAAGAAAGGCAAGAATGTGGTTTGAGGAAGCATATCATTAATGGAATGCATTATCTCCACGTAATAGGCAAGTATATTAATACCTAAGGCACACAATTCCTGCACCTGAGCAAGATTTTGAAACATATTTCAGACAGTGATCTAAAGCACCAAAACTCTAGATGGAGAAACAGCTCAATGGAACAGGGCCTAGCCATATCACACCCAGTGCCTACATTTTAACGCAACTGAGAACAGTAATTAAGAACTTCAAAATTCCGGAAATGCCCTGTGATCAGGATCTGCTTTGCTTCCTTTTTTCTCAATCTTTATGCCTCTGTGGTTTGCAGAAGATGAGCCTTCCTAGGAAGAATTCTACAGCTTAGAAACAGCCACAAGGAAGGCTCCCTATTGCCACACTTCCTCTAACAACATGGAGAAACACCTCTTCGGTAGGTCTTACTGAGCACACACACTCATTTGGGAGGAAGCAGCCCTTAAAGTATCTTGAGCCTAAGCTGCTGAGTGTCAGTACCACTATACAGCAACATTAGAGAAAAGGGACAAAAGTTGCCAATGCAAATGTAACACAGTGTTTATCTGCCCATCTGCCCTTTGTTGCTTCTTAGCACCAACGGAAGAGGCAGGGGGCCAATCTGGATCAGAGCACAGGGCAGAGCAAAGAAGTTAAAGGCTTGGACTCCAATCCAGATTGGGAGCTAGTGGAATTTATTTATTTTATTAAATTTATATACTGCTGTCAGGGAACTGCCATCAGCTCAGAGGCGAGAGGTGGACGGGCAGTTGTGTTATAGGAAACCTCCTAAAATCTTGCAAAGCAGTTCCTCCTCCGGCGAGGAGGAAAGCCCCGCCTCTAGTGGAGAGGAGGTGCAGCAACCAGGGGATGCTAGGGAGAGCCTCAACACTGAGCCTGGGCAAACCGGAGAGGATGGAAGTAGCCCTTTGCCAGCGCCCATTCTGCGCAGTAGGTTTCTGCGCAGTAGGTTTCAGGGTGGAGAAGGCTGGGGTTCACGCGACTGTTATGGTGGGGGAGGTACAAAGACCGACCACTCCCAGATTCTGCTAGCGATTGAACCAGACATGAACTTACGACGCTCTTCACTGTAAATAGTTTGCACTAAGAATAAAGCCTGGAAAAGACAGGTTGGAGCCTTGCCTGTTTGTTCTCGGGCAACCACACCAGCACCTGACAACTGCCATTCATCCGAGGACCACAGGGCTGTTTACCGTATAGAAGTAGTCCCAAATTGTGCTGGCTATCTTTTCTATAAAAACAAGTCCCACCTATTCACGCAGTTGCTATGTGAATGGTGTTGCATCAAGTTTGGACCTCAGATTTATAAACTGCTAGACCATACACAGTCTGACCAAATAGTGTAGTGTAGGAGCAAGCCTTGGGCTTGCTACCAGATGTATACATTTTAATGTGTCACAAACCCAATGCATTGATAAGCATGCCCCTCCCATTAGAGTCCATAACACTTTAGATACATTTGCAACTACACATTGTTGGGTCATTAATCAAGTTAACATTCCCAATCAGAAATTCCAGTAAAACTAGTAGAACAATAACCCGTAGTAGTAGTAAAAGTTGCTTCAAATAGAGCTATTGAGGCATTTTCTCACAAAAAAGACATGCAGGGCTCAGCATTTCACAATGGTGCCAGATATATGTAAAAAATTAAATACTAAACTAATTTTAAACAAACCAGGAGGTTAAAAACATGGCTTGAAGTACCGTATTTTTCGCTCTATAAGGTGCACCAGACCATAACACACACCTAGTTTTTGGAGGAGGAAAACAAGGAAAAAAATATATTCTGAATATCAGAAGCCAGAACAACAAGAGGGATTGCTGTGCAGCGAAAGCAGCGATCCCTCTTGCTGTTCTGGCTTCTGGGATAGCTGCGCAGCCTGCTTTTGCTCCATAAGACGCACACACATTTCCCCTTACTTTTTAGGGGGGGGGGGAGTGAGTCTTATAGAGCAAAAAATACGGTAGATTTGATGCAACTGGTTTTGAATTATCCACAGCTGTGCCAAGAAAGCACAGGGAAAACTGCTGCGAAGGGTGGCAAGGACAGAAATGCTATGAAGGGTGGGAAAGGGTACAAACTGAACTCTCAGATCATGCACCTACCTGTCAATGTATCTCCTTGCTTCCACATTGTCTAGCGCAGTAACAACTACATCTTGCGCAGTGTAGAAATCATCATTGTACACGTTCTCAGTAGCCGGGCAAACTTTGTTCAGATATGGGTCTATCTTGATCTGAGGATTGATGTTACGTGTTGCTGTTGCTGCTGTACAACTTTTGGGCTTCTAACCAAAATTAAAATATTCATCAACTTTGGTTAATATTCTTGCTGGCAATTGCGATGCACAACAAAAGCTTCCAAATCACTGATAACATACTCAAAAGAATCACCGCTTTAGTGAAATGAGGTATGATATAATGAGCTGAATAGACCCGTAACGCTGGCTCTTGAGCAAAGAAAATGAATAAAACATTCTGTTTTACCACGTTGAACTCTTTAATTCTGGAAAGAACAACTGACAGCAAAAATTAATCAAAGTTCTCTATTGAGGCCGATACAAAACATTTCCTAAAATAAAATACGGTAGAACTTCGGAAGCCGAACGCCTGTAAACTCGAACATTTCGGCTCCCGAGCGACTGAAAAGTGGAAGTGATTTTTCCAGTTTTCGAATGATTTTTGAAAGCATGAAAGTCTGGGGCAGCTTCCAACTGGCTGCAGCCAATCAGAAGCCGCGCCTTGGAAGTCAAACAGACTTCCAGAATGGATTCCGTTTGACTTCCAAGGTACGACTGTATTTTGTAACTGGAAAACTCAAGAGACCATTTATAGAGCATGTGGATACATCTAGTCACCACACCTCCCACAGTTCTGCTCTCCTGCGTTCATCATAGCTCATGATTATCACCCAACCCAATTAACCCTTCCTTAACCCATGGAAATCTGTATTCTTGTGCATGCTGCTACTAATTTAATACTGCTGTTTCTATTTTGGTGTTCTTTCCCTATTTCTGTCTTTATTGTTATTCCACTGATGTGGTTGTTAGCTGCACTGAGAATTCTTTTTAGGAATGGAAAGATGAAACATGCTATTATTTATTAAACAGCAGCAGGATACTGGCAATCTGGACCAGCAATGCCTCTCTATAGTATCTCTATTTCCCAACCATTCTACCCAAAATTCTTTTAACTGGCGTTACCATGGTTAAACCTAAAACATTATTTTTAATAATAATAATAATAATAATAATTATTATTATTTTGAGCCTTATTTACAAAAGAAACTCAAGATGGTCAACAGATTAAATACTTTTATTATATGTTTAAGCTAACTTATTACAAAGAACACATATAACGTTTGTAATTTTTGGAACAACAAATTCAATTATAATAGCCAATCTTAAGCTGCTTTCAACCCACTGCAACAGTATTTCTTTATGTTCTTTATTGCTTTGTTTTGTTTATTAATAAAATAATAAACAATCATTAAAATAAATACAACATAAGTAAAAAAGTTAATCAGTCAAACTTCTACATGCAAGGTGTGTGCTCTGCCTTTTGAGCTATGCATACAGCCCTGATGTTAATCACATCTTCAGCAACAAAATCAATTTATTTAGTCCTAGGGTAAATATATGAAGATTCACCTCCATAACTTTAAAACAGCTCTTAAAATAGAAAGTTGATTCCACAACCACACTTGACTTTTTCAAAAATATGCACAAATTGCTTTTTCTCACCAACAGCTCCAACTTACCTGTATATGGTGTGGACGGAACAGAAATTGCCTATTTAAATTGGATTTTTCTATTAAGTCAGGATCTGTAATTGTAACCTACAGCAGGTCGGACAAATAGGTGGAATTACAAGTTATGGTTAATATAAATCTTTGATTGTTTCTAGTTTGAATCAGTCCTGAAAGCCCTCAATTTGGTTATCCCCCCAATGATTATTAAGAGAGAATTTCCCCTCTACCCTAAAAAATGCATGTCATCTTATATTGAGTAGTCATTCCTGTCCAGAAACAGATTCAAAATCATAGCTCTTTCCAATTAACAGGACTACAAAATGGAATGAATTCAGGCTTAATTTTACAACTAATAAATTATCGCCTAAAAATGTCACATAGCGATTGACCAACTAACCTACAGATGTATCAAAATTGCACTACCTAGAATTCTGATAAACACATATTCCAATACACTGTGATTTCTGGAAGTTCAAAGAGAAACCAAAACATGGAAATGTGAGATTACAGAACCCAAATGTGTAGTTGTAACAAAGGCATTACATGGAGAAATCGGCAGGACAGAGATTCCCCTCCAAGTTCTATCACACCCAAGGCATAATAGATCTGATCTTACTAAGATCATAAAATAATTTTTAAACAACTTGCAAACAGAGTAAAAGAAACTGAAATTAGTATGGAAAACCAAACCTACCATGCCCCTTTCTCGTCCAGTGCCAACACCAAGAAGTGCAAAATTTTTCAACATTTCACAGCCTATCGCACCACAACCAACCTGCAAAGTAATATATGTATAAATTTCCAGTCCTTACACAGATTATAAATTTCGATCCTTCAGAGAGCTAAACTTTTAGTTGAACTTCTTGTTTGATAAAAACTAGAATACACAAAATTCTGGGGGGGAAATCCCTAAACTGTTATGCCAAGGACATATTGACATGCTATCATACCTATTGGCTGGAAATTTAGATAGCCTTTCAATTGTGAAATGAAAGATTGAAGATGACATAAAGAAAAGATTATACCTAACTAAAGTATCTGAAGTTAAATACTGGACTGAAACGCATCAAAAGATGCAGAATTCCAGCTCCTACTATAAAAGGCATCACTATGAGCCATCTGGGTATTTTGCATGTTTTAACCCACCACTATATGTTCTAAACTTCCAGGAAAAGGTAGTTTCAAAGTTCCAACTAATTCACAGAACAGTAATTTCTAAAATACTTGTCCACTGGGTTTTCTTACTGCAATATAATACAGACTTCTATCCAACAAAGGCAATAGGGTCAGTGCTGTTAACCAGGCTGGTGGTTCAAGCCCACCCAGGGACAGCTGAGGGCAGGATTCCTGCATTGCACAGAGCTGGACTAGATAACCCTTGGGGTCCCTCTTCCAACTCTACAATTCTGTGACATAATGTCAGACTTATCCTACAAGCCATGCTTACCAAGAAAACATTCAGACGGTGCAGCTTCTGACACAAGGAGTCTCCAGTGCAGGCTCTCAAGGCGTCGTACCTGTCCCCTCTGTTGCAGACAGATGTGGGAAAGAAGTGAAGATAACACTGACAGATTCTATCAAACATATTTTGCTGCACTGTGAGAAATATGAGCAAGCCAGGACTGAACTGATATTACCCTTGCTGGTACCTTTCCTGGGAAAATCAGAGGCTTACTATGTCAGGTTCCTATTGGAAGACCGGACAAACGCTAGAACATTAGCAGTGGTGATGTTTTTAATTGGTGGTTGCAAGAACCAATGATCCCTATCTTTAAATCTGAACAAAATACTTGTTTAACCTGGAGGTAGGCTGTCTGAATTGTGCATTGCTTTGTAATGATTTGTTGGGTCTCTGGACCATAATAAAGATTGTATTGTATATCAAGCTGGCTTTAAATAAAATAAAATTAATTAACATTGATAGAAAGAGACAAAAATGTTTCAGAATTGCTTCACTTGTGTATGTCAGTGCAAGGGAACAAAGATGCTCATATTTCCCTCGCATACTCTCCTCCTTCCAATATCACAAAATAAGCATTTCTAAAAAGCATTAAACAACAACAACAAACAATAATAAGAATAAGAATACAATTTATATACCACTATATACCACCCTTTATCAAAAGATCTCAGGGTAGTGTACAACATTAGAAACACATTACAAAACAATGATAAAACATAATAAAACCATAGTAAAAAGCATACTGACAGACAGCCTAATAAGAAAATAATAGTAACAGTCCCTCTCCCTCACACACTGACAGGCTGTAGATTATTTAATAGCCATAGGCCTGGGTAAAGAGGAATGACTTTGCTTGGTGCCTGAAGACATGTAATGATGGTGCCAGGCGAGCCTCTCTGGGAAGAGCATTCCACAATTGGGGAGCCACCACAGAAAAGGCCCGTTCTCTTGTTGCCACCCTCCAAACCTCTCTGGGAGGGGGGGACATAGAGAAGGGCCTCAGATGCCAAGCACAGGGTATGGGTCAGTTTGCATGGGGACAGGCTGTCCTTAAGGTATTGAGGTCCAGAGCTGTGTACATACACAGCTGTCAATTGAAGGCAACACTTTAAGCATCTGATGAAGTTGGCTCTAGTCCATGAAAACGTATGCCACGTAAGTCTTATCAGTATTTCAGGTGCCATATTCTTGTTGTTTTGTGTTTTGTCTTGTTTTGTTTTGCTCTAAAACATGGGTAGGCAAACTAAGGCCCGGGGGCCAGATCCAGCCCAATCACCTTCTAAATCCAGCCCGCGGACGGTCCAGGAATCAGCGTGTTTTTACAGGAGTAGAATGTGTGCTTTTATTTAAAATGCATCTCTGGGTTATTTGTGGGGCATAGGAATTCATTCATATATATTTTTTCAAAATATAGTCCAGGTGCCCACAAGGGTCTGAGGAACGGTGGACCGGTCCCTTGCTGAAAAGGTTTGCTGACCCCTGCAGTCCAAACAGACAAACATAGCCAGGAAGAGCCAAACCTCAGCTGCACAGCACATGATTTGCATGAATAAGGTCCCACACTGAATGCCTAGCATCTCCAGGTAGGTCAGGGGAAGACTCCTGCCCAAAACCCTGAAGGGACAGGGCCAGTCAATGCAGAACGTACTGAGCTACATAGATTAATCATCTGCTTTGATTTAAGTCAGCTCCCTAGGCTCCTCTGGAATCGGATAACCTCATCTTCTCTGAGCAGGGCCTGCTTCAATGGGTTAGGACAGAGATGAGGAACCTTTTCATTCTGAGCATCACATTCCCTTCTGGGTGGGCAGGGCTAGAGGCATAAGCAGGCTGGGCAACAGATGTACTCTTCCCTTGCCATCCCGTAACGCCAAAGGCATTAACATAATTCAAAGACACATTCCAGCCAGGCAAAAAGCATTCAGAGAGGGCAGGGGAGAGGATCCTTGAGAGATATGACTTGGGGAGAGTATTGAGGGCTGCACATAGGGCCCTAGCTCTGAGGTTCCCAACCACTGGGTGAAAAAAGTACACACGCGTACATGTTTTATAGAAGTTCTTTTAAATATGCATGCCTTCAGACACAACAACAGCATTCGTGTGGTTATCTTGGGATTGGGACCAGGAGGATCAAAATTTGCTGGATGACCTTGAGCATTTCTATCCAACTAAACAGGTTTGTTATGAAGGTAAAATTGGTGGGGAGGGGAGATAATTTACGCTACTCTGAGCTGCTTGGAAGAAAGGTGGAACATAAATGTTGAAGAAGTAAACAAATTAATTGATTAAGGAACAGAGAGAGCATAAGCAGCTTGACTGTGCCATTTTTTTACCTTGGAAGGAATTCTTCATGGCTCACTTTTTCTAGAAATGTGACTAATTCAAATGCATCAGTATACAGCTGGAGAAGGAGGGGAAAAAAACAAGATTCAGAATGTCTTAAAACGTTTAAACTACACTAAAAAGAATACTATCTATTTTATTACAGCATACAACTGGGGGGGGGGGATCTGAACAAGATATTAGACTGGTGTGATAGAATTCTAGGCTGCACCACTTCAGACTGCTGGTGGTGTATTGCATTAATTACAGCTCCCCCAACATAAGAAGTTCCCTTCATGTGCCACACTAACACAACAGGAAAATGGTTGCTTGATCTTTCTCCACAATGTTTAGTATAAGCAGGGAGTAGTTTGGTTTTTTTAAGAAGGGAAAGCCTACAGAAATGAATGTCATACTTAAAAGAGTCTGGAATGATATACTGCAATGCTTTCTTACCTCCCTCTACCAACTCTTTTATCTTTCGCACATAAATTGGTTCTTGCTTACTTCAAAACAAAACTGATATGTGTGCAAAAAGCAATATATATCTATGGGATGATTTGCCAGCAGACTAGTACTATGTCTCATAATTTACTATTTCTCAGTTTAATATTGTAGTTTAATAGTAGCCTTTGATACTGTGAATTTAAACATCCAGAAAATACCCTTAATACAGTGGACGGTCAGGTTGCAAATGTGAGGGCTGCACATGTGGTGTTCGCAACCCGCATCTGTGAATGCACAGGTTGCGATTTGGTGCTTCTGCGCATGTGCAAAGCACGATTTAGCGCTTCTGCGCATGTGCAATCGCTGAAACCTGGAAGTAACTCGCTCTGGTACTTCCGGGTTTTGGCAGTCCGCAACTCGAAAAAACGCAACCTGAAGTATGACTGTACTCTCATCTGTAGTAATTCCTTATAGTAATGCATCCTATCTTATAGTGGGAACACTCCAATACGGCAACACAGCAGGAATGATTGGTGAGAAGGGCTGCTGCCGTGAACCGGTTCGGGGGCAGCTCATGGGTCAGTTAAATGACCCACGTGGGCCGCTTGTGGTCCTTAGGTTGCTGACCCCTGCTTTAGACCATGGTGGAGTATCATGAATGAACACTGTACTCAGGTGTCAACTCCCCCCCACCAGGGGCTTAATTCATTACTTCCTGGCAAACTATACAGACAATCTTGAAGTCTCACTCAAACCAAAAGGTTGCCAGTTTGGACATAATAGTACACTATGGCCTGCTTAAATCTGAAATACAGAATTAAGGCCAGGATGCAAGAAAGGGAGAATAACACTCATGCACAAGTGTCATTTGCTATTCTCCACCATCTTTGATGGTTCATCTGAACACAAGCAATATTATGCTCACAGAATGCTCTCGTCCCTAAATTTATGTAACCTAATCCAAAACAAAGAAAACTGACCCATTGTTGCAGGGGAGAAAATTTTCCTGTCACTGCTTTCAAGACTTCTTGACTGGCAACACCACCTAGTGCTGCTGTAAGAGGTGCCAAAGATCCCTGAGCCATCCTTGATAGCCATTTCACCATGTCTTCATTAACTTGAGGCTACAATTTAAAAACAAAGTAAGAACAATGTTTGTATACAAATAGCGTTGAATTCTTTAAAATTAGTAGGTTGCTGACTTGGTAAATTGGTGCACAGTAAACATGGGAAGTAAAGCACATTAGAGGTAAGAGCTGTCTCTCAATTAAAATTCAGTTCTCAGCTTCTGTCCCTTTGATGAGGGCAATCACAAACTGGTAACTGAGCTTCTCACTGCATGAGGTAGCCATGGCAGCCCTAGAAAACAAAAATTATCCTCCAACATGGTCTGTTAGCCTGGAATACATTTTTGCATGAAAAATGTTGGAACAAGAGCTCCTTGAAAGCAAGAAACAGCTAACAGGAAAACATCAGCGAAGCTACATTTTTGTTTATATAACCCTCACCGGATTATAATCCTTCTATTCTTTCAAACTGTTGCTCAAAATTTGTCTTGAAAAGCTTGGGCAATTTCAGCTTACTACTGATGTAAAAACAGCGCTTACAGAAAAGTAGTATAAAAGCGAAAGGAACCAGGAAAAGCATGGAAGGGAAGTCATATGGTATATGTATACATGCTGCATTTGGTATGAAGTTGTAAGTGAGATGGGAGAGGGGAGGGGGGTTAAATATGCTCTCTGTTCCTCTTTTTGAAAATGCAAATTAAAAAAGAATTGAGTAAACCTTTATGTAGACTATACATTAAAATCCGAAAATTTAATAGAGTTGTTTCACATCATAGTGTCACACAGTGACGATAACAACACAATCCCAACAATTGTGCCCATTTTTAAATGAGAAGCCACATAACCTCACAGGGCTGTTCTGAGGATAAAATAAGGAGAATAGTTGCTCATTAATTCATAATATGTATGTGTGCTTTAGTAGTACAATGAGTGTGTAAGACATTAAGAGTTTGAGTCATACATAAGTTTCATTGGTCAATATTAACGTTTCCTATATAGTGGGAGGGATAAAAATAAAAAAGTAAAAGACAGATTTAGATGGCATGTCCCTCTTTTGAAATACAAATTCTCAACAGAATGCTCACTAAGTAAGCTAAGCTGAAGCAACCATGGAAAGCTGTGTAATACTTTTGGGAGAGCTGAGCAATGGTCTTAATTACATTTCTGAACAGTTTCCATGCATGACAGCTTTTGACTGATGCAAAAGAAGGTACTATAATGCATCACAAAGATGCTCAGGTGATAAAAGATATAAATGTAAAACATACAAGAGAGCCAGCAGAGACCAAGTACAGCAGAAAACTGAAGACGATGAGGGATCTCACAAAGTTCAGTTCAACATTTAAATGCACCATGCATACGACAATCACAGGTGAGTATGCTGGATAGCACGAAATTACTCACTTTGCCTTCCAATGTTTTACTTATGGACACTGCCATCTTCAGCATCTCTTCAGCATCCTGAAGGCACCTGAAACCCAAACAGAAAGCATAGCATCTCTGCTCCACGCAGCACCTCTTATATCTGCTACCAGAGCTGGGAGAAAGTCCTGGCCCATGTGAGAATGACATTTAGTTGCTTCAACAGCCAGGAGATTCAGCTGTATTTGTTGGAACATTGGAAAACAAATGAAGCGGGGACTTGCACACACTTTCCCCTTGCTCTAGGACTGTTGTATCACTGTCTATTTTATTGTGTTTTAAATATATTGCAAGGTGCCTTGAGAACTTCAGTTAGTAAGCGGGGTATAAATTCTCCTAAATAAATACATAAAATAGAAGAACTCACAAGGTGGCTTTAGCCAAGCCCCCGCTCCACTTTAATATCTCTTTAATCCCACCCCGAAACACATACCATATTGTGGACAATAGTTCCAATTCATGGCCGTGAAGCAGTGGAGAGTCTTAAATGTTATATGAATACATCATAGTCTGTCCTCAAATAGACAACAGTTGAAGTTTCTTGTACAACCGACATAACAAATTGATTCTCTGTCCATGACTTTCCCAAGTAGCAGGGATAAGAAAATCATGGTCTCAATTCTGCACACATTTAGGCAGATTAAATCCCACAGAAGCCCAAGTGATTTGTAAACAGTTGAACTGTGCAAGGGATTGCAACTCAGTTAATTAAATAACCTGATGAGTTACAGTTTAAACTGCTATCGATAACAATCTCTCCACCTCTAACTATATTAACAGTGTACCCAACAACCCAAACTTTGTGCAGCTGTGGTACAGATACGTTACCCAATTGTCGGCATACGAGCAAAACTCTCTTGGAACTGATTCAAGGCAAGCATGGCAATGTGAATTTGCAGAGGGGCCTGCAAGGAGGAGAAAATAGTGGATGATCAGTAATATGCAGAGCAATCACATAAGAAGAAGTCTGTATACTCCAAGGCAAAACTTTCCAAACTGTGTCATGACACATTAGTGTGTCGTCTGCAGTGTGTAGGTGTGTCGCATGAATGCTCCCCACGCTCCTCCCAGGGATGGAAAGGGGTTAGTTTAACCTCCACTTTGCTAGTAAAACTCACGAAATGATGCATGTCTAAAAAGCATGTTACCAGCATGAAAGGTCTGGAAAGCTCTGCTCTAAGGATTACATTAGCTTGTTACAGCAAGAACAAGAGCCACTAAAGCCTTAAGGGGAAAACAAATGCAGTATACAATATTTAAACATCAAAGTGTCATATTAAAAACAAAACAAAGCAAAACCAACCTCAGGCTTGCTGAAATCTGCAACGAGGCATGTTGGGTTAATCAACTGCTTCTCCAGCTGTTGCTAAAAGTTAAAAAAATCAATTTGCACACACTTTAGAACAGAAGAAAGCAAAGTACATGCAAGCATCTTTAAAATTTCCCAAACCTTCCCAGGATTAGCTTGCAAACTTTAGCAGGGTGTAACTGTAGATACAATTCAAAAAATAAACCAGAAATGGGAGTCATCATAGCTCGCTAGGAACACATTAAATGGGAAAGACTGTTGGGGAGAGGAAAACCTACCTCTGCACCACAGATACAAATCTCACTAGGAGCAAGGGATGGGTTTAGCCTCCATCACAATGAATGCACCCTTTTACTCCCTGCTATGTATAGTAAGTGAATAGGTGTCATGGTACAGGAGAATGTAAAGAGCAAAACTTGTAGAAAACATTGCAGTGGGGACAAAAGGAGTTTGGAACACATCATGTTCCAAGTTACAATGCTTAAATGTGCAACTTAAAAATGTGTGATCTGATGTACAGACCCTTTGCAACCCAAGTGAGAAGACCAGGAACTGTACCTAACCTTGTGTTGTGCCCTACAGGTACTCTGAGGCAAAGGCGAAGCAAAAGATGTGTAGACTACTTCCTTGAATCAAGGGGCTTCAAACACCTCCAAAGCTCAAGACAAAATCGGAATCAAGGGAGAAGAACTGTCCCTGTAGTTATACATCCAATGTACTGCAAACCCCTTTGAAGTACAGCACAACCACCAGAAGAAACGAGAGACGTTCACCATAGTAAGAAGGTGGGGTGGTAAGTGAATTTATGTATCCCTGATTTTATGTTCTGACATTTTAACATAACCTTGCCCTTTTGAGATCAAGTTATACAGGTGCCTCATATGGAGAAGGGCTAAATAATATTTTTATTCAACAAGTCAGATCTCTGGCCTGAGCACCAAGCTTCAATGATTTCTAGAGGTGAAAACAGATGTGATCACTGCTGACTGTTGTCTTTATGCAGGATACTTACAAAATGGAATATCTTAGGCGTCTTTATTTGGATAGCTATGCCGCCATGTAAGTAAGGTTCCATATCCACCGTATTCCCAATGCTAAAAGAATAAGGTGATACCACTGTAAGAGAGGAGAAAGTGTAAATCGCTGTTAACAAGGTAGTTAAATGAAGCAGAACTACAGAAAGAGCAGAAAAACACTTTTGATTTTATACAGGATCTGCAAACCTAATTGACTTTCAAAGAGTTAACACTAAACATGTACAATTCTCTTAGGTGGTGGACTCTCCTTCATTGGAGGCTTTTAAGGAGAGGTTGAATAGCCATCTGTCATGGATGCTTTAATTGAGATTTCTGCATTAGAGGGGGTTGCACTAGATGACTCTCAGGGTCCCTTCCAAATCTACAATTCCAGGATTATGCAAAGCAAGCACATTTCTACAATGTACAGTGGTACCTCGGGTTACATATGCTTCAGGTTACATACGCTTCAGGTTACAGACTCCGCTAACCCAGAAATAATAGTGCTTCAGGTTAAGAACTTTGCTTCAGGATGAGAACAGAAATCGTGCTCCGGAGGCACGGCGGCAGCAGGAGGCCCCATTAGCTAAAGTGGTGCTTCAGGTTAAGAACTTTGCTTCAGGATGAGAACAGAAATCGTGCTCCGGAGGCACGGCGGCAGCAGGAGGCCCCATTAGCTAAAGTGGTGCTTCAGGTTAAGAACAGTTTCAGGTTAAGAACGGACCTCCGGAACGAATTAAGTACTTAACCCGAGGTACCACTGTATTTAACTCCTGCTTGTCATGGGGAGAAGCTTAAGCAAGTTGCTGAAGTTCTGCCCTCTATTTAAAAGCCCGAGTTCAAAATTTGATGCAGGCATTTCTACAGAGAGTTTCACGCCATGTCTCCCAACTATGGTGCAATGCTGAACAACAATGTTGTGAACTGGCAGCAACAGAGTTAAGGCAGCACACACAGCAGAACAACATGAAAGGAAAAAGCAGTTCTATCAATTTGGAAAGCAGTGGCTTCGCACAAGCAGGAAAGCTATACAAACATGGCTTACCAGTTATTTGATGCGTGGATCCATTTAAACACTGCATTCCATTAACTTCCCGGAAAGTTACAAACTGTCCCGTTTCAAGCTTATGAGGGTTATTATCAAGGCAAGTGACAATACCAGGATTGGACTGAAATTGTAACACACCAAAAATTAGTATGGGGAAGAAATGATTGCTAGACATTGCCACACAAACATTTTCTTGGCTCCTACAAATACACAGATTGAAAATCACTGCAACTGCAGCATAGATACTGCCAAAAATTCACTTGTGTGGTAGAATCTAAACTGGCAATAGCATTGTTTTTCATTTTCAAAAAGTTTCACTCTTTTAAGTTACGTATATATTTAAAAGGACAAATATTCTCCTTTCTTCAATCCATAAAGATGCAACAACCTCAGACACCCAAACCTGAAACAGTTCTTTATTATACATAAAACTAAAGGTGGTGAGGACATCTATGACCAGATGCTCACTACCTGTATTTCCAAATAAATGACCAGAAGCCAGCGGTGTACTGTTATTTTTCAAATACAATAGACAGTACCTATTTAAATGCATGTGTAGTTTCTTAGCTGAACCCACCCAAAAAGTATATTCTTAGCAGAGTAGATGAAGCCCTGGGTTTGAGTCATAGCGTACATAGTTCTGGGGTATCAAGAAAGGGAGTCACAGAACTGGTAGGGCCGGTCACTTCTGGCACCAAGAAAAGGGTATGTGTTTTCTCTGTGGCTGATACAACAAAATAAAATCACAGTAATGGTTTGCCTCATATACCCTTTTCGCTTGCCCAATTCATACACTTGGGAAAAGCTGTAATTGTGCCTATGCTCCCAGAGTAGCATGTGCTACAGTTGCAAGTTCTGTAACACATAATTCACAACTCATGAATTATTGCAGCTACGCTTAGGTAGTTCCTATAATTCTGTTATACGTAAGTTAATGGCAAACTGATGGCATACTTTTTTAAGTTCAAAAACTGTTGGGCTAACTAAACCCCACCACACTAGCTTCCTCAGAATACACTGGACTCTCAAACTGGACTGATATAGTAAACCTTGCTATCGTCCTCACCTGAGATATGTTTGAAATGAAGATTTCTTTTGGCTCTTCACCTGTGGTGTCCAGGACTTCAAATTCATCACCAAAGTCACAAAACAGACGTGCCCATATCCCGTATACATCTGCACTTATAAACTATACGAAAGACAAGTTAAATAAATTTCACAATCATAATTCAAAGCAAAGAGATAAAAATTAAGAGGATAGCCCCCAAATGATTCTTCCTTCCCAAACATTGGTTTGACTGCATTAAGTGTACAATTTCCAGTAGGGAAATCTCCACCTCATACAGGTACTAAGGTATATATTTGAGGACATACAATCAGTGTGTAATTGTCTCTTCCCTGCATTTGCATGAGGTTTGAAAATTTTATCTGCTTCCTCTTCCAGGAGTCAAAAAATTACCAACCCTTTCTTCCATTGACTAAAATGCAGTGTTTTACTCATCCTGACTGTATCAGTTTTTGATTACAAGGAGAAAAAATGGACAATTCAAAAGTAAAGGTTGCCTTTGTCTGGAAAACTTCCAGTTGGTGTGAATTTACCATGGCGTATAACTTTCTGCTTCTCCTTGCCACTTTACCGCAGAACAACAGAGCTCTCTCTATTTTAACAAAAAGATTATATAAGATTTGAAGAAGCCTGGTAGCCATTACATCTGCTATATAGAGTCAAATGAAGGATAACACGCCTAAACAAGCTTGTCTTTTCTACATTATGTATTTTGCCATTTTATGTTTTCTTTCCTTAATTTTAAATGCCATATATATTCCAATTTCCTTAAATAAATTTATTTTTAAGTGAATTATGTTCCTTGTGGGTTTATTCTCTACCAGCCCATTATTCTGCTCTGTCCAGCATATTACCTGGTGTGGTCCCAAAAAACCATGGGGTTTCTTTTTGTATAAGGATTTTAATACAGCATTCCAGCCGCTTGATAAAAGGTGGCTGGTTCATGTTGAAGGAGATTGTCCTTTAGGTACCAAGGTCCTCAGCCACTTAGAGCTCTATAAAAGTTAAAATCAGCACTTTGAACTGTGCCCAGAAACTGACTGGGAGTTAGTGTAGTTATTTTAAAACTGATGAGATCTGCTGACTGGGCATGTGAGCATTCTAGCATATTTATTTTGCACTAACTGTAGCTTCCAACAAAAGCAGACACACATACAGCAACTGCAACAATTCAAACAAGATGCTCCCAGAGCACGGATTAACTGTGGACAGAAACTCTCTGTCCAGGAGGGATTGGAGCTGGCAGATTAGGTTTAGGTGTGTTGAAAGGAAGTTTGTGCCACCAAAGCCACTTGGGTCTCCAAAGACAAGCCTGATCTTTGAGAGGGAATGTAACCCTAATCAGAACAGGATCAAATCACATCCCAGGTCAAACAAGCTACCCACAAATAACCTCTATTTTGCCTGGGAGCTTTAGCTTATACGAGCTCCCAACCAACTGAATACCAAACCCAGACAGCAATTCAGCGAGTTGGTCCAGAACAATACCATGGTCAGTGGTATGGAATACTTCTATGTCAACACAATGGAACCTGTTTCTTACTGAACTCCAGCCTTAAACTGGATTAAAACAGATTAATGTGAGCACTTTCATCCAGAATGCCTGGAACTGTGTGACCTCTAAGTGCCCGGCACCTGGATTCTATATACTCAACACAAATGCAGCCAGAAACTCCTCAGATACCTTCATTTTGTTCTCACTACTCAGTTCTACTGTACTCTAAAGGGTTCCAACCTCTAGGAGGAAACTAATAACTTAGTTCTTCATGGGCATTTGGCACAGGCATATCCAGGAACAGAACAAGGAACAGCACCAAGTTATAATAGTGTCTGCGTGGAAATAATTTAGCCTTGTAACAGATATGGGGAAGTTCTCAAAAGTAATAGACATGGCCATTTTGGGTCAATATATTACATTGTCACTGTTTTGCATTACCTTAATAGGTGGGTGTTGCGCACGGCAAAAGTCATTTATCTTCTTCTGTAGTGACAGCTTCATCTCAGTTACTATGACACACTTTTGAAAGAAAAATCCCAGAGATAAATTCTAAGTTATCAAAGGCGATGAACTTACTAGCCAAATATTCAAGTTTCTTCAAATGGTAAGTTATATAGCAGGCTTCCTCAACCTCGGCCCTCCAGATGTTTTGAGACTACAATTCCCATCATCCCTGACCACTGGTCCTCCTAGATAGGGATCATGGGAGTTGTAGGCCAAAAACATTTGGAGGGCCAAGGTTGAGGAAGCCTGTTATATAGCCACAGCTACAAGGATTTGCACATTTCTGACACTGAACTATGAGCCATCAGAACAAGCATTCCAGCTTCTCTTAGCCTTGGTATCTCTCTCCCACCTGGACAGGTGCTTCGCTTGTTCTGCTCAACCAAGGTGCAGCTAAAGGACTTGAGGGAAGGGTTAGTATCTCAGTTTGTGCCCATGCAAAAGCTACAAAAATTCCTCTTGCCTCTGAATGCCTTCAGACTACCCCACGAAGTGAAAGAATTATTCCACTCATCCACCACCACCTGCAAGTCCTCTGTAAGATGGAGATGGGGTAGGTTCTCTTGCTTCTACCATTAAGTACCTTCAAATCCCTCCCAACAAAGTGAGATAGTGAACCCACCCCTTTCTCAAGTATTTTGTATTTGCAAAGGGACTCTGGGAATGTTAAGGAAAGTCAGGAGTACAGTGGTGCCTCGCAAGACGAATGCCTCGCAAGACGAAAAACGCGCAAGACGAAAGAGTTTTCCGTTTTTTGAGTCGTTCCGCAAGATGAATTTCCCTATGGGCTTGCTTCGCAAGACGAAACGTCTTGCGAGTTTATTTCCTTTTTCTTAAAGCCGCTAAGCCGTTAATAACCGCTAAGCCGTTAATAGCCGCTAAGCCGCTAATAGCCGTGCTTCGCAAGACGAAAAAACCGCAAGACGAAGAGACTCGCGGAACGGATTAATTTCGTCTTGCGAGGCACCACTGTAGTCATAAAATAATGATTGCCTACGCAAACAGCCGAAATTTGCAGACCCCTGAAAAGAGGACAGATGTTTCAAATACATGCCACATACCTGGTACTGTCTGAGGAAAGAGATGTCTGTAACTTCATTTAAAGGGGCAGTTGATGACATCACCTGGACATATGGATTCAGCTCTGCAATGTGATGAAGGGATGCCTCACCTCTGAAATACATTTTCCAGTTGCATTATCAATAGGTTATACTTTTAAGTTCAGCCTTTCAAATGTGGCACCAAACATTACTAGAGCACCTGCTAACATAAATGTTCAAGTCAGCCATGATTAGTACACCAACTTTCTGGAAGGTTGAAAAGTACCAATCATCCAAATTAGGAAAACATCCCTACCTGGTTGAGTTATTACCTACCAGACAACCAGTTATTTATAAAACTGTGTGAACTCAGTATGTATGTATGTAACTTCGATCACATGATTTTGAAAACTCTAATGATTTAGAGTTCAGCATTAACTACTGAAGAAAATGTTTCAATGAGGAAATGATTTTACCTAGGGGCAACCAAAGTGGGGCGCTCCACAGATTCTTGGAGTATAACTCCCATCATCATTGGCCAAGCTGATCTAAGCCAACATCAGCTGGTTAAGCTAAGGTTTTACTTAAGTTACCTGTGCTTCTGATTCAACTGTTAACCACAAAGGTCAAGTTAAATGTGCAACTGTGATCTGTCACCGACTATCATTTTAATTGCAGACTTCACAGAAAACGTAGCTTTGTTAAAGTCCAATCTGTCCCTCTGAAAGATATTTCACACTCTAACTTAGGTATAAATGCATTATCTACTGAAGAAAATGTTTCACTGAGGAAATATTGTAGTTATGTGTGCTGTAAAGTTTTCCACTGCTGAATTTTCCCACAGAAAGTCCCCCCCCCGAAATGTATTGTTTCATGCAGTGAATCTTAACAGAGGACAATATCCTTGAAGGATACAACTCTCAATCTATGAAGGCCTGAAATGCCCTGTCACACTTTTGTTGTTGTTAACCCACTATTTGCAACATTGATGCCACTAGAGAAAGACCACAAGGCTGAAACAACATCCATCAACTGGAAATATTATTTACCATATATAGTGGTGACCACAATTTTAAGCATATCATTCTGTCAAACAATGTTTATGATACAAATAATTTTATCATAGTATTGTGGAGGTTTTTAAAGCACTAGATTATATGTAAAAGTAAATTGGTTAAAGCATTTTGTATCATGTTGCTTTCCTTTGATATTGCTTTCAACTGAAAAAGGGATCCATATTAGTTACAAACTACTAATGTAAAACAGTAGAACTAAAAAATAAGCAGCTACTGTATATCCTTGGCTCCCACATATCGTCTATTCAGCACAGATAATGGTGTGGGTTTACTCCTTCACACAAAAGAATACAACAATTCTGCAGGATAATTGTACTCATTCTTTTAAAAAAAAAAATCGATGAAAGATAACTGCAATTCCAGCTTCTCTGTTGCAAAAAGCTAACAGGAATCAATCCAATTTTTCTGAAAACACAGACTCTGAAAGTGACTAATAATAATAATAATAATAATAATAATGTACTTAAAACTGGTATAAAGTCAGACAAAAACCTTTAAAAGCTTACAGTATTTGTGAAGAATTGTACACAGACCTGTTTCTTAAATTTAGAACATCATCTTCACGAACAAAAAAGTTTGTCCCTAAATCCCACGTCTTGCATTGCTTGGTATCATGGATGGTAAGAGCCTTCGGAAAGGATAAAGGATACAAGATTAAAATATATTCAAAGCGGCAATTATATAATGTTTTGTACACTGTGATTACGAGTCATGTGAATTTATCAAGTTTATAGCGTAGGGCCAACCTAGACATTTCATTTGTTTTACAGTGAAGGGACACTGTTATCTAGCAACAAAAATTAATTTGCAAAAGTACGTAGTGAAGCACCATTGGAGGGAGGATTCATTCAGCACCGCAAAGGACACTGAAATGCAGTGACCAAATTTAAAATGCAGAAATCCTAAATGAAGACTTCTGGTGCTGAGGAATATTGAGAATATATTACTGAATCCCACAGAAGTTTTGGAAGAGCAAACACTTCCCACTGTCCCCAGACAGGACCATTTTCTTCTATTCTGGACTGTCCTTGCTCTTCACATCTCTAATTGTGTTTTTTACCCATGCCAGCACATATAGGTAAAGGTAAAGGTACAGTGGTGCCTCGCAAGACGAAATTAATTCGTTCCGCGAGTTTTGTCGTCTTGCGATTTTTTTCGTCTTGTGAAGCACGGTGTCGGGAAAGTTTTGGAAAAGCTTCAAAAATCACCAAAGTCTTTAAAAACCTCAAAAAAGGCTACCACACCACGTTCTATGAGTTGCTCCTCAAAGTCAAGTCGCAACTGTATTAACGGTGTTAAGAAAAAGGAAACAAACTTGCAAGACGTTTCCGTCTTGCAAAGCAAGCCCATACGGAAAATCGTCTTGTGAAGCAGCTCAAAAAACAAAAAACCCTTTCGTCTAGCGAGTTTTTTGTCTTGCGAGGCATTTGTCTTGTGAGGTACCACTGTACCCCTGCCCGTACGGGCCAGTCGTGTCCGACTCTGGGGTTGCGCGCCCATCTCGCTTAAGAGGCCGGGGGCCAGCGCTGTCTGAAGACACTTCCGGGTCACGTGGCCAGCGTGACAAGCTGCATCTGGCGAGCCAGCGCAGCACACGGAAACGCCGTTTACCTTCCCGCTAGTAAGCGGTCCCTATTTATCTACTTGTACCCGGGGGTGCTTTCGAACTGCTAGGTTGGCAGGCGCTGGGACCGAGCAACGGGAGCGCACCCCGCCGCGGGGATTCGAACCGCCGACCTGACAGCCCTAGGCGCTGAGGTTTTACCCACAGCGCCACCCGCATCCCATACAACGCTACAAAAAGTAGCTTATGGTTCTAAATGCTTTAAAAGATCCCATATGCTGCAGGTATTGATTTTTTAAAATAATATTTGAGGTCCTTTACCAGAGTTTTAGTTGCCATCTAATAGAACCAAAATGCCTAAAAATAGTCACTGTATTTCAGTTGTTTTTAAAGCAGAACTATCAAGATGGAATTCTTGAAGTCAATGGAAAACAAAAACCCATAATGCCTCTTGGAGAGCAGAGAACAGTCCTATCCTCTAGCATGCCAGTGCTTAGATGGTGGCACACGCACAGCTATTCTTCCCACAGAAAACATACAGTATTTCATCTTGGACACTCCAGCACTACAGTCAAATCAGATGGCATGCCACATTTAGGAAACTTGTGTTAATAACATTTCACTAGGGAAATTGCAATGACTGAAATCTACGAAAGTATCATCAGTTATTTGAGGAAACATTCTAATTTTAAAACAAAATTTACCGTACTTAGAAAAAAATCATTCTCCTTACCTTTATTCCTGCAAGAACTATGTTCTTAGCTGAAAAAGATGAATATTATAAAGTTAATTTATTAGATTAATTTTCATCAAGCCTCTTTGGCAATAGTTCAATTTTTAAACTGCTCCATGATCTTCGAAAAACAGTAATTCCTTCTCAATCCCATCCCTATGAATTACACAACTGTTAAAAGAGAAGCTACAGAAATTCTATGCAATTCCACTTTCATTATAATCTGTAACAAAGATATCAGCCGTATAAACAAATCCCGAAGTCAAAACAACATTCATTAAAGACGCAAAACTTAGTACAACATAAATTTATGCACATTTTAATATGCAAATTTTATCCTTATAAAACGTACAAGAGGGAGAAAAATGCTGTTTCTTAATTACCTATCTCCACTCCAAGGCCACCCATTCCACTCAGGAACACATGGGACTGAGCCATTTTCTGCATTGCCGTGTCTCCAAGAACATACCTCTGCCGACTATGTGCAATTAAGAAAAGAAAAAAGGAGTAAATAGCCATAAAGTAACTATTCATTGGCATGATCCCTTCTACAAATGGGACTACTTAACAAAGAGGATCCAAGTGGAAAAAGATAATTTGGCATCAGGAAATCACTATGAAATAGCAAAATTTGGATATTGCCTATTATCTGCAGGGTACAGCGTTTCAACACAAAATAAGCATTACCACTGGTACTTTCAACATACAGCATACTACAAATGTATACTGCAGTAACATGATTTTCAAAACATTTGCCTTTCTTTTGTATTCCTACTCATGAGAGCACTAAGCACAAAGGCTGTAATCCTGGATGCAAATGAAATTGGATTCAAGCAGTCTGTGTGGAGGACTACAGCAAAAGTAATCTATGATGCTGGCCAAGAATATTGCCATTTTTAATTTCAAGCTAGGCCATTGTTTCGGCACATGATGATAAAGGCATTCTATCTAAAGAAAATGCTACTTAAGTCAAGTACAGAAAATAATTAAGGGGTTTCCTTAAACATAGTTTTAGATGAGATTATGCATTGTTCTTTAAACCCAGTGCAAAAGATTTGCCCAAGATTTGACGGTTATCACATAATCAGCACCTATTTCCCAAATGCTATTTGAATTTGCTCTTCAGTCACTGCAACAAAGGCTTTTCAGTTGTGCCAATATAGACTATTCAACTGTATGTAATAGCAAGTTGGCAATAGCTAAACCCCATTGAAGATCAAGAATCATGGCAGCTATGGTGTGTTCCTGACATCAGGACCCACTAGTATTTGAACTTTAGCGAAAACAAGCCAAATCCATCATTAGTACTATTATGAATCTCGTATGCTTCACTATGTTGCTAAATTACTTACCTGTACAAAGCATCATCAATTTCCATAGAATCTGCTGCCATTATGATATATTTGCTTGGACTAGAAGTAAAAAAGATAGTTGTGATCACCAACAAAAAAAAGCAACACAGTTCATTCATTTTTGTTTTTTCAACTGAGCTAATACATGAAAAGATATGTACAGAAATAAGTATTTTAATAATACTGGACTACACAACAACAGGGGTGATATGGTTGCTGCCCTGAAAGGAAGAAGTATAACCCATATTAGACAAACAAGAGGCCTAAATGTTAGAAATTTAGAAATGGGAATGGAGCACAGTGAGACAATGGCTACCATGCAGTATCTGCCAAATGTAAGGAACTAGCAAGCGCACCCTTTCCTTGTTGATCGTTTCTAGCAAAACAGAAAAAAATCATTAAGTTTTTAGAAACCTTTCTTTTAAGGGACTAAAAAAGAAACAGATTTTAAATTGTTAAGCACCTGCAAGTCTCCTAGGTTCGCTTCAAAAGATAATCCCTTTAATAAGTACTTATTAGAATCCAATATTGTATGTCTGCTAAAATCAGTGTTTTAAGAAATGTGGATGCATTTCAACATTGTATATGCTGTTAAAACATACCGGGGGGGGGGGGGGGAGAGAACTGAGACTGACCCAAGTCAGTGTGCATTTCTCTGGAAACACATATTGGGAAAAGTGAAAACATTGCAGGTGTTGCTAGCATATACTGTGAAGGCCTTTAGCGCATATCAACTGCTACTTATGTCCTTTTTCAGGCAGTTTTTGAGTTCTGAGGGGCTGCACAGAAGAAACAGCTCCACTTCCTGTTTCAATCAAAGGTTGGTTTTAAGAAGCACAAGTCATTCTTCCTGCCATAAAGCATAGAAATAGAGTCATAAGCCTTATATTTTTGGACAATGGAGTCTTGCAGGGGTGGAACTCTAATAAACGCCGATTGGATCTTTAGATGAGATGGACATTTTCACTCCATTCCAAACAGGAGAGAATTTATCTCTGTGACCCATTCAAGTCTGCGTTGAAACAACACAGTATTTAACCAAAAATGAAATATTAAGTTGCAAAACTAATAGCATCCAAGAGCTGTTGCATGGCCTGGTCAATGCTCTGTACTATGTTTTGAATGAACTGGGGGTGGGGTGAATCTTCTTTTGAAAGAAGTGAGTACTCTCAGTTCTAAAAATATTTTATTCTTGGACATGTATCCTGGTAGGTAATTATGATTATTGTTTTATTATCATTCTACCTCATGGATTTAGCAGAACTGGGGACAGGTCTCCTACTACTTCCATTTCTTACTGTTTCTTTGTAGGCTATTTGATCGTGGCCCAGTCCTGCAGAAATTCTGATAAACCCTATGCAATTATTTTCATTTATTTTATTTGAAGTACCACAAGCCAGCATCAGATCTTATTCCTTTGACCCACAGCTGTCTTTGGGGATCTTTTGAATGCATGGTTCCCTGTTAAGTGTTACCTATATTTAATATTGATTTCATAAATAATTTTGATTTCATTTGACTCGTGGTTATGTTTCAAGTTACTGATGCTTTTGTTGTTACTATTTTTTTTATTCTAGACTATATGCAAATATTCCTAGACACTCCCCATTATAGTTAAACAAGATGAGCCTTGCTAGTTCAAGCCAAAGGTCCATGGAGTCCAGCATTCAATCTTCCACAGTCACCAACCCCTACACCTTACAGAAGTCAACAAGCAGGGTATGAAGACATTAGCCATCCCCTACTGCTGCTTCCCAGCAGCTCACATTGTCACTCTTTGATCCTGGAGATTCTACATCGCCACTGTTGAGACTTATTCTCCATGAACTTGTCCAGTGCCTGAGAAGCTACCTAGGAACCTGGCCATCACTATGAAACACATCCTAGTCAGTTTTGGGTCTGGCATGCTGGTGAACTGATAGTCAGATACGGCCCAATAGTCCAGGATGCCATGATGCTGATGATTCCTGAAATAGTAGCCTGATACTTATTGTAAGGAGCCCTAGCACGATTTTTTACCTTGAAAGGGGCAATATAAACACGCTGATTCCCGGACCGTCCATGGGCCAGATTGAGAAGACGACTGGGCTGCATCCGGCCCCCTGGCCTTAGGCTGCCTACCCCACAAGGTCTGAGGAACAGTGGACTGGCCCCCTGCTGAAAAAGTTTGCTAATCCCAGGCCTAGCCCCTCCGTTTCGGTCACTGCATTGCACATATGCCCAAGGAAATAGTAACAGAAAAGCAAACCTGGAGCAACAACTCAGGCAGATACAGCAGCCTTACCTGCCTCCAAATTTCACAGTTCTGTCGCAAGGTGCACACAGTCTTTGATGCAGAGAGAGAGAGAAAAAGAGAAAGGCTCAACAACAATAGAGTGGTACATACTCTGCACACCCAGAATTATTGTTCCTTCTTGTCTTCCAGAAACAATGAAGCGTTTGGGGTGGGGTTTTTTTTTAGCAAATGGATTAATGGAAGTTGAAACATAGCATGGGCACAGCCTGGGGGGGCAGGGAAGCAGCTGCCCCCCATCAAGTAAATCAATAAAAATACTTAACTGAGGTTTGGGGGGCTCCCCAACATGAAGCCTGCCCCACAACATAAATCCTGGCTACGCCCCATGAAACATGGCACTGAATTATTATTATTAGGGAGGGTAATTATGAAAGTTGAAATGCGGCACAGAATTTTGAATTCTGGGGGTATTGTAATTATGGAAGCTGATACTTAATTTGGAAGGGGGTGGGGGTGTAATTCTAGAAGCTGAAACCTGGCATTGAATTTTGGATCTTTTTGGAGAGGGGGCACGTAATGTAATTCTAGAAGCTGAAACCTGGCATTGAATTTTGGATCTATTTATTTTTGGAGAGGAGGCACATAATTCTAGAAGCTGAAGCCTGGCATTGAATTTTGGATCTATTTATTTTTGGAGAGGAGGCACATAATTCTAGAAGCTGAAACCTGGCATTGAATTTTGGATATATTTATTTTTGGAGAGGAGGCACATAATTCTAGAAGCTGAAGCCTGGCATTGAATTTTGGATCTTTTTTGGGGGGAGGTTAATAATTCTAGAAGCTGAAACCTGGCCCTGAATTTTGGATTGGGGTGGGGCGAAGTTATGGAAGCTGAAGCCTGGCATTGAATTTTGGATCTTTTTGGCGGGGGTGGGGGGGTAATAATTCTAGAAGCTGAAACCTGGCCCTGAATTTTGGATTTGAAGCGGGGATGCAACTATAAAAGCCTGGCATTGAGCTGAGGATTGGGGGGGGGGGGGGAGAGAGAGGCTGTAATCACAGAAACTGAAACCTGGCGGTGTATTTTAATTTTTTTTTTTGGGGGGGTGGCTAACCGAGTCATAGGCAGCCCCTTCCCCTACCCTAATTCACGTCGACCCAAAAAATAAAAAATAAAAATTGCCATGTGCCATGTCACGCCCCGGCTTCCCTCGTTCCTCCCGTCCCAGGTTTAGGCTGGGGGGCTGTGAAGACGGACCCCCCCCCAATATCATCCCCTCCCCGGTCGGTCGGTCGGGCAGGTCCCCTCACCCCGGCTGCCCCCCCCTCAAGCCCAGCCTCGGCCAAGCGCAGGCCCGGCCGGCCTCCCTCGCCGCAGAGGCCTCGGCGGATTCCTCACCCGACACCCTCCTCCGGCGGCGGCGGCGGCTGCCTCTCCGCCCCGTCACGCGGCGCTCCGGCGGCCCCGAAACTCAGGCCCTGAGGGGAAGCGACGGGGAAGGCGGGCAGGGCGGTGAGGGAAAGGAGGAAGCGTCGGCGGCGTCACCGAAGCCGGCGAGGAAAGCAGCGCCCTCCCGCCCGGCCTCGCTCCGCCCTTCCCGGGTGCAGGGAGGCCGGGTCCGCGGCGCCTGGCAGGCCAATCCGGGAGCCGGGCCGACACTCCGCCTCCTGACAGGACAGAGGCCTCCCTCCTCGCCGCCAACCGCCGCGCGCGGTTCTCCTCAGGCAAGGTAGGCCGGCGCTTGGCCAGTCGCTGCGTGTTTTCAAATGCAAAAAAAAAAACCAGCAAGAGGAGGCGCGAACGACGCGTGACTGACGCGAACGTGTGAAAGAAGCAGCGCGCGAAAGGCGGGCGCGCCCTGTCGGATTGGTAGGGCGGCAGCAGCAGCGGCTCTCAATTTCTCCCGACTTTTTTGTTGTGACTGGTTTTAATTTGTTTCTAGTCCTCATGACTGCACATGTCCCAATGAAATTCTGTGAAGCAGTAGGGCATGGGTAGGCGAACTAAGGCCCGGGGGCCGGATCCGGCCCAATCGCCTTCTCAATCCGGCCCGCGGACAGTCCGGGAATCAGCATGTATTTACATGAGTAGAGCGTGTCCTTTTATTTAAAATGCATCTCTGGGTTGTTTGTGGGGCATAGGGATTCTTTCATTTTTTTTCTTTTTCAGAATATAGTCCGGCCCCCCACAAGGTCTGAGGGACAGCGGACCGGCCCCCTGCTGAAAAAGTTTGCTGACCTCTGCAGTAGGGTCTCAACCCCCACACACACACTTTCAGAATGAAAATTTCCCATGCCGAATTTTCTTATTGATAAGAAATACATTGGAAGGATAATAATAATAATAATAATAATAATAATTTATACCCCACCCATCTGGCTGAGTTTCCCCAGCCACTCTGAGCAGCTCCCAATCGAGTGTTAAAAACAATACAGCATTAAATATTAAAAACTTCCCTAAACGGGGCTGCCTTCAGATGTCTTTTAAAAATAGGATAGCTGCTTGTTTCCTTGACATCTGGTGGGAGGGCATTCCACAGGGCGGGGGCCACCACCAAGAAGGCCCTCTGCCTAGTTCCCTTTAACCTCACAATGAGGAAACCACCAGAAGGCGGTCAGCGCTGGACATCCGTGTCCGGGTAGAATGATGGGGGTGGAGACGCTCCTTCAGGTATACTGGACTGAGGCCGTTTAGGGCTTTAAAGGTCAACACCAACACTTTGAATTGTGCTCGGAAACGTACTGGGAGCCAGTGTAGGTCTTTCAAGACTGGTGTTATGTGGTCTCAGTGGCTGCTCCCAGTCACCAGTCTAGCTGCCGCATTCTGGATTAATTTCAGTTTCCGGGTCACCTTCAAAGGTAGCCCCACATAGAGCGCATTGCAGTAGTCCAAGCGGGAGATAACTAGAGCATGCACCACTCTGGCAAGACAGTCTGCGGGCAGGTAGGGTCTCAGCCTGTGTACCAGATGGAGCTGGTAGACAGCTGTCCTGGACACGGAATTGACCTGCGCCTCCATGGACAGCTGTGAGTCCAGAATGACTCCCAGGCTGCGCACCTGATCCTTCAGGGGCACAGTTACCCCATTCAGGACCAGGGAGTCCCCCACACCCACCCGCCTCCTGTCCCCCCAAAACAGTACTTCTGTCTTGTCAGGATTCAACCTCAAAAAAGAAACAACCAGCAGTGCTTGATGTGTAGCAAAGGGCAAGACTGTTTGTAATAGGATCATGGGGCATCCAGAAAATATAAAGCAATGCAGGTGCATAATAACATGAATCACCCCCCCCCAAAAAATATAATGATGAAGGGACTCTTACGTGTGTACCCTATGTATTTATACAAACTCAGGGAGGGGTGTGAGTTTGCTTTTGCCGGCTAAACTCATTTACCGTAGTTTTCGCTCTATAAGACGCACCAGACCACAAGACGCACCTAGTTTTTGGAGGAGGAAAACAAGAAAAAAAGTATTCTGAATCTCAGAAGCCAGAACAGCAAGAGGGATCGCAGCGCAGCGAAAGCAGCAATCCCTCTTGCTGTTCTGGCTTCTGGGATAGCTGCGCAGCCTGCATTCGCTCCATAAGACGCACACACATTTCCCCTTACTTTTTAGGAGCGAAAAAGTGAGTCTTATAGAGCAAAAAATAAGGTATATAAGGTCTCATTTGAGACAAACTCTCATCTCACCGACAGGAGCCTTGCTCTTTTCTGAACTTTTTGTCAGAGTTGAAAATCCATGTTCTCAACAAAACGTTGTGCAGAACTGTGGAAGAATTGTCTATGTGGTCTTGCTCTCGTTTTGAAAAGAGATTTGTTATTATTATTATCTATTAAATTTGTATACCACCCTTCATATTAATCCACGTATATGGATATATGAAAAATAATAATTTGATACGATGCTACACCAAAAAGTTTAAATGTTTCTTTGATCATCCTTGAATCTTCCTGCTGCACTTGCCACCTACACTTAAAAGTGCTAAACAGATTGAAACTGCCTCACATTTCTAAGCATCTGGGTAAAGGTAAAGGGACCCCTGACCATTAGGTCCAGTCGTGGCCGACCCTGGTGTTGCGGTGCTCATCTCGCTTTATTGGCCGAGGGAGCCGGCGTACAGCTTCCGGGTCATGTGGCTAGCATGACTAAGCCGCTTCTGGCGAACCAGAGCAGCGCATGGAAACGCCGTTTACCTTCCCGCCGCAGTGGTACCTATTTATCTACTTGCACTTTGACATGCTTTCGAACTGCTAGGTTGGCAGGAGCAGGGACCGAGCAACGGGAGCTCACCCCGTCGCGGGGATTCGAAACACCAACCTTCTGATCAGCAAGTCCTAGGCTCTGTGGTTTAACCCACAGCGCCACCCGCGTCCCCAAGCATCTGGGTAGGCTTGCCTAAACAAGAATGTTTTTAGCAGGTGTCAAAAAGGGTACAGTGAAGGTGCCTGCTTTATCTCAATAGGCTGGGAGTGCCAAAGTTTAACGATGGAAGCAGTTAAGTGGGCGCATGTCATGGGTAAATCAAGTTATTAAGGTGTTTCTGAACTAATAGAAACACATTGAACTTGGCCCAGTAGCTAACAACAACAACAGGGTTGAGCTTCTAGGGAAGTGTGAGGTCAGCATAGCTGTCAATGTTTCCCTTTTTTAAAGGGAAATTCCCTTATTCCAAATAGGATTCCTCGCAAGAAATGGGTAAAGTTGACAGCTATGGAGGTCAGGCTGCATGTAAGAACCCATAGATTGACTAGCTCGTAGCAGTATTTGCTACATAAACAATATGAAAACAAACTGTTGCGAACATCAGTGAAAATTATCATTCACACCAAAGGAAACGGGGATGTTTTAAAATACATTTTTAATAACACTTGCAACAGGGTCTAATGTTTACATTGTTTATTCATCAGGTATAGTTTTACTGATGCTATTAAAGGTAAAGGTAAAGGTACCCCTGCCCGTACGGGCCAGTCTTGACAGACTCTAGGGTTGTGTGCTCATCTCACTCTATAGGCCGGGAGCCAGCGCTGTCCGCAGACACTTCCGGGTCACGTGGCCAGCGTGACAAGCTGCATCTGGCGAGCCAGCGCAGCACACGGAACGCCGTTTACCTTCCCACTGGTAAGCGGTTCCTATTTATCTACTTGCACCCGGGGGTGCTTTCGAACTGCTAGGTTGGCAGGCGCTGGGACCGAATGACGGGAGCGCACCCCACCACGGGGATTCGAACCGCCAACCAAGCGATCGGCAAGTCCTAGATGCTGAGGTTTTACCCACAGCGCCACCCGCGTCCCTGCACTGATGCTATTAGCTGTGTATAAATTAACACTGAAACCAAGCAGAGACAGAAGCAGACTGACAAACACATTAGCAATTAATAAAGGAGTCCCCTGGGCTGTCTGACAGCCGATCAGGAAAGAAGATCTTGAAATATAGATTGAAAGCAAAACAAATTAGTAAATTTGGAAATACATAATGCAGACTCAGATGTATGTAGTTCAGGTGAATATTATAGCACATATTATAGTCATTTTAACTGAGTGAATCCCAATTTAAGAGATTCAGAATATCAAGAGCAGTGTTGTGGGATTGTACATGTCTTCTCAAAATTGGGCAGGAGAGCACATTTGATCACATGATCCACTACCACCTTCTGCATCTGCAATGCGCAATGTTTCAAATCTAAACTTTTTATTTCTTTTTTTTCCCAAATGATATTTATTAAAGTTTCACATGAAAAGAATCACATTAATAAAAAAAAGAAGAATTTAAAAATAAAAAGAAAAAAACACAATACAGAATACAAAAAGAAAATAGAATAAAAACAGTTAAAAACAGTTCCATCTTTTCATCACTACTTTTACATTTACTTGTTTCTTGGACCTCCTCATACCTCCCTCTTTTGTATTCCAATTCAGTTTGTTTGTCCAGCAATTCCTTTCCCTCCTTTTTAATCCCAATCCTTAATCTTAATATAATATAACATTAAATTTTTACCTATTAAAAACCAATTTTCCATTCTTTTAACCTTTTTAATCCTAATCCTTAATCTTGATCTATATAAATTTTAAAGCCTGTACAGCTAGAAGCCACTTAATTTCAATCCAACATCACTCTAACATTCATTAATTTTGCAATATTTCTGTAAGTAATCTTTGAATTTCTTCCAATCTTCTTCCACCGACTCTTCTTCCTGGTCACGGATTCTGCCAGTCATTTCCGCCAATTCCATATAGTCCATCACTAAACTTTTTATTTCAAAGAGCGAAGCTACCATGTGAATCCAGAGGTAATATATTTTGTAGATCTTAAAAGGGGGGTGGGAAACATTACAGTGGTACCTCGGGTTATGAACTTAATTTGTTCTGGAGGTCTGTTCTTAACGCGAAACCATTCTTAACCTGCGATGCACTTTCGCTAATGGGGCCTCCCGCTGCCACCGCGCCACCAGCGTGCGATTTCCGTTCTCATCCTGGGGCAAAGTTCTCAACCCGAGGTACTGCTTCCGGGTTAGCGGAGTTTGAAACCTGAAGTGTTCGTAACCCAAAGCATTTGTAACCCGAGGTACCACTGTACTCTAATTCAGTAATGGCCAAACTTGACCCTCTAGCTGTTTTGGACTTACAACTCCCATCCCCCCTAGCTAACAGGACCAGTGGTCCAGGATGATGGGAATTGTAGTCCCAAAACAGCTGGAGGGCCAAGTTTGGCCATCACTGCTGTGATTCAATTTCACAACAGATATGAAACCAATGAAAAATTGTTATCACCAAGTGCTTGGTTTTCACCTTCTGTTTCGTTACAGCTACTGAAACATATTTCAGGAACAACATGCTTCCTCTAAGTTCCTTATTATATTCCTTAGCATGTACCAATGATTCTTATGGAGACAAACCAGTTGCTCCCTACTTGTAGTCCTAATCAGAGATGTGGGCTATAAATGTTCTGAAGTTCATCTAGCATATTTGGATCTAAAACTCATTCAAGGCATTGGGAAGATGTCCTACTGATAAGAAGACAGCCTTAGAATATTCTATAGCTGAAGAATGTCAGTCTAAGATGGGTAAAGGCAAAGACCTTACACAAGTGAAACAATAACCCTTTCTCCAATCTTAAAAGTCTGGTTACATTCTTAATTGGCTAGGATACGTGTGTGTGTGTGTGTGTGTGTGTGTGTGTGTACGTGTATACACACACACATATATACATATATATAAAACAAATTGAAAAATCAGAATAGAAATACTATTCTAAGTTTAAAAACAAAAAAACCCACTGCATTAGAACATGTAATATTTAGCTATGCCTATAATCCACAAAAGTCTAATTTTTTGAAGAAGAAAAAAGAAAACCACCACAAACAATATGAAATGTGTCTGAAATTATATTATAATTATGTTGTGCAAGTTTTGGCTTCTGTAACCCATCAAGTGTCACCAGACAAAGTAGAACTGAGTGAAAGGAAGTCATGGATTTGACAATACAGTAGAGGCCTTCAGGAATTAGTGTTGCAGCTGTAGGGTTTGTTAGAATCTCCATTTAAATCCTCTGTAACCACACCTTTTTCCTGTGACCTTCTCAAGATGCAAGTAAGAATCTGTTCACCTGCAGCAGCAAAGGTGGACTTGTGTAAAGATGGACACTATATCACCCTGAACAGAATTTTGCCCCCACCCCCATGTGAACACGGTGAAAGAGTTCTCTGTGCTTTCCTCCTTGCAGCCACAAAACCACAACCTGAAATGGAAGTCTGTCTTCGTCGTTTTTGTTGTTTCATACTTGATTGGCAGACAAGTAAAAAAGCTACTGATATACTTAAGTATGTATAAGAAAATGGTTTAATGGGTGATTTAGAGATTGAAATGTAGAAAGACGACCCAACAAAAGTATTCTGAGATAAGTTTCTTCCATTATTTAATCTTAAAAGGTAAAGAAGATCCTTCTTCAGAGTTCTTTAATTTCTTTTCTCAGTGTTCTTGTATTGAATCATTAGCACCAACATGCAGTTCTCCTGCTTTTCAAATACAGTGGTGCCTCGGGTTAAGTACTTAATTTGTTCCAGAGGTCCGTTCTTAACCTGAAACTGTTCTTAACCTGAAGCACCACTTTAGCTAATGGGGACTCCTGCTGCCGCCGGAGCACGATTTCTGTTCTCATCCTGAGGTTCTTAACCCGAGGTACTATTTCTGGGTTAGTGGAGTCTGTAACCTGAAGCGTATGTAACCTGAAGCATATGTAACCCGAGGTACCACTGTATAGGACACTGAGCATGGGCATAGCCTGGTTTTATTGGGGGGGGGGTAGAACCAAGTTATCTGCAATGCAATTGGTCATTAGTTAAGTATTTTTATTTATTTACCCACCATGCTAACGCCCATGACATTGAGAAAGAAGTTACCAGTGAGCTGCTAAAATGAAATTCAAGGATAAATTAAATTCCAAAAATCATATTGGGACAATACTTTTATTATGCCAACCAAAATGTTACAAAATAGTGTGAAAGGTAGTTGGAAAACAAGGCAGGTGTGGAGGAGAAAAAATTGGCTAGAAACATAGTCATCTGTGTCTGCATCCGGTAAGAATCGAAAAGCTGAAGTCTTGGAGGAGATAGCAGACATACATATAGAATCACTGAATTGTAGAGGTGGAAGGGACCCCAACGGTCATCTAGTCCAACCTCTTCCAATGCATGAATCTCAACTAAAGCACCCCATCAGATGGCCATCCATCCTCTGCTTAAATATCTCCAGTGAAGGAGAGTCCACCACCTTTGGAGAGATTCTGTTCCATGAGACTCTGTTTGGTGTTATGCACATTTCAGGTTATACCAAGGTCTATTGGAAAGGCAGGCGCATACAATGGCCAATTCTCCATCTCTGGAAATATTAAAACCAGTTGCCCTTAAATCATTCAGGGGAACAGCGATTTCAGTTTTACTCAAAGTAGACCCATTGAAATTAAAGGACCAAGCTTAGTCATGTTCATTATTTTCAGTGGGCCTGCTCTGCGTACAACATAGTTGACTACTCTTAGATCTTAACTGAAAATGAATTATTTATCCACACCTCAATTTAGGAGAAAGTAACAATATCTATAGCTCCAGGCACTGTCCTTTGCATCACTCAAGTAAGTGACTTTTTCTAGTTTTGCATAAACTTTTGATCCTTGGATGTTTTTTGAGTGAAGACAAACGGAAATGTTTTTAGACTAGGAAGATAGTTTTGTAAGTATGCTCAGCCCAGTCCTGAAAGTTTATAGGCTGGAATCCATGCTATTGCCAGGAAACTCTCCCCCACCCCACCCCTTAATATTCCTTGGACAGCTGTTTCACTAATTTCACTAATTTTGTTCAAGAAGAACAAATTAGCATACATGCAGCAGTTTGTTTTTTAAGGTGGACAAGACTGATGCCTTAGGTGGCATTTGATTCGCTAGCATGCATACCTTTAATTTCAGCTGTGAAGCCCAAAGGAAGCTTGATGATATATTACATCTATCATCACTCTAAGGGTGCTTTCAGACTAGCACTATTTCGGAAAATTCAGGTTGTGCAATTAAAAGATTTGTGCAACTTAACAAGCTCTCCGCCCCCATCATCAGATTGTGTGTATGTGATGAAGATAAGCTGACAAAAACAGAGCATGTGTGAAATTTTACAAAGTTCCAAAATGCATGGCACCTACATACATCACTGTGCTAGAGTGCCAGCAAGGCAATACAGTGGTACCTTGGTTTAAGAACAGCTTAGTAGCTTATGAACAGCTTGGATTAAGAACGCTGCAAACCCGAAAGTAGGTGTTTTGGTTTGTGAACCTTGCCTTGGAAGCAGAACATGTCGAGTGTGTTGCATTTGTAAATTGAGTCCCCCACTGCTATGGGAAAGCATGCCTTGGTTTAAGAACGGACTTCCGGAACAGATTACGTTCGTAAACCAAGGTACAGTCATACCTCGGGTTACGAACGCTGTGGGTTCTGCGTTTTTGGGTTGCGGACTACACTGAACCCGGAAGTACTGGAATGGGTTACTTCTGGGTTTTGGCACATGCGCAGAAGCACAAAATGACATCATGCGCAGACGCAGCGCTTCAGGCTGCAAACGTGGCAGGTTGCGAACGTGCCTCCCACACAGATCACGTTCACAACCCGAGGTATGACTGTACCACTGTATAGGAATTCTGAAAAAATGTGTAGTTTGCTGCTGGTTGAAAGTGTCTAGCAGGCCTGCCATAATATTCCTGATACAGTAATGCAGGAAAAGGTACTACTAGCATGTTTCTGGATGCAAGGCAAAGGGGAATATGGCAATGATTCTACATGATAAAATTCAGGGCAATGGCCTCATCTGAATGTCTTGCAGTGAAACTGCTGCTTCCCATTCTCTGGAACTTGGTATGCTCTACCTCTAGAGAGAATGTCCTATGCAGTTCACTTCAATCTGTCCACCTTATCTATGACTGCTGTCAGGAACAAAACAACAACAAACCTCTGGTTACGTGAAACATATTCAATAAACACACAAGACGTAACTGGCTGTACATTTGAATAAATAAAGTATACTATTCATTGTACTATTCAAGGAATTCCAGAATATTAGCCTTGTTTCGCCATCCTGGGCTTCATCAGTAGTACAAACTCTAGATAATGCAGATAAATACAATATCGTAATCCTGATGAAGCCCAGGACAGTGAAACAAGGCTAATATTCTGGAAATCCTTGTCTTAGACTCTTATGAACAGACAGGTGGAATAGACACTTTAAACATATATGGACCTTATGCATGAACTGATTAGAGAATGAACTGATCCACTGGGTCTTCTACTTTTTCCCGCTGAACTTTATGAGCTACTTCTGTTGAAATCTACAATTTAATACAATGAATAGTATACTTTATTTATTCAAACATACAGCCGGTTACATCTTGTGTGTTTATTGAATGCTGTCAGGGGCAGCCACCCATGCATAGCTGTCAAGCGTCCCTTATTTGGCGGGACAGTCCCTTATCCCAGCGCCATGTCCCGCTGCTGTCCCTTATTGATGAGGCTTCGTTTGGCTGCTGGCTGGGCTTTCTGCCTTTGGCTCAGAGGGGCTCAGAAGTTGAACATACCTGTGCCCGGAAAATCCCTTATTTTGGCTGCTGATCCCTTATTTTCGAGGCTGCTGGTCCCTTATTTTCAAATCTGTAAGTTGACAGCTATGTACCCATGAGGCAAGGTGAGGTAACCTCTGGCAGCAGGATTCACAGGGGCAGCAGATTCAGCCTCTCAATAAATGCACTGGCAGAGATGGCTACAGCAGCACACTCCTTGGAGGTGAGATCTGCCACCTCCTTGGCAGCTTCCCCCTAGGCGGCCATTTGTCAAACAGGAGGTGCTGCTGGTCTCCTACCCCAGCGAGGAAATGGCAGGAGTGACCTCTGGAATCTCCTGGGCTCTGCACCTGCCTGGCATTAGTCAGAGCGGGCACCTTCCCCTCCCTCCCCACCTGAAACGGCCTTGGATTCTCACTTCAACCATTGGGTAAACTTGTTTCCGATGCAGATCTTCACTCATCCCTTCTTCCCTAGTGGGCAGCGCCATTTTGTGTTCACCTCTGGCGCCAGCACTGACTGCTGTTGTAGCTGTTTGGTGGCAGAAGCCAATGGGTATATCCTTCCATGTTCTGAACTCACAATATTTCCTGCTAACATGCAGCTTCCATGACAGGGAGAGGGGAATAGTGGGGGGGGGGGAGGAATCATTCAAGCTATGCAAGGGAAGGTTACCCTTATTTTGTGAGGGAAGCCTGTGTGAATACTGTAAATAAATACTGTTTAACAGTCTGCCTCCATTACTTCTTAACATACCAGAGCAATGCCAACAACTTTGGAAAGAAGGCAGACAATCTCACGTAAAGGACTTTTGCACACGTTACAAACGAGTATGACCTGCATACCACCTATGATGTGCAAAACGTACAAATTTTGCATCAGAGCCCAGTATATTTGGTAATCCAGTCCCGAAAGTATGTCACTCGTGTGTAGACTCCAGGCTTATTTGGCTTAGCACACTCATCTCCCCAGCTCACTATGCCGACAAGATACCACATGTTTCTTGTGTCAGGTGTAACCAGCGGGCCACCAGAGTCGCCCTAGAGGGGGAGGAAAGGGAGTTTTAATAAAACATTGATTTTCAGTAGAAGCAGAAGATTAAAGGGGCAGCATCAAGCTAAAAATATATTCATTTTAAGTTAATGTTAAAAGTACATTCAGGTGTTGTACTTGCTGTTGTCCCTCCCTACCTATGTTTATGCATTTTGCAAATGTTATTCTCCCCCCCCCGCCAAACCAGAGACAACAGGATAGCTGTTTTCGAATTTTGCAACAGTTTAATCAAAGAGCCAGGCATTTTAACAGAAGCAATTCTATGTGTCCAGAGCTAGATGCAGGCCTTTCAGGGTTTTGTGTGTGTATCTCTGGATCAGAGCCAGTGTGAGAGAGAAACTACTGAGTAGTAGTAGGATGTATTTGTATGTTCTTAGTTGACACATAGTGGTTATTCATTCAAACAGAGGGCCCCTCTTCATCCCACATGGATGTGTTTGTAAGAACAAGAAAAGATTTGAAAGAGAACTGGTATTCCGCGAGTTCCAATAGTTAAAACACAAATGGAAAAGGCAGGAAAGAGAGAGAGGAGGAGAAAAAATGACGAAAGGAAGAATGAGGGGGAGAGACAGACTCAGTCCATGGACTTTAGTCTCAGACATGGCTGCTGCTAAGGCAGACAGAAAAGAAATGAGTGGGAAGGTGCTGGCCTTACCCTTCTGGGTATGCCACTCTGCTCTTGGGTTTGATCTTTGCACCAAAAACAGTTGAGTCTTTAGCTCTAGTTGTGTGCTGTGCTGTGTGCAGACAAGGAACCCATATGGGGAACTGCAGAGACCACAAAGAAGAATGCTTAGTTTGAGTGTGTACACGTGGAGCATCTGGAGCCAATGTAATCCTGCTGTGTTTCACACACATTCTCTCCAGCAAGAGCTTCTCTAGAGAAGCCATCCCAGTACAGATGGCGGATCCAGCCTTCCAGCCTTGAGATAGAAGCACAGACTCAGTTCAGGGCTCACTGTGGCAAGGACTCCTGCCTTTCCTCCGTTCTTTTGTTTTTAGCTGATTTATTTGTTTGATGGTGTGTTTTTACATCTATTGCTGCTTATTTCATTGATTGCTTTTATTTTGTGTTCTATACCCCACCCTGGTATCTGTATTAATGAAGGACAGGTTATAAATATATTTTTTTAATAAATAAGAGTAAGTATGGGGCATTGAGGAAGGTTTCTAATACAGTCATACCTCGGGTTGCGAACGTGATCCGTGCGGGAGGCACGTTTGCAACCTGAAGCGTTTGCAACCTGAAGCACTGCGTCTGCACATGCGCGTGACGCGATTCGGCACTTCTGCGCATGCACTTGACCTCATTTTGCGCCTCTGCAGATGCACAAGCGCCAAAACCCAGAAGTAACCTGTTCTGGTACTTCCAGATTCAGCGCGGTCCGTAACCCAAAAATGCACAACCCACAGCGTTCGCAACCCGAGGTATGACTGTACAGTGGTGCCTCGCAAGACGAAATTAATTCGTTCTGTGAGTTTTTTCGTCTTGTGGTTTTTTTCGTCTTGCGAAGCACGGTTTCGGAAAAGTTTTGGAAAAGCTTCAAAAATCACCAAAGTCTTCAAAAACCTCAAAAAAGGCTACCACACCGCGTGCTATGAGTTGCTCCTCGAAGTCAAGTCGCAACTGTATTAACAGTTTTAAGAAAAAGGAAACAAACTTGCAAGACGTTTCCGTCTTGCGAAGCAAGCCCATAGGGAAAATCGTCTTGCGAAGCAAAAACCCTTTCGTTTTGCGAGTTTTCCGTCTTGCGAGGCATTCGTCTTGCGAGGTACCACTGTACTCAAAACCAGGAAGTGATGTTCCTTTAAATATATTCTTCCCACAGGAATGTTACCTTTGTTTACAGGGGTTTAATTTTATCAGATGAGAGTGGACATACCTGACAGGAATCTACTCCTCCTTCCAGGTACCCAGCACATATCATCCCAGGCGTTATGGCCCCATTGTACACTTCTTTTCTATTACAAGTGGTGGAGTCTATGAGCTTTACTGTTGCTTCTTGAAGAACATTAGGGGTTTCACCTAAACGGAAAATATTCATCAGTGCATCAAATAATTTTGCTCTAGGTAAGGCAAGGCATATGGTGTGTCATATAAGATTAGCCACAGCTGCTTAAACTTGCATGAATATAAGAGATTTAAAGGGGAAGATATTTGTGTCTCTGCAGTTGAGCCTTTCCCTTCTAGACTCCATGATTTCTTCTTCCACTCAGGCGAAGATTTCTTTCATCTTCTCTTCATCTTCTTTTTCTCTCGTTTGACAGCTTGGGGGAGGGGTTTCTGCCCCTCTACAATTATCATTTTCTTCCCTACTCAGCATTTTCTCATCTGCACAGAAACCAGCAGCCCTCAGCAATCTGCTATCATTCCCCTGCTCCCTGCCTGGCCACTCCCTGTACAAGGTTCAAAAAACTGCATGTACAATTAGATGGGAATAGGGAAGTGTGAACATGCATTTTCAGCATAGCCCAGAGACCAGTTTAAAGATGGCATTGGTAATTTAACATAATCTCCTGTGCAATAAAGAATCCATCGCTGTCTTCATCTCCTTAAATCTTAACACTGACAAAAGATACATTCCCACTCCTACCCTTAATCTTATCATACAAAATACTGTCTTCTTCTAAGCAGATGTGCTTACCATCATCACTCATTGCTCCCCATCCTGTAATAACAGCATCTATATTATATGGAATCCTCTCACTTGCATCTGGAAGGCAAACCCGATGAACAGCATTTGTGAATTCCACACGTTTAGCCAGCTGCAGGACAGCAATGTCATATTCATGGGCTGGATAACGGTACTTTTCATGAACTATAATGGTCTTGACAGGCCGTACAAGTAGTGAAGGTGTCAGATAGGTTCCAAAGCTAACAGTCCATAAGCGTGGGTTACTGGAACTGAAAAGAAGCAACAGATTAGAGCGAATCACAACATTGCTGGACTTGTTCATACGCAGATCCACAACAGAAAGAGAAAGCAGAGAAGTATTCTAGCTCCTGTTGAACTGATTATGATGTTACTAATCAGCATTTTGATATTCTTTGTTGTCTTCATCTTTTCTAAAGAAAGAAGAAGAGGAGAAGAGTTTGGATTTGATATCCCGCCTTTCACTCCCTTTTAGGGGTCTCAAAGCGGCTAACATTCTCCTTTCCCTTCCTCCCCCACAACAAACACTCTGTGAGGTGAGTGGAGCTGAAAAAAAAAGCAAAGCAACAAGCTACAATCCTCACGGTCACACAAGGCTTTGGAAGTATGTGAGCGGCATCTAGTGAAGACCCATCTGTGAAAGGATTTGAGAAGGACCTCCACTTTGGTTGGTGGAATGTTATTTCCTTGAACAAGCTGCTATTTCTCCTTCTCCCATTGCTATTCCCTGGTCCTGAATGGGGTAACTGTGCCCCTGAAGGACCAGGTGCGCAGCCTGGGAGTCATTTTGGACTCACAGCTGTCCATGGAGGCACAGGTTAACTCTGTGTCCAGGGCAGCTGTCTACCAGCTCCACCAGGTATGCAGGCTAAGACCCTACCTGCCCGCGGACTGTCTTCCCAGAGTGGTGCATGCTCTAGTTATCTTCCGCTTGGACTACTGCAACGCGCTCTACGTGGGGCTACCTTTGGAGGTGACCCGGAAACTGCAATTAATCCAGAATGCGGCAGCTAGACTGGTGACTGGGAGTGGCCGCCGGGACCACATAACACCGGTTCTGAGAGATCTGCATTGGCTCCCAGTACGTTTCTGAGCACGATTCAAAGTGTTGGTGCTGACCTTTAAAGCCCTAAACGGCCTCGGTCCTGTATACCTGAAGGAGCGTCTCCACCCCCATCGTTCAGCCCGGACACTGAGATCCAGCACCAAGGGCCTTCTGGTGGTTCCCTCATTGCGAGAAGTGAGGCTACAGGGAACCAGACAGAGGGCCTTCTCAGTAGTGGCGTCTGCCCTGTGGAACGCCCTCCCATCAGATGTCAAAGAGATAAACAACTACCTGACATTCAGAAGACATCTTAAGGCAGCCCTGTTCAGGGAAGTTTTTAATATTTAACGCTGCACTGTTTTTAACACTTGATTGGGAGCCGCCCAGAGTGGCTGGGGAAACTCAGCCAGATGGGCGGGGTATAAATAAATTATTATTATTATTATTATTCATATCTGACTCCCTGATTCTGAGCACTCTTTGTCGGTACACATGTCCCCAAATCAATATGTGATTAGCTAATACAAAAACTGGGAGACGATGTTTAAAAGAGCATCAGTGGGCAGGAGGAGAGGTTGCTTAACCCTTCCCATGCCTGCTAGGTTCTTCTTGGCAAATCAGATCTCCCAGCTGAGAGCCCAACTAGAGAAGAGCAGTATAAATGTGGCAGAGGGAGGAGATGTTATTTACAGATGATAATTCTCAAGAGGGGGGAAGGTTATACATCCCTCTTCCACTGATTCTTCCCTTCCAATACTTACACTCACATTAGTGTTACAAAGAAAACACAATATTGTGAGTTCACTGTTTGATCTCTACAACATGTATTTCTAGGTAAGGCCATACTCTAGGCTGTCCCCTTAGTTCCCCTTTCTTGACAGCTACCACCACTCCAACCCCTTTTCCCACACCCAGAAACTGAAAGCAGATGAAGCTGTACAAAGTAGAAATGTGCATATGTGCTTAATTTATATCCTATATTTAGAATCTGAGTTACCTTGGCATGGAGTAATCCAGGCATAGGCAAACTTGGCGCTCCAGATGTTATGGGACTACAACTCCCATCATCCCTAGCTAGTAGGGCCAGTGGTCAGGGATGATGGGAATTGTAGTCCCAAAACATCTGGAGGGCTAAATTTGCCTATGCCTGGAGTAATCACTGCTCTGGGTAAGAGTCATGTTTCAGATATCAGCTGATCCCCAATTATAGTGGTACCTCGGTTTAAGAACAGCCCTGTTAACGAACTATTTGGTATACGAACTCCGCAAAACAGGAAGTAGTGTTCCGGTTAGCGAACTTGACCTCGGTCTATGAATGGAAGCTGAACGGTGGAAGGGCACCGGCAGCGGGAGGCCTCATTAGGGAAAGTGCACCTCAGTTTAAGAATGGTTTTGGTTTAAGTACGGACTTCCGGAACAGATTAAGTTCATAAACCGAATTTTACGATTCGGTTCACTGTACTGAATTTTCCCCTAATGTGGCAGCAGCGTTTTTAGATCAAAAGCAGTTGCAGAGACTGCAATGTGGAGTGAAAGACCAGTAAGGTGACGAAAATGGCAGCTCCTACTCCCATTCATTCTTGTTCCCCAGGTATCACAGGTAGGTGTCAGGAACAAGGTAGGCTTAGATCAAAATTACAACCCTGCAGCAGCTGCTTTTGGTAAAAACAAAGTGGGAGCTGGGATTCATGCAAATAAACCTCACCTGTAGGTTGGGCCTATGAGTTCACTGCAATAATATACCCCTTTTATTCCTTCTGATTTTTATACAAAGTCTTGTTCTACTGTTATGCTGTGGACAGGCTATAGCTCATGGGAGGAAACATGCTCAGCATGCAGAAGGTCCCAATTTCAGTGGCTGGCATCTCTAGCTAAAAAGGATCATGTGCTGGAAAAGACCACTGCCTGAGTTTCTGGAGATAAAATGAATATCCCAGTGTTGTCTACTGGGTCAAAGTAGACAACTCTGGGCTATTAATTTTATTTAATAAAATAATTTGTATACCGCCTTTCATTTCAAGAATGTCAAGGTGGTTCACAAACAAAACGATCAAGTTAACTCAATAAAGTTACCATATTTTCCCGTCTATAAGATGTCCCCATGTATAACATGGGGGACTCTGATTTTTTAAAAAATTGTGTATTGTACTATCCGTGTATAAGACCTCCCCCCACCCCAAATTTTGACATTATTTTTTAGGGGGAAAACCCTAGTCTTATACATGGGAAAATACAGTAATTGTTATTTATTAAATTTCTATACCACCCTTCATCTGAGGATCACATTAGGTGACAGATAAGAAAAGTGCACAAGTATATGCATTTTCAGCATAGCCCAGAGACCAGCTTAAAGGTGGCAGTTGGTAGTTTAAGGAAAGGTAAAAGACCCCTGGATGGTTAAGTCCAGTCAAAGGTGACTATGGGGTTGCGGCACTCATCTCGCTTTCAGGTCAAGGGAGCCGGCGTTTGTCCACAGACAGCTTTCCGGGTCATGTGGCCAGCATGACTAAACCACTTCTGGCACAACGAAACACCATGACGGAAACCAGAGCACACAGAAACACTTTTTAACTTTCTACCACAGTGGTAGCTATTTATCTACTTGCACTGGTGTGCTTTCGAACTGCTAGGTTGGCAGAAGCTGGGACAGCAACAGGAGCTCACCCTGTTGCGGGGATTCGAACCGTCAACCTTCTGATTGGCAAGCCCAAGAGGCTCAGTGGTTTAAACCACAGCGCCACCCGCTTAATTTAACATAATGTCCTGTGCAGTGATGACAGATATGTTCCTCAAGTTAAAATATCAATCACAATAAAACACTAAAATGTCACAGTACAGTGGTACCTCGGGTTAAGAACTTAATTCATTCTGGAGGTCCGTTCTTTACCTGAAACTAAAGCACCACTTTAGCTAATGGGGCCTCCCCCTGCCACTGCGCGATTTCTGTTCTCATCCTGAAGCAAAGTTCTTAACCCGAGGTACTATTTGTGGATTAGCGGAGTCTGTAACCTGAAGCGTCTGTAACCCGAGGTACCACTGTAATGGGGAACAGCAGCAACTGCTAAAGGACCTGGTAAAGCAACAGCCAGAACCCACCTGTTTTCTCCCCAGGGACATCTTTCTGCAAGGTAAGCTAGATGAGCAGGCTTCATATGTTCTCAACAAGTCAGCAAGAGAGCTTAGCTTTATAATTCAACCAGTACATACATTTCTTATTCCAGTTGAAAACTTACTCTTTGAAGCAATGAGCTGCAGACACAAGCCATGTGTTACTGATCAGCGTTGCACCACAACGATGGATATTATTCCGCATGAGACTGGCCTGCCATGGCCACTCTCCAGACCCCGAGATTTCAACTCCTCCGGTTACTCTTGGAGAGACTGTTGATCTGTTATATCGAAGCCCACAGACTGTTAATGTCAAGAAAAAGGTAGATGTTGAGGTTTATGAAATACGCCTGCCGATCTGTCTAGGTGTATACTGATCATAAAATCATTGGGAGGGAAAGACATCCACCTTCACTGGGGCCTTCTTTCAAAACCTGGGTCAGTTTTGCCACATGCTCCTAATTCAGACTCTGTATGGCACCGTGAGCCCACAAAATTCTATATACTTCAGTACTCTTTCTTGTCAGGCTCTGCAAATTTACCATAGTCAAAATATGTATTCAGTACCTCATTAAACCAAACACTTGGACTTATGCACTTGGACACGGTGCTTATCCCATGCAGAAATGATATGTGCATATGGCAGGTTGGCTCTCATGTAGTAATAAAGATAATTTTCTTTAACAGAAATGCATTTCACTTATTTGAAGTGTTTAGATTCCTCCTCTGAGCCACAGTGCTTGGAGTGGCTTGCAACAACTTTAAAAATGGCTGCAAAAATAAGATAAAATCAGCAGCAGACACCACTTTCTACAGCCCTCCATTCTGAGAACTGTCCATTTGTTACTGCTCCTTGCTTCCTGCTATTTAACCAGTTCCCGATCCAAAAGAGGAACTCTGTTATTCCATAACTGCTAAGCTTACACAGGAATCTTTCGTGTAGTACCTTGCCAGAAGCTTTTTGAAAGTCCAAGCGCACTATTCCATCTGGATCCCTCTTTCTGTATGCTTGTTTACACTCTCAAATAACTCAATAGGTTTATATTATAGAAGTCGTGCAGGTTAATTTTCAGGATGCCCCCTGTATCCCTTTTTAAAAAATGGTGTTACGTTGGCTACTTTCCAGTTCTCAGGCATGGAGGATCAATTTGCACTTTTTTTTGTTAGAAGATCAGCAATTTCACATTTGAGTTCTTTGAACCTGGATGGACATCATCCAGAGCCAGCCATTTGTCCATTTTTATTTTGCCTATTTAGCCTAGAATGTCATCACTGATTAATCAAACCATACAACTTCAGTTTGCTATTATGTAGAAAACAGAGGCCGTTTCTGGACATAAATAGATAAACAAGCCATGTCCGTTAGGGTTGGTTTCTGGTAGGAATGTGCATCAACCTCAATATTGTGTTCAAACCTCAGTTTGGGACTTTGTAAAATAGCCTGGTTTGGCTCAGACCAATCCAGAGGCTGCTCAACTTGGCTTGGGAGTTTTAGTGCACTTTATTTAACCTCATATTCATTATTGGGGAATAATGAAGGTTATAACTTTCCCCCCTTTTGACGTAAGTGTATGAAATTTGCAGGCATGGTAGCCCAACCCCACTGTGAATAAAGCATACCAAATTACAGGCAAATAGAGCCAGAGGCTTTTGTGCAGCACACTTCTAAAATGGGTTTTCACACATAAGAAATTTACAACTTTTTTATTATTATTTTGGGGCAGAATTGGAAGAAATTTGCAGGCAAGGCTGCCCCTTCCAAAGCCATAAATCCCATCAATTTTCAGAAGGTTAGCTTCAATCGTTTTACTTCAAGAGCAGCCATTACAATTTTGGATGGATAAAAAAAAGGAATATTAAAATCTTGTAGTGTTTTGTGGGCAATTTGACCATTCCATTGCAGACCTGAGAAAGATGCCTTAATAGCCCTGCCAAACTGTAGACAAATGGTTCAGGGACTTTTGAGCTATGCACCTTTAGCGGGGAAGATGAACTAAGGAAAATTCATTTTCTGAGTAAAATCATTTCAATTACAAGCAGAAGAAGAGGACAAAAGAGAGGGCGGAGCCAATCTTTATGATTCTCATCCACTCACCTTTGATGGAGGAGCCAATCAGCAGCCTGGCCCTGCTTCTTACTGTATGAGAAGGCCAATCCCTAAGGGGGACAGAGAATACTTCTCCACCGCTTTCAGAGAATCAATCTTATGGGCTCCTAATGAGCCCAATTTATACTTTGCTGGATTGGTCAAAGACCTGGTCACCATGGGTAGCTTAGAAATGTCTTCAAAAGAATTACTGCATTTCTTATAACTAATAGGAGGAATTTAAACTTACAGTCACTGAAGAGTTTTTCAGCCATTTCTTTGCTCATATCTGGAAGAAAGACATAATCAGGATTAGATTGCACGGCAGTCATCTGACATCTTACTTCAAGTTAGAATTAATTTTGGAAAGAGCTACTTCAAATTAGATTTAATAGATAGATGATTCATTACAAGAACAGCTGTGCTTTTGTTAAGACACAAAAGGGATTGATGGGTTTATTATCGAAGTGTTTACATATAACAGTCAAAATAATATCACTGCAAGTCATAAAACAATTAAAACATTAGCATAACAGAACTGTTACTGTGGCCTAAGGCAGTGGATTAATTCAGATTCATTTATTAGTATCCGTTCTAGTCCTTACTTAACCATGAAGTTCATTGGGTGACCTTGGCCTTGTCACTGTCTCTCAGCCTTTACAACCTCCCGGGGCTGTTGTGGGAATAAAATGAGGTGAGGGAGAACCATGTGTGACACTTTGAGCTCTTTGGAGGAAAGTTGGGATATAAACAATAAATTAATTAATCTACCAAAACCTCGAGGGGATTTACCAGTAAATCCCGATCAGCCTATTGGACATCTCTGCTCTAGAGCAACTGGGAACCGAGTCTTTCCTTATACCGTGTTTTTCACTCTATAAGACGCACTCTTCCCCTCCTAAAAAGTAAGGGGAAATGTGTGTGCATCTTATGGAGCAAATGCAGGCGAGAGGCTCTGTGGTCCCTTTAAAGAGCCCCATGGAGCGTGTGTGCGGCTCTTGGGGGCTTGGGAAAAGATCCCAAGAGCCGCACACACACTCCGCGCACTCTTTAAAGGGAGCGCGGCTCTTGGGGGAGCCTTCGTCCCGCTGCCCAGGAGAGGCTGTGAGTGGCTATCCCATAAACCAGGACAGCAAGCGGGATTGCTGCACAGCGATCCCTCTTGCTATCCTGGCTTCTGGCTTAGCCACGGGAAGCCTCTTGAGGGCAGGGGGCGCCTTCATCCCGCTGCCCTGAAGAGGCTTCGTGCGGCTATCCCAGAAGCCAGAACAGCAAGTGTCTATCCCAGAAGTCAGATCCCTCTTGCTGTTCTGGCTTCTGGGATTCAGAATATTTTTTTCCCTGTTTTCCTCCTCCAAAAACTAGGTGCGTCTTATGGTCTGGTGCATCTTAAAGAGTGAAAAATACGGTAAATCTTTTACTTGTCCCTGTTGCCCTTTAAAAAGTAGGCTGGGGACCAGGATGAGATGAGAGGAGTGTGCAGGAGCCAGAAGAAAGAGACAGCACAGGCTTTATTTGTGCAGGAGATATGTAGGTGCTGAAGATCTGTAAGCTAGGCAGTGTTGCTGAATGTGTGTGAGGCAGGGAGGAGAGAGAGTGTCTAGTAAAGAAGATGGGACTTCCATAAAATTTGACACCAGGAAGATTAGGGTGGAGAGAGAGAAATGAGTGATAGGGCACATGGTTAGACGGCTTGAATGCATAAGGTCTGCAGTTTAATATGGGGTATATGCAAGTAAAAAGATTTCTTTTTCTTTTAAATGATATTTATTAAGGTTTCAATAAAAAATTAAACAGAAAAACATAAACGAAAAATACACAATTCAAAAAAGCACAATACATGGTTTAAACATGAAAAAAGAACAAAGAAAAATATAATACTAAGACACAGAGAACAATTAAAACAATATCACCGTGTTCGTATCGATCCTATTCAATTTACTAGTTTGCTGGACCTCCTCAGACCAATGCCTCTTTAGTATCCAGTTCAAATTGCTTGTCCAGCAAGTTTCTTTCCGTTTTTTAATCCCAATCTTAATCTTAATATCCTATGAGCATTAAAATTTTACCTCTAAAAGCCAAATTTCCATTTCCTTAAACTTTTTCCAAGTCGCTAAGCCGCTTAATCTTAGCTGATCCACTAAGCTGTTAACAGCCTGATACAGCTGAAGCCACTTATTTTCAATCCAACATCACTCTAAGCTGATCCTTTAATTCTACAGTCGTTTCTGTAGCTGATCCACTTAAGCCTGCTTAACAGCTGATCCGTATAAGGCACTATACCGCTTATCAGCTGATCTGCAAGCCACTAAATTCACTAATAGCACTAATCCGCTATAACCACTAATGACGCCTTATTTTAAACTTCAAAAAATTAGGAAAAAATATAGTCTTATACATGGAAAAATACGGTAACCGTGCTGGGAAAGATCCTATCCAATATCTTGGTGGAGCCACTTCCAAGCACAGTAATTGGTACTGGGGTAGATAAACCAATTCAGCGCAAGGCAGTTGCTTATATGTACTGGCACCAAATATCCACAAGGTGGAGCTCTGTATCAAAAAAAATTCTACAGTACTTAATTTTTATTTATTTCATAGCATTTATTCCCTGCACCCTTCAGTTTTGCAATATTCAGAGCAGCTTACTATACGGTAAGGTTTGAAACAGCAAGGCAAGAAAGACATATCCCACAACAGCTTAAGATGGTTGCCATTAGCAGAAAAATCAGCTTGTTATATGGTCAAAGGCCTGAGCAAAACGTTCAGTTTTGACCTGGTGTCAACAAACGGTTCATTGCCAAAGCAGCCTCTCTGCAGACAACATTCTATAATAGGTTGTCACAACTGAACCACATACACCTTCTCTGGATGCCACCTAACCTCCAAAGGCAGGGAGACCCTCTGAAGACTTGAGTAGTCCCTCTGAAGATAATCTCAGCATTTGAACAAGCTCACTTGGGGGCAGTCAGTCCTGAAGAGACTCAGCACACAAAACATATTCTAAGTCTCTTTAAGTTTACTTCCAAAAAAAGTGACCAAGTGTACAATCCATCAATAATATATAATAGAGGGCATCAAAGGATATGGCCATCACTTTAAATTGTGTGCAGAAATGGACCAGAAGATGCTTAAGAACTGGAAAGATCTGTTCCATCCTATTAGTCCCAGCCAGCAATCTGGTACCTGTTTTTTTTAACTTACAAAGTTTTGAGAAGCCAGCCCCATGTACAACAGATTGCGGTAATCCAGTTTTAAGTTTACTAGCGGGTGAAGCACAGTGGCCAGAACAGAAACCCAATGGAAATGAAGCCAGATGATCAGTCTCCTACAGGAGCAGGTTATTGGCTAGGAGCGGCGAAAGTTGAGCAACAGTTAATATGCTGCGCTACTCCAAACACCTTGTCCACATCCTCACGCATCAACAAATGACATTAATCCAATAAAACAGGACTAGGTGGTGCTGCGGAACTGCAGGAATAGTGCCACCCAAGTTGTTGCAGATTTAGGTGATTTTTTTATGATTGAACTGATTGCCAGTTTATTCAGGGCAGGCCTCTAAGGATTCATTTAAAACGTTTTGTTCCTAAGAGAGAACATTATGAACATGATATACAGGTGGTACATAACCCCAGTTAAGCTTGCAAAAATCTACCATTTGCCTGATAATAAATGTTGGAAATGTAAAGAAACTGAAGGTACATTTTTTCACCTTTGCTGGACGTGCCCAAAGATTAAGGCTTTCTGGGAGATGATATATAATGAATTAAAAAAAGGTATTTAAATATACCTTCTTGAAGAAACCAGAGGCCTTTCTCCTGGGCATAGTCGGCCAATCGGTGTTAAAAAGGATAGAACTTTCTTTATGTATGCTACAACAGCAGCAAGAATACTCATCGCAAAGTACTGGAAGACACAAGAGCTACCCACACTGGAGGAATGGCAGATGAAAATGATGGACTACATGGAATTGGCGGAAATGACTGGCAGAATCCGTGACCAGGGAGAAGAGTCGGTGGAAGAAGATTGGAAGAAATTCAAAGATTATTTACAGAAATATTGCAAAATTAATGAATGTTAGAGTGATGTTGGATTGAAATTAAGTGGCTTCTAGCTGTACAGGCTTTAAAGTTATAAATATATCAAGATTAAGGATTAGGATTAAAAGGTTAAAAGAATGGAAAAATTGGTTTTTAATAGGTAAAAATTTAATGTTATATTATATTAAGATTAAGGATTGGGATTAAAAAGGAGGGAAAGGAATTGCTGGACTAACAAACTGAATTGGAATACAAAAGAGGGAGGTATGAGGAGGTCCGGGAAACAAGTAAATGTAAAAGTAGTGATGAAAAGATGGAATTGTTTTTAACTGTTTTTCTTTTTTCTTTTTGTATTTTGCATTGTGTATTTTTCTTTTTATTCTTGAATTTTTCTTTTATGTTGATGTGATTCTTTCTTGGTGAAACTTTAATAAATATCATTTAAAACGTTTTGTTGTTGCAATTGCGGAAACAAATGTTCCCATATCAGACATGAATCTCATTTTTAAAAGCACTTATATCATTCCTAGGAACGGTGGGAGCGATCAGAGGAACCACAACTGATTTAATGAGCCATTCGTAGTTTCACTGTAAGGCCCGTGTGTACTTAGACATGCATGGCTTAATCTTTGAGACAAGCATATGCTACTGGCAGGATCAACCAGGTAGCTGCCCTTGACAGCTGGGTGACAGGTCGGCGTGGTCAGCGTTGCCGTGCCGCACCCCAGGGCTGGCCCCTCGGCCAGGACCCCTTGGGCGGGCGAGCGGGAGCAGAGGCGTACCGGTTCCCCACATACGGAGTGGCCAAGGGGGCCCACAACATGTTGGATACACAGGAGGCGGCGGCAGCGACCTTCATTCCTGAAAGGATGCGGGTGGCGCTGTGGTCTAAACCACAGAGCCTAGGGCTTGCCAATCAGAAGGTCAGCGGTTCGAATCCCTGCGACAGGGTGAGCTCCCGTTGCTCAGTCTCAGCTCCTACCAACCTAGTAGTTCAAAAGCACATCAAAGTGCAAGTAGATAAATAGGTACCGCTCAAGCGGGAAGGTAAACGGCATTTCCGTGTGCTGCTCTGGTTCGCCAGAAGCGGCTTAGTCATGACCTGGAAGCTATACACCAGCTCCCTCGGCCAGTAAAGCGAGATGAGTGCCGCAACCCCAGAGTCATTTGCAACTGGACCTAACCGTCAAGGGTCCCTTTACCTTTACCTTTTATATCATTCCTATCCAATTTTTCTTAGGTCAAAGGGGAAACAGGGAAATATTTCCTGTAATGAATCTTTATGGTTAAGAGTGTAGAATTCAGGGCTTATCCACACTTACCTTTTCCCTGCTCTTTCCAGGCACATTTCTGTATGTTAAAGTTCCTTGTCCAAACACCCCCTTTTTTTTTTTGCCCCAAAGCTTTCCCCACAAAACCCTGCTCTTTAAAGCTAAAGTGCAACAAACAGCAATTCGGGTTTCCCATGGATTGATGTCTGCTCCAATTAAGCTTCAAGAGTGGGTTTTTGCAGGGAAAGCTTGGGGGTGAAAAAATGGGTGCGTGGACACGGACCATACCTGGAAAGCACAGGTAAGTGGATAAGCCCCCAATTTTGGACCACAGCCCAGTTTTACACAGACATTCTGCTGGTCCCTGATAGATAATCTAAGACTATGGTAGTACTTGTTCCGCAGATCAGCAGAGGAATAGAGAGGCTCATGACACAAATGGCAAGTAAATTTGCTTCTAGGAATACATGCATTCATACATACATAAGCACTTCATTTATGGGTGTGGCCACCAAGTTGTTGCTTGAAAGTGCATGCAGCAGGAGAAGCAATAGCCACAACCTTTACTTAGAATCATAGAATCATAGAGTTGGAAGAGACCACAAGGGCCATCGAGTCCAACCCCCTGCCAAGCAGGAAACACCATCAGAGCACTCCTGACATATGGTTGTCAAGCCTCTGCTTAAAGACCTCCAAAGAAGGAGACTCCACCACACTCCTTGGCAGCAAATTCCACTGTCGAACAGCTCTTACTGTCAGGAAGTTCTTCCTAATGTTTAGGTGGAATCTTCTTTCTTGTAGTTTGGATCCATTGCTCCGTGTCCGCTTCTCTGGAGCAGCAGAAAACAACCTTTCTCCCTCCTCTATGTGACATCCGTTTATATATTTGAACATGGCTATCATATCACCCCTTAACCTCCTCTTCTCCAGGCTAAACATGCCCAGCTCCCTTAGCCGTTCCTCATAAGGCATCGTTTCCAGGCCTTTGACCATTTTGGTTGCCCTCCTCTGGACACGTTCCAGTTTGTCAGTGTCCTTCTTGAACTGTGGTGCCCAGAACTGGACACAGTACTCCAGGTGAGGTCTGACCAGAGCAGAATACAGTGGCACTATTACTTCCCTTGATCTAGATGCTATACTTGGGGAATTGATGCATCAGGTACAAACTTGAATAGAACAATGTTCCTTGCAACAACTGTCCAGGCAAGGCAAGGAATTCCATATTTTATTTCTTAACAAAATGCTAACTTATCCAGATGAAGCACCTGGTCATGAAGTTCTAACCAGAATCTCATGCTCATACAGTTTGAGCTAGTAAGTTTAGTCTCTGGAACATACTCACTTTAAAAAACAACAGCAACCATGACCAGTGTAGAAGTTATCACCACCCATTATATGGGTGATGTGTCTGGCTGGGGAATGCTGGAGTCATAACAGACTTTTCACCCACATAATGTGTAGTGATAATTGCGAGCAACAGAAATGCTTAGGAAAAAGAAAGGAAAAACTACACAATCATCCACATGAAGACAATTTCCTCAATAGCACAACCCTCCCGTGTCCACATCTTTGGCTGGACCAAAACAACTCCAGACAAAACCTATGATGCTATGAAAACCTGTCATTTACTTGGATTATTAAAATGTTTAATACTTCTGCCAAAGTTAAAAGAATTTTAAATCACTTAAAAAGCAAAGGTAGCCATGTTGGTTCATAAGGAGGCGGAATCCAGAGTTTGCAAGTGGGTAATACATTCACTAGGATTGACCAAAAAGTCACAATAATGTGACCAACATTTGAGTTCTTCAGAAGTCTTTACCAGGAAAGATGTTACACAAAGCAGGGGGTGGTAAGATACTTCCTGGGGATGGGGGTACCCAGAAAAAATAGCCTAGATGTTGTAGTCATAAAGTCAGTTTGTAGACTCAGTTCTAAGACAGAGATTGTGGGCTTGTTTATCCACTCATTTTATTATTTATTTATTGGATTTATATACCGCGCTTCAACATAAGATCTCATAAGATTTCAGTTCACAGAATAAGGGTTGTAACCAATATTAGTCATACTCATAGTAGACCCATTTAAGAAAGTGGGCCTCATCAACCTGTTGTTGTTTAGTCATTTAGTCATGTCCAACTCTTCGTGACCCCATGGACCAGAGCACGCCAGGCACTCCTGTCTTCCACTGCCTCCCGCAGTTTGGTCAGACTCATGTTTGTAGCTTCGAGAACACTGTCCAACCATCTCGTCCTCTGTCATCCCCTTCTCCTTGTGCCCTCCATCTTTCCCAACATCAGGTCTTTTCCAGAGAGTCTTCTCTTCTCATGAGGTGGCCAAAGTATTGGAGCTTCAGCTTCAGGATCTGTCCTTCCAGTGAGCACTCAGGGCTGATTTCCTTAAGCTCATCAACCTAGGCCCTACTGATTTCGGTGAGTCTACTCTGAGGGGAATTTAGGGCTTACCCACACTTCCTCCTCATTTTCCAGGGATGGTCTGCACTTTAAAGCTCCGTGTCCAAGCACTCGTTTGTGAGCCAGAGCTTTCCCTGCGAAAACGCTCCCTTCACCACTGAATTGGAGCAAGCGACCATCAGTGGAAAACCTGAACTGCCGTTAGTTCACGACAGCTTTAAAGAGCAGGTTTTTGTGAGGAAAGCTGCAGGGCAAAAGAAAGAGTGCTCAGACACTGAACTTTAAAGCACCTGTGCCTGGAAAGGGCAGTCCAAAATCTAAGTGTGGATAAGCCCTTAGTTGGCTATAACCCTGCACTTTAAAGTGTTATTGATTCCAATAGGAGATAAAGGCATGTGTTTATCTCTGCCTGGGATATTTCAGGCTTAAAAAGAGCTTAACTTTTGGCTGGGCTGAATCACACCTTATATTGTTGCTGCTACAAACAGGCACATTTATCAGTAACTGGGGATGGGAAAGGCTCCATACACACTATACCTTTAAAGTTCATTCGAAACACATTTTTCTCGCCACAGAATTCTGAGCACTATACAGTGGTACACCTGGTTACGAACAGGATCTGTTCCGTGCTGCTCTGGTTCGCCAGAAGCAGCTTAGTCATGCTGGCCACATGACCCAGAAGCTGTACACCAGCTCCCTTGGCCAATAAAGCAAGATGACACCGCAACCCCAGAGTCGTTCGCGACTGGACCTAATGGTCAGGGGTCCCTTTACCCTTTACCTTTATGATTCAGCTAAAAGAGCAGGTTTTCGTGGTGAAGGCTCCAGAGCAAAGGAAAGGGCGTTCGGACATGCAGCTTTGAAGCATAGACCTGTGCCTGGAAAGAGCAGGTCTAAAGGTAAGTGAGGATAAACCCTAACAGAGGAAGTTGGTATCATTCAGAGCTATGGATTAATATTACTCAGGCTCCACCTTCACAGTGGTGCCATGTTTGCACAACAGCAGTCTAAGGGCCTTGCTAGCCATCCTGTCTCCTGATTTCCCCAACCTTCATCAGCTGTGGAATGCCATGGGATCGGTGCACACCAGCAATCCCAGATTAACAGCTTCCACTGTGCCTGGCAAAGCAGTAGTCATAAGAGTCATGAGAGTGGTTGTCCGCATTCCAATGCGAATTTCACTATCCCCCTCCAGGTTGCTCCCACTTCTGTGCCAGCAGAGATGTGTGAGATAACAAGCACATGCCTTGAGAGAAAAATGCGATGACACAGTTGGTAGCAATTCAGGTCAGATAGCGATCAGCATGGCACCCAAGGAGGATCTTATAAAGGGGGTGGGGGAGAAGAGAAGCTCTTTCCCTTGTTTGTTATTTAAGAGTTTTTGTTTCTTTTCTTCTTTTTTAAAAAAGCCAGCAATATTTTGAGCCGTTCAGAAGTTGCCTGGGGTCTTATTTTCTCTTCCTTCATTGTGAGAAGAGAGATCTCTACAAGGCACTGAAGCTATCACTAAACCCCAAAACCAATTTACAGCTAGTCTACTGGGAAGAAGATAAAGGCAGCAGAGAAGAGGCAGGATGTTTCGAAACACTGTCAGACAGGAAGGCTACAGCAGCCCAATCTCATTCTGATTAATTTGGAGTGTATGCCACATTTTTGAACACGTGCATTCGTTCGAAATATTATTCCATCGCTTTCATCAAAGAAGGAACTTATTTCTTGATTCGGTTTTGTTGATTTATGCTTTGCCTGGAAGAGTGTTTTGTTAATGCACTATGTATCGTCGGCAGTAGCTTCAGGATTTGAGAAGAGGGCTAGCAGGAAGAGTCAATGGATAGACCATAGCTGTCAACCTTCCCTTTTTTTGTGGGAAATTCCCTTATCAAGCGCTGTTTCCCGCTGCTTCCTGCTGCTATCCCGGATTGTTAGATATCCCGTAGACTGTCCCTGGGACAGGTGAGGCTGCTGATCCCTTATTTTCGAGGCGGCTGATCCCTTATTTTCAAATCTGAAAGTTGACAGCTATGGGATAGACAAGCAACATGATTCAGGCCCCACCTTCCCCTTGGTTTTATGTTACGTGAAATTGTGGAGATCTTGGCCGAGAGGATCCTTTACAGATCACCTGGCCTTAGCAAGTACAGTGGTACCTCTGGTTACATACTTAATTCGTTCTGGAGGACCGTTCTTAACCTGAAACTGTTCTTAACCTGAAGCACCACTTTAGCTAATGAGGCCTCCTGCTGCTGCCGCACCACTGGAGCACGATTTCTGTTCTCATCCTGAAGCAAAGTTCTTAACCCGAGGTACTATTTCTGGGTTAGTGGAGTCTGTAACCTGAAGCGTATGTAACCTGAAGCGTATGTAACCCGAGGTACCACTGTATCCAGCTTTGGAAAATGCCAGCACTGGCCATGCTTAACTTCAGCTTCTTTCACCCATTTAGAAAGTAAACACAAAGACTTAAGACCATCCTTCGTTGCTTGTTTATTAAGTTCTTAGAGCAATTAAGTCCATTATTGGTTAGCATCAAAGTAGGCTGATGTGAAATGCTTTAATGCATTTAAGTCAGGGCCGGCCCAAGACATTTTGGCACCAGAGGCGAACCACAAAATGGTGCTTCCCTCCCCGCCAGGGGAGAAGGGGTGAGCGAAGCTCTACAGCAGAAATGAGGGGGGGCGGAGAGAGAAAAATCGACACCCGGATCTGCTGCCCCTATGGATATTGCCACCTGAGGTGGTTGTCTCACCTTGTCTCATGGGTGAGCTGGCCTATTTAATGTGCATGGGGTTTTAGTGCAACTAAATGGCATAAGGTATCCCAGAACAAGAGCAAGACCTGGGATGTGGCAAACAGGAAGGGAGACTTTAAACCAGGGGTCAGCAAGGTTTACCTTGCCTAGGCCAGTTCACTCCATTGGAGATCCCTCCATGGGCCGGATCCCGCGTCTGCGATTTCTGGCGTCTGAGTAGGTGTGATTTCCGGCACTGTGAAAGCAAGTCCCCGCACTGTGCTGGTTTAGCGCAGTGCGTGGGGACTCGCCAAATGGGCGGCTCGTTTCGTGGGTGGCTCGTGGGCCGGTTAAATGACCCCCATGGGCCACTTGTAGCCCATGGGCCTTAGGTTGCCTACCCCTGCTTTAAACCACCCCCTCCTGCTGGAATCCTGACAAAAATTGCCCGTCACTGCTATTTACATTGAGAGGAAAACTCCTATTAGCACCATTTGCTCCCATTGCAAAAAATACGGGGTGGGGGGGGGAATTAGTCTCCCCCTTGCAGCCCACCATGGTGTGGGTTTTTTTAAAAAAAAAAATAACATGTGCAGGAGGGCCTGCAGCAACTATTTATACATTTAATAGTTCCACATTAAATCACATATTGCATTTACTGTTACATGAGACCCCAAAGGGCAGCCCCTGCCACTTCCTCCCTAGGGATGGGGGGAGACGACCTATTTGCCAAGAGGCTGCTGTAGAGGCAGCAAGGGGGCAGCTGCCAAGGACGCAGCAGGGGGTGATGCATTCCTTGGAAGCTGGATTTGATGCTCCTGTGGATCCCAAGGTGCTCCGGATGGGATCAGATACTTCTCTGAATATTGCAGCACAGATTTCATGCAGAAAACATGCACACATGCATATGTTTTTTACATAAATTAGGTGTACAAAACAGGTATTCCCCGGATGAACGCATGGAAAACACTAAGAAGTGCATATTTTATATTTTTTAAAAATGTGTATTTTATGTAAAAGTGCATACAATTTAACTATGGATTTTTCATGCATCCTTTTAAATATATATATATGCAAAAACATAGGGCAGATCAGACCTATGACTGGGCACCAGTGAGACTGAAGCAGGCTGAAATTAGCTGCTCACTCCATTCCTATAGGGATGGGAACCGTATGTACCCTGCCTTGGGTTCCATGATGGAGGAAAAATAGAAGAAATGTAATTTATTTTTAAAATTTATGGGGCAGTAGCAAGGTTCAGCAGGTGCCCTCGGTGAACTATGCACTAGAACTCTCATGAGCCCCATGGAGGTGTCATGAAGGGGGTGGTTAGATCCGGGGGGAGAGTGGGAGGAGCTCAGAGAGTTAGCACTGGAAGACCAAGGGGAGGGTCTCAGTGGGTTGCAGACCATTGAGTCAGATCCACAAGAGGCGTCCGATTCCAGAGAGTGACCCATCAGCTTAAGGGGCGAAGAATCAGATCCTGGGGAAGGCCTGAGTAGAGTATTAGGGGTATGTTCTTAACTATGCAAAATCACTTTCACAAAGTTTGAAAAAAAAAATCCAGAATCTACTAGGTAAAGGTAAAGGGACCCCTGACCTTTAGGTCCAGTCGAGGCCGACTCTGGGGTTGCAGTGCTCATCTCACTTTATTGGCCGAGGGAGCCAGTGTACAGCTTCTGGGTCATGTGGCCAGCATGACTAAGCCACTTCTGGCGAACCAGAGCAGCACACGGAAACGCCGTTTACCTTCCCACTGGAGCGGTACCTATTTATCTACTTGCACTTCGTGCTTTCGAACTGCTAGGTTGGCAGGAGCAAGGACTGGACAATGGGAGCTCACCCTGTCACGGGGATTCAAACCGCCAACCTTCTGATCAGCAAGCCCTAAGCTCTGTGGTTTAACCCCCAGCGCCACCCACGTCCCTCCAGAATCTATTAGGACCAACCAAAATATCGAAGGTGAGTGAGAGAAAACAGGTATTTTAAGTGACAATCTACCATCAGATATATCAGCACTGTAGCATAACTTATTTAAAAATCAATCAGAACTATGATTCACAATATGATATGCCTAAAATAGAAAATATGTTGCTTGGTTGATATTAAGACCTACAGTTCCCAGTACATTTAGCTTACAAAACTTGCTCTTAAAAACAAAAACGAAGCTGGCAAGGTTGAGTAGGAGTACAACATGATAAATATAACAAGCCCTGGGAGAGAAAGCTCGATCAATGGTAAAAAAAACTCAAGGCACTTGCCTGTGAGGGTGGAAGAGGGGAGGTTGATGCGAGCAGACCCGGGATACATCTTCAACCTCTCCTGCAAAATCTTGTCAACTGCCATCCGTAGTGCCGTGTTATCAGTAGAAGAGAAGAGAAACATCAGCACAACTTGTGCAATCACTCCACCTGTGTCTGGGCTGAAAGAGAACCAAAGCACACACAAAAACTAACCGACTGGTTTATGGGCTGTGTCCACACTACACCTCTAAAGCACATTCAAAGCATTTCTCTCTCTTTCAAAAGAGTCTGGGCACTGTAATTTACCCCTCAGGCCTCACCCACACCTCCATTTGCCCTGCCACTGCCCCCCAGAAAAACCCACTCTTTAGCGCTGAATCGGAACAAACGGCAATCACGGACTGCTGTTTGTTCTGATTTAGAACTAAAGAGTGGGCTTTCCATGAGAAAGTGGCAGGGCAAAGGCAAAACCACTCAGACCAGCGCATGGACAATCCCTAGACATCTCACTGCATCTTGTGGGAGAGAACACCATAGTTTAATATACTCTGTGAAGAAGTGCTTTCTTTTGTCTGTCCTGAGCGTTCAGCATCATTAGATGGCACCTGGTTCTTGTATTATGGGAGAGACAGAAAAACTTCTCCTTGTCCCCCTTTCCCCCAATGGATGGATGTACTTGCTTCTGAATCCAATGCTTATTTCCTCTTAGTTCAATCTAACCCTTTCCCCAAGCTGTTCACCTTTTTGCTATGCACACACACACACCAAGCACCTTGTAAGTTGACCTTAGTAATCATTTGTTTTTAAATTAAAACATCCCGGTAAGTTCCTTTAAACTGATAACAAACAGCTCAAGGGAGGTGTGAGGTGCCTTCATGACTGTCACATGAACTCATTGCTGTGTACATCTTCACATTTGGCCAAGAGGAATGGGTTTTCCCTGATTAGTAAAGGTAAAGGGACCCCTGACCATTAGGTCCAGTTGTGACCGACTCTGGGGTTGCGCGCTCATCTCGCTCTATAGGCCGAGGGAGCTGGCGTTTGTCCGCAGACAGCTTCTGGGTCATGTGGCCAGCATGACTAAGCCGCTTCTGGCGAACCAGAGCAGCGCACGGAAACACCGTTTACCTTCCCGCCGGAGCGGTACCTATTTATCTACTTGCACTTTGACGTGCTTTCGAACTGCTAGGTTGGCAGGAGCAGGGACCGAACAACGGGAGCTCACCCCATTGCGGGGATTTGAACCGCCGACCTTCTGATCGGCAAGCCCTAGGCTCTGTGGTTTAACTCACAGCGCCACCCGCATCCCTTTCCCTGATTAAGAGAGGGTTATATATCTGACTAAAACAGTGTAATTCCACAGCACGCTCACTGCTTAAATTATGTATATTTGGATGCATTCTACAGTATGTAACCATATTTCAGAGAACATACGGATTGCACACAAGGCAATACACCTATTGATGTACAGTAAATTCCAGCCATAAATCATTTGCTTCAAGTCTTGAGACTGGAATGCTTTCTGAGGGGACGGCAACAATTTCTATAAAACAGTGGACAGTTATTTGCTATATTCATTTGACAGATGGAGAGCTAAACCATATGAAATTATTTCCTAAAGCAAATGTAAGAGTAAGGACTTATATTCCCTGAGAGATCATCTTACACTTAAGCCACCAAGCAATTTCTCCTTCCCATATATAAGCACAATGGGGCAGCATTTATGTATCACCATTAGAGCATTGAACTTTCTCAAATATGTATCAGCAAGTTGCCAGGGGAGGGAGTAGCTATCTCTGCATATCACTATCAGATTTGGTATAGCAGCCTTTTCAATGACTTTTATTTCTGTTCATGCCCATCATGGTTAAATGTTATAGAAAAGAATAGCTGAACCCACTAATTGCTGCTGGACAGTATCAATACACTTGTGAGGACGATGAGTAATCCCCAATGAAATTAATGAAGCTTGCATAGTACTCCGCTTAAAGACTGTCTCCTTGCGTCTCCTCCTCTGTTTTGGCTTATTCACCCCACCCAAAGGTGGTTGCAGCATGCAAATTTGTGAAACCACAAACTGTATTTGTGCCAGCACTGGATGATTCAGGTAGGAGGAGGAGAAAAGCAACTGCTTCTGTTTACACACCCTCACCAAGGCAATTTTCAATGAAGCAAAATGGAAAGAGAAAAACACACAGGAAACAACAAGCTTTTATTGGACCAAGGCAACCCTTCCCATCAAGAATACTGAGTGAGTATAACCTCAGAACGGGGGTGTTCAGAAACAAATCATTGAGCCATTATGAATTGAGCCCAGCCCACCTTCCAAATTCCAGGTGAGCCTGTCATGGCACAGTATTGGCCTTCTCCCGTAATTTTTTCTTCTTCGCCATTCCCACACATCTCCAAAGTTATCAAGGGTAAGAAGGCAAACTAGCAGTTGAGAGAGCTTGCAAATGTTTCAGAGCTCAGAAACTCTCCCACAACTCATCACAAGTTTTTAAGTACAGTCATACCTCGGGTTACAGATGCTTCAGGTTGTGTGTTTTCGGCTTGCGCACCGTGCCGAACCCGGAAGTACCAGAATGGGTTACTTCTGGGTTTTGGCGCTCGCACATGCACAGAACCACCAAATTGCGCTTTGTGAATGCACAGAAGCGTCAAATCGCGACCCGCGAGTGCACAGATGCAGTGCTGCAGGTTGCGAACGCTGCGGGTTGTGAATGTGCCTCCCGCATGGATCACGTTCGCGACCCGAGAGTCCACTGTACAGGAAAATGAAGCAGGACATAACTGGTAGACGAGAGGTCTAGCTCCCCAGCTTGAATCTTCTTGAGCTTTGTAGAAGTGGCAGAAAAAGCCTGACCTCTCCCCAAAGAAATGACCAGAAAGCCTCAGAAAGACCCACTCCATTCTGAATCCGAATGGGCAAGTTTCGTTCATCAATAACCATGAACACGACTTCCCCCCTTATAGAATAAATATGTTTCTTATGAGAGCAAAGTTTGTGCTTGGGAATCAGCTTTAGCATCTTAGCATTAAAAATGAGCTATCAGCAGGAGACCTGTTGACAGTTCCCCGCACATTGGCTGGATACCAAATAATGAATTGCATGTGCGCATTGTTGGCATCCATCTGTCTCAAGAGACAATGGAGTGTGCCTCCAGGGGAGAAGTCAAACCGCTGCATTAGCAGCACCAAAGTGACCTCCCCAGAGCACAGGCCTGGGCAGTGTGTATGATGGTCCTGGGCTGCCCAGTTGACAACCTTTCTGGTGTAGTCCAAAGGAAAGCAGAGCAAGATGTTTGGCACCAGCTTGGCTGCAGGAGTTGCCTGAAGGAGACATACAAGGTGCCCAACCGTCTTATGGACTCCACTCAAGATGTGTGTAGGGTTTACTCCTTAGCCTTTTCTTCTCCTGAGGTTTTCCCGCAAGGCAGCGGAGTTTTAGGATCAGTTTTCCTTCTCCTGGATGAGCTGCCTTCCTGGGTTGACAAGCCCCACCTCTCAAAATCATCTCAGAAAGAACTTCTCTGGCATTTAAGCTTGAGACTCCTTAGGGTAGTGATAAAGAAGGGTATCAAATCCAAACTCTTCTTCTATTTAGGGATGCGGGTGGTGCTGTGGGTTAAACCACAGAGCCTAGGGCTTGCCAATCAGAAGGTCAGCGGTTCGAATCCCTGCGACGGGGTGAGCTCCCGTTGCTCAGCCCCTGCTCCTGCCAACCTAGCAGTTCGAAAGCACGAAGTGCAAGTAGATAAATAGGTATCACTCCAGCGGGAAGGTAAATGGCATTTCCATGCACTGCTCTGGTTCGTAGTCATGCTGGCCACATGACCCGGAAGCAGTATGCCGGCTCCCTTGGCCAATAAAGCGAGATGAGCGCCGCAACCCCAGAGTCATCCGAGACTGGACCTAACGGTCAGGGGTCCCTTTACCTTTACCTTTTACCAGCAGAATGCATCCCCATGGAGACAGTTCACATGTTCTGCTGGAAGTCATGGGAACCAACCCGTTGTAAAGCACAGTTCTGATTTTATGGAGTGTAAAATATGGCTACAAATATGGCGGATTTCTGTACCATTGGCCATCCTACTATTATATTAAATATTATGACTAAATCTACACACGAGTCATTATCTTATTGGCTGTTTAATGGGTATCATGCTGCACGTTCCCTCTCCTCACCCCAAACCCGCCCTTTCTTCCTGTGCTGCACCAAACATACAAATTAAATTAGTCTGGAGACACACCTCTTCATACACTGCAATACGCTGTCTCACCCTTTAATAACTCACTCTAAATAAAGATAAATATCGTAAAGATAAATATCGTGAAGATATATGCAATCACCCTTTCTTGGCAATATAATATTACCAACCGTTTACTCACATGATACAGTTAATCACCGAACTAACATTCCATTTCTGCTCTATATGCCACTGCAGAAAAGTGACTTGTATTGGGTAAAAACAATTCAAGAGAGAAGGGTAGAGGAAATATCAGCTGTGCGGAAAGAAGGCTGTATTTTTTCTTCCTGTAATGTTTTGAGTCTAGCTCCTTCTCAGGGATAAGATTCAGCTTGAGGAAAATGGCCTCATGGGTCAGTTTGGACCCCCTGGCAGGCAAAGATTGGGTGGAAACTGGAAATTGCCCATCCCTGGTTTAAGTCAAGGCCAGTGCTGTTAGAATGGTACTGTCATCAAGTGAAAGAGAAAGCTAAAATAATCCCCACTATTCATTTGTCAGTCTACAGATGACCTCACATAGCTGCACGCTGCAGACTCGAGCAACAGCTGGTAAATCTAGGCTTGTACAATTAAAGTGGATTAAAGTGCTCTGTCGCCCTAAGGTGTTGCAATGACACCTTTTAAAAACATCCTTTAAAAAAAGACTTTTGGCTGTTATGGAAGTAGCAGGGAAATTCACCCGAGAGTGCTGAATGATTAGCAGGAAATTTATAAACACCCCACAAGCAAATCAACAGGGTGAACGTTCATTGTTGCAGAGTCACAGAAGGTGAAATTGATTTTGAAGGCAAGCCCTATTTCCCAAAAATACTAATTGAGGAACAGTGCCATAAACTCACAGGAACGCAAATAAATGGGGGGGGGGCGAGGCACAGCCTGCTGAAGAAATACAGCCGGACACCCTCCCCTTCTCAAAGCTGGCAACCATAGTTAAGTTGATCCTGTGCAGTCCATGGGGAGGGAGCGTTCAGCCATTGCTTTCTTCACCTGCCACAGTCAAAGTCCCCAATGGCCACGGCTGACTGTGTTAATGCAAATGAAATCTATGCATTTCCATCCAGGACTGTGTCACCCGCAGGTGACACAGAAATGACCTGTCAAATATAGCTATTAAGGGCTTATGGAAAGTGCTCTGCCAATGCCCGCTAGGCTGCTGCTTTGAAAAGAAGGAACGAGGAAAGCTACACAGCCGTGCCTTCCTGGTATATGTTCAGTGGATTGGAGGTGCGGGGAGGGTCATGGGGAATTATGCTGCCAGTGTAAGGAGCTCGGGAGTTTATAAACATCTGAGAATAGAACTGATTTTAATCAAAGAGCTGCCAATTAAAATACAGTGCCCAGATTCATGATCTGGAATGCAATGCACATTTAACTACATCCTCTACAGTCATACCTCATGTTACATTTGCTTCATGTTACGTTCTTTCAGGTTACGTCCCGCGGTGACGCAGAAGTACCGGAAAGGGTTACTTCCGGGTTTCACCGCTCGCGCATGCGCAACAGCGCTAAATCGCTCTTCGAGCATGCGCACAAGCACCAAATCACGGCGCACACCTGAGCAGATACGGTGCTTCAGGTTGCGCTCTTTTCATGTTGCGAACAGGCCTCCGGAACGGATCCCGTTCACAACCAGAGGTACCACTGTATTCCTGAAGAATATGCCAGCAAACAATATGGGCTGCTTTGCATATTACACGGACGAAAAGCTGTGTTGCCACAGAGATCCTGTCTTAGAAGCTTGGGCTAGTCTTAGTTTCCTGGCCACCAAGTCTATGTAGCACATATTTGCTACCTTCAGATAGGACAGTACAATACAATACAAATACCTTTACTGGCATTACAAATTAAGACATTTCAAATCCCTGGGATAAATTTTAAAGGGACAGGAGTGAGGCTGTCGGGTCACAAGGACATGTTTACACCGAGCAAATATCTAAAAGCTTTTGAACACACTTTGAACTACTGTCAAAAGAACTGCCCACTGCCCAACTGGCAGCTTTGGGGAAATGTGGAAATACTCCAGACTTAGAAATTAAAAATGTTCATCTGTGTTACAGCACAAACTGGAAAAACTAGGTACCTCTCAGGAATAATATGTCAAGAGGAGAGGTTGCAATGATTAGGTTCATATGGGTTGAACAGGGAGGAGGCATAGGGTAAATTCCCCAGCTGAAATATCACCTATGTTATCAACCTGCTAGGTGGCTTCAGTGTCAAACTAGGTGTGACGGTGAAGCTCTGTGTTATCGCACTCACCAGCATTACATGTGCTTTGTGGATTTAGCCATCCTGCCTTGTTTTACTGATGACTCCCAAAGACTTGTGAAGTGGTCTTTTACAAATTATTGCAGAAAGGAGCGTAAGCTTTCCAGTCTGGTACACTAACACAAGTTAAGTCATTTCATTTCCAAGGCAAATAATTTCCAAAGATACCTAAAGCTGACAATTGTTACAGTGCAGTCCTCCTAAGGCTCTGCTGGTGTGGGATCATGCAGAAAGATACCATTCAAGGTGGATCCAGATGAGCAGTTTATAACCTTTCTACCACACATCTGTACTCATACAAGTGGCAAGATGATTCAGAGAGCCAATACAGATAAAAAGGACACTGGGATGAGCTACCTTGGCCCAACATACTGTGGTCACCTGTACCATTCTGCTAAGAGGTGTAGAGAACTGTATCAGGAGCAGCTTGTTGGAATCCAGGCAACCAACTTAGAAGAAGAAGAGGAAGAGTTTGGATTTGATATCCCGCTTTATCAGTACCTGAAGGAGTCTCAAAGCGGCTAACATTCTCCTTTCCCTTCCTCCCCCACAACAAACACTCTGTGAGGTGAGTGGGGCTGAGAGACTTCAGAGAAGTGTGACTGGCCCAAGGTCACCCAGCAGCTGCATGTGGAGGAGCAGGGAAGCGAACCCGGTTCACCAGATTACGAGTCCACCGCTCTTAACCACTATACCACACTGGCTCTTAATATTTAGTTAGTTAGTTACACACACACACACACACACACACACACACACACTGGCAAATCCACCTGCTGGCTGAGTCACAGGAGAATCACAGAATTGTAGAGTTGGAAGAGACCCTGAGGATCGATCATTCCATTCCCCTGCAATGTAGAGGAGGGAAGATTTTTGCCATGTGTTTGGACCGTGGTTTTACATACCTCACTTTGACAAGCCGTGAGCCTCTATATTTAGGCCTTAAAATGGAATTGTGAAATGTCTCGTACATCTGTTGGGAGAAAGCAAAAGTGTTCTTTTAGCAAAGAGAACTTAGGGTCGTCCGAGGAACACCTGCTGATACTAGATCCGCAGAGCCACATTGCAGAGATATCCTCCGCATAGCTGTCAACTTACAGATTTGAAAATAAGGGACCAGCAGCCTCGAAAATAAGGGACCAGCAGCCAAAATAAGGAATTTTCCAAGCACAGGTATGTTCAACTTCTGAGCCCCTCTGAGCCAAAGGCAGAAAGCCCAGCCAGCAGCCAAACGAAGCCTCAAGCGGTGGTTCCCACAGCGCAGCAACCCGGCAAAGGGGATGCAGCAAGGGAAACCACCGTCACCTCTCCGCTGGGAAGCGCTGAGCAAAGCGAGTCCCCAGGCAACGTGGCCGATTTGATCGGCACAAGGCATGCAAGCTCCACCCCCCAGTCGTTCTTAGACTCCTTATTGGGTGAGCAACGCAGCCAAGCAACACAGTTGGAGCCTCCCTCCTCCTTGGCCAGCACGGAGGGAGGGAGAGGAGCTGCTTCCTTTGAAACCCGGGAAATTTAAGGGACATCATCAATAAGGGACAGCAGCGGGACACAGGGCTGGGATAAGGGACTTTCCCACCAAATAAGGGACGGTTGACAGCTATGATCCTCCATAATGCATAAAGAACCATTTTCGTTCAGCTGAATCATACCTGCCCCTGGTTCCTGTTCCGCTGCAGTAGCACAAGGCAAGAGCTTGCGTCACAAACAGCTGCCTTGCTTGTCTTCATTTGTTTCTCAGAACCCCAAGCACTATTAAGAAGTCATTTTAGGAAGGCTACATTTCTCACGTGATTTAAGTATTGAAACTGTGCAACCCTATGCATGCCTACTCAGAAGTCGTGAATTGGACGGATCTTTCTCCCATTGCGAGCGTGTAGCCTTACAACTGGGCTGAGCATTCCTGAATTGGATGGGTTGAAAAGGAGTGAAAGCATGGATTGTCCACTGCTTCCAGAGTGGTGCCATCTCACAGTGACCCGGCTGGGAGGTAGGGGAATAAAACTTATTTCTCTCCCCACCCCACCCCCCAAGCCGATTTCCATTTTGTAAAATCAATTTGGGTGGCGTGTAGTTGATGCGAGTATAGCTGATGAGCCTGATCCTGGAGATTTACAGAAGAATGAAGGGGTTTTAGGTTGTCTCTGCTCCATCCCCAGAACGCCCCATTTCAGGGCTGACTGGTTGCTGTCGACAAAAAAAACTATTAATGCTAAATTGGGGCCCATAGAACTTTTCACAGGTATAGCAAGGGCCTCTCTGGCATATACACCCCATGTTGATGAAGATCTTCTCTTCCTGCAGAAAGGCATCTCCACCCCATCCTAGCCCTTTCCAGCCAGCAAATGTGAGGGTTAAGATTGCTCTGTAAATCACCCACAAGCCTCAAAGCCATGGGCAGGCAAACTAAGGCCCGGGGGCCGGATCTGGCCCAATCACCTTCTAAATCTGGCCCACGGACAGTCCGGGAATCAGTGTGTTTTTACATGAGTAGAATGTGTGCTTTTATTTAAAATGCATCTCTGGGTTATTTGTGGGGCATAGGAATTCGTTCTTTTTCTTCTTCTTCAAAATATAGTCTGGCTCCCCTCAAGGTCTGAGGGACAGTGGATTGGCCCCCTGCTTAATAAGTTTGCTGACCCCTGCACAAAGCTATCCATCTCAGACAGCGTTTGAGCCCAGTTCTCCAGAACTGAAATTCTCTTTGCTAGACTGGAATGTCTTCTTGCGTAATCTGTGTCCAAAAAGTCTTTTGCAAATGTTCTACCACTTCCTAAGAATGGCATTTTCATTCATAGCATCTTGCCATTTGTTTTCTAACCAGAAACAACAAATAAGAAGAAGCCTGCCTATATTTTAGACATGTCCAGTTTTATTGGTCTTTTAACTTGCCTTGCGACTTCTGTATAAAGTGATTTAACAAATGCAAATAACAACAACCAATTCATATTATCTATAAATTTAGTAGACTTGAATTACAAAACTCTTCAAACACTTTATAACTGAAAGGTAGCCTTGCGTCCCATATGAAAATAAAAATATTTCCTGCGTGGTTTTATTACTTTTTAATGACTTGTTATATTTACCCTTTTTTATAGGACTTCAAAGTAGTGTGCATGTAGGCTTACTCCATTTTGTTGTACAAAGTTTGTGTATTAATTATCATGAGACGGTTAAAGCAAAATTTAATATCAAGGGAAGACTTAAGAGCACAATCCTACGCGTGTTCACTTGGAAGCAAGTTCTACCATAAGTTCAGTGGAACTTATGTTCTAGAGAGAATACAACCTTAATGTTAAATCTGCTTTTTTTAATGACTGCCAAGTCTTTTGACCATGGGCGTAGCTAGGATTTATCTTGGGGGTGGTGGTGGTGGTGGTGCAGAACTTCAGTTAGTTAATTATCTTTATTGATTTACTTGATGGGGGGCAGCTGCCCCCCTGCTTTTGACAAAGATTCAGTTTCCTCCTCCCACTGCAAATTCCCAGGATGTCCTGGTCTGCAGAAAGGAGATAATAGTGCTTCCCTACTTAACAGTGTGCTGCAAGACTCCTAACAGTGAGACAATGCAGTTTCTGGTACAGAAATGTTATTGCTGTTACTATGGTTTAATGGACACCTGAGCAGCGGCTCAAGGCTTTGGAATGTTAGATGGAGACACAACTTGCTTGGTAGCTGAGATGCTGAGATAAATTGCTGGTGAGTAATCCTAGGTGTCTTCTCAATGTATTCTTATCACATACCACAGCAGTTCATCATCTCGGTTTCATCTCAAATTGCACAGCATCTCTATCAACATAGGGATCATCCACACTCATTTTCCTCCGGACTTTCTAGGCACAGGTTTGCACTTTTCCAGTCTTTGCCCGAGTACTATTTTATTTTATTTGCCCCTCCACTTTCCCTGTGAAAATCCCACTAGCATAGCTAGGGGGCAGGGAGGCTGACCACATTGGGCGACACTTTTTTTGGAGGGCGGAACCACACAGCTCTACCCCTGGGTCAAGCCTGGCCTGGAGAGGAGAGTCAATTCTCCGTCCCTCTCCTCGGCCAGGCGACACCACACAAGGATGCTGCTGAGGTAGCTTTCTCGCGCCCATCCGCAGTTCCACTCTCCATTCTTTAATGCTTTCCACAATCAGCAGAAAACCCAAATTGCTGTTTGTTCTGATTCAGCATCGAAGAGTGGATTTTCCTGGGGAAAGTGAAGGAAGTGGGAAAAGTGCTCAGACTTTTCTAGACTTGGGCCTAGAAAGCACTGTGTGTGGATGAGCCCAAGGATGAACCAGGATGCCACCTATATATATATATGTCCTGTCACATAATCGCATGCAAAGGCGATTTTCCCCCTTTCTGAGCCACTTCGCTGCTTTCCAGACAGGGCTGCATTCCCCCCCCCCTCTTTTTTATATTTCCCTAATAATTGTGACATTTGTTTTTCTTTAGGGCTCAGCACCATTCTACCCTGACACAATTGCAGGACCATCTCTCTAGAAGTCAATAGGGAGAATATTGGAAACAACTTCTTCTTCTTCTTCTTCTTCTTCTTCTTCTTCTTCTTCTTCTTCTTCTTCTTAATACCTCACCCATCTGGCTGGGTTTCCCCAGCCAGTCTTTGCAAGAGGTGGGGAAAACTACTCAGGTAGCCTCTTCAGAAAGATACTATGACCGATGGCATCAAAAGCTTCCAAGAAGTTGAAAATAATAAATAAGGGTTCACCCGTTCTGTCTTCCTATCGACAGATCCAATGTCACAGAGTGATCAAGGCAATGGCAGGCCCAAAACTGATCTTGAAATCATACTGAAATGGATCCTAGACTTGGCCAGACATCACCTCTTTATTAGAGTAATAAGCCTCAGTGGACAAGGACGCTCAAGCATATTGATGGTCGGCTGAATGTAACCAAAGATCTTGTCCACACCCTCAGAATACCTTTAAAATATCCATAAAAACTGGACCTGATAGGCACCTGAGCTCTCTCCACTGCAGAGAGTCCAGATCATGGCAACTGGGAGCAAATTTACCAAACATTCCACAGCATCTCTCCCCAGGCCAAATTGCACGAGGCCATGGACTGTTGTCAGAACAGCTGACAATGAGAAGATGCAATAGTGAAAATAAATCCTCATGGCTCCCACACTTTGATACCAGCATTTCCATTGAGTTGGCTCGATAATGAGCTCACCTCTTAACGCACTTAATTGAACTCGTCACCAGTCTTCCTCCATCTCCTTTCTAACCATTTAACTGCAGCATATCCATCACTCGGGTCATCTTCATATCCACAGAGCAATCCATCACTTGGGTCATCTCCATATCCACAGAGCAACTAGGGATTTGACAGGAGCACCACAGCAGGAAGTTCAGAGGACTCATTACACTCCAAGGGCGGACCATTTTAATAGTTCCCCCACCCGTGCAGGGGAGTAGAGATGCGGAAGGTCTAAAGTTAAACAGGAAGTTTTCTGGCCATGGCAAGAGAAATCCAAATCAAGAGTCTGTCCTGCATGCCCTGGGTTGATGACATGTGGGGTCAGCCCCATAGTTGTCATGGAAGCCATGAAATCCTAAGCCTCGGGATTTATGTCCAGAGTCCCACAGGACAATCATTCTGGGAGTTTTCAGCACCAAATCCACAACCACCTCTGGCAGGAAGACAGATGAGCAGGAAAGGGGGCAGAATCTTCAATCTGCCCTGAATACCAAAGTTATCCATGCCTTTTCCTCCTTGCACATACCCCGGGTGAATGAAGAAAGAAACCATTATTGCAGTATCGGTATAAAAAGGTAAAGGGTAAAGGGACCCCTGACCATTAGGTCCAGTTGTGGCCCACTCTGGGATTGCGGCGCTCATCTCGCTTAACTGGCCAAGGGAGCCGGCGTACAGCTTCCGGGTCATGTGGCCAGCATGACTAAGCCGCTTCTGGTGAACCAGAGTAGCGCACGGAAACACCGTTTACCTTCCCGCCAGAGCAGTACCTATTTATCTACTTGCATGTTGACATGCTTTCGAACTGCTAGGTTGGCAGGAGCCAGGACCAAGCAATGGGAGCTCACCCCATCGCGGGGATTCGAACCGCCGACCTTCTGATCAGCAAGTCCTAGGCTCTGTGGTTTAACCCACAGCGCCACCCGCGTCCCGGTATTGGTATATTCCCCCACAATCCCCTATTTCCAGCCTCACCCACCTCTGTTTTCAAATGCACACACTGTGAGGCAATGCACAATCAGTCTTCAATGAGCTTCTATTTTCAGAATGAAAACAGTGTCTCAAGAAGCACTTTGGGGGACAAAAATTATTTTTGGTTTCTGTCAGTCCCCGTTGATTCTAAAATAAACTATCACGCACATGCAGCCTTTCTCTGCTTTTGTTCTCTGCCTTTAGAATTCAAGCTCACCAGATCAAAACCTCAGGCTATCATTTACCTGACGTCCTGAACACACCCAACCAAGGAAGACAAACAACCAGGAGTTCACCTCTTTATTGACAAAAGCAGGCACTCACAGCAGCTCATGAGGTGCACTGAATAAAAACACACATGCTTCTAGACACTGCTTTGCTGGCATTCACTTTCCCAGGCTTGTGCCCCAGCTGAACCGCTGAAGCAACAGGGGGACCACACATTTGTTGTTGTTGTTTACTTGTTTAGTTGTGTCTGACTCTTCGTGACCCCATGGACCAGAGCACGCCAGGCACTCCTGTCTTCCACTGCCTCCCGCAGTTTGGTCAAACTCATGCTGGTAGCTTCGAGAACACTGTCCCACCATCTCGTCCTCTGTCGTCCCCTTCTCCTTGTGCCCTCCAGCTTTCCCAGCATCAGGGTCTTTTCCAGGGAGTCAAGTCTTCTCATGAGGTGGCCAAAGTATTGGAGCCTCAGCTTCAGGATCTGTCCTTCCAGTGAGCACTCACGGCTGATTTCCTTCAGAATGGATCGGTTTGATCTTCTTGCAGTCCATAGGACTCTCAAGAGTCTCCTCCAGCACCATAATTCAAAAGCATCAATTCTTCGGCGATCAGCCTTCTTTATGGTCCAGCTCTTACTTCCATACATCACGACTGGAAAAACCATAGCTTGAACTATACAGACCTTTGTCGGCAAGGTGATGTCTCTGCTTTTTAAGATGCTGTCTAGGTTTGTCATTGCTTTTCTTCCAAGAAGCAGGCGTCTTTTAATTTCGTGACTGCTGTCACCATCTGCAGTGATCATGGAGCCCAGGAAAGTAAAATCTCTCACTGCCTCCATTTCCTCCCCTTCTATTTGCCAGGAGGTGATGGGACCAGTGTCCACATCTTAGTTTTTTTGATGTTGAGCTTCAGACCATATTTTGCGCTCTCCTCTTTCACCCTCATTAACAGGTTCTTTAATCCCCCCCCAAAAAAAACACAACAGGGACCACACATACCCCAGACTTAATCTGACGGAGTTTTCGCGCAAGTGATTCCTCCTAAACCGAAGTTGCCACTGTGCTTGCCTCTTTGAGCCTCTCCTGATTCTATGAGACAGTGTGGCAGGGGATGGCAGGAATTCAACCAGCTCGTCCTCCACCTGAAGAACCTCTTCTTCTGCTTCTGTTATGTCCACCATCTCTGACTGCTCAGACTTCTCCCCTTCCTCCAGCCCTAGCTCCTGCTTCGCTGGTGGCACAAAACCCAATAAATCACTGGCCCACTCTCCGGGGTCAACCTGGGGCCTCCTCTGCCTCTTCCACACACTCAGAGTCCTGTCACCTGATTTACCTGCTTTGCTCTTTTCTGCTTATTACCTTGTCCTGCTCAATCTTGTCAGCACCTTCAGTTTCAAAGACTTCTGTTGATCTGCAACATCTCATAGCTTCCAGATTCCACTTTAACTTTTGCAATATCTCAGATGAATTATTATTCACCTTTGCCCACCTTTTCTTACACAACATGTAGGGTTCTGAACTAAGTCAGCCTTGTCAACAACAGGACCATCACCCTTTGGTCAGATTTTTCAGCAAGTCTTTCTAAAGAACATAACAACTTCCATACATGACCACTGACATGATATTTGTTTGTTCGTTTCATTTTTACCCTGCCCTTTCTCTGAGCACCTCAAGGTGGGATTCTCCTCATTCAGTCTTCACCACAAACCTGTGTGAGGTACGTCAGACCAGGAGAGAGTGACTGTCATGGACTGGGCAGAGGAGGAATGGTGGAGACCCCCTCCCCATCCTGACCCTTCCAGGGAGGAGGAAGAGGAAGCCAGTATAGATTTACAGTGGTGCCTCGCAAGACGAAAAGAATCCGTTCCAAGAGTCTCTTTGTCTTGCGGGTTTTTTCGTCTTGCGAAGCAAGCCCATTAGCGGTTTAGCGGGCTTATCGGATCAGCTGATAAGCGGCTTAGCGAACAGCTGATAAGCGGCTTAGCGACCAGCTGTTAAGCGGCTTAGCCCATCAGCTGATAAGCGGTTTAGCGGCTTGGGAAAAAGCTGATAAGCGGCTTAACGATCAGCTGATAAGCGGCTTAGCGACCAGCTGTTAAGCGGCTTAGCCCATCAGCTGATAAGCGGTTTAGCGGCTTGGGAAAAAGCTGATAAGCGGCTTAACGATCAGCTGATAAGCGGCTTAGCGATCAGCTGTTAAGCGGCTTAGCGACCAGCTGTTAAGCGGCTTAGCCCTTCAGCTGATAAGCGGTTTAGCGGCTTGGGAAAAAGCTGATAAGCGGCTTAACGATCAGCTGATAAGCGGCTTAGCGACCAGCTGTTAAGCGGCTTAGCCCATCAGCTGATAAGCGGTTTAGCGGCTTGGGAAAAGCTGATAAGCGGCTTAACGATCAGCTGATAAGCGGCTTAGCGAACAGCTGATAAGCGGCTTAGCGACCAGCTGTTAAGCGGCTTAGCCCTTCAGCTGATAAGCGGTTTAGCGGCTTGGGAAAAAGCTGATAAGCGGCTTAACGATCAGCTGATAAGCGGCTTAGCAACCAGCAGTTCAGCGGCTTAGCCCATCAGCTGATAAGCGGTTTAGCGGCTTGGGAAAAAGCTGATAAGCGGCTTAACGATCAGCTGATAAGCGGCTTAGCGATCAGCTGTTAAGCGGCTTAGCCCATCAGCTGATAAGCGGTTTAGCGGCTTGGGAAAAAGGGGGGGAAAGGAAAAAAACCCCGCAGGAACTCGCAAGACATTTTCGTCTTGCGAAGCAAGCACACAGGAAATTCGTTTTGCGAAGCACCTCCAAAACGGAAAACCCTTTCGTCTAGCAGGTTTTCCGTCTTGCGAGGCATTCGTCTTGCGGGGCACCACTGTACAACAGTGGTTTGAGGGAGGTCACAACTCAGAGGCAGATGATGGGAATTTGTCGACCCCTGAACTAAACACACAGAAGTCAGGAATGGAGCGAAATGGGTTGGTGTATGCAGGGAGGGGGGCGGTAAAGCAGAATACACAAACACAACCCCTGCACACTTTTTGCTCTCACATGTTCAGGGAGAGCAAGAGAGCATCACAGTCACCTGATCAGTTATTGTGGGCGTTTGAGGAAATTCAGAATGGCACATGATACAAAAAGAGAACCTTATACAAAAAGAGAACCTGTCATTCCTGGGGTTCCAAGTAGTTAACAATTTAGTGACCATTCATTCATTCATTTCATTTCAAAAAATATATAAACCACTTGATTGTAAAAAATAATAATCAAAGTGGCTTACAAAATGTAAAACAGTAAAATCAAGGAGAATTTACAATCCTGCTTCAAAAGACACAAAAGTTAAAATACAGAAACAGATTAAAATAACCCCCTTTAAAAGACCAACCAAGAGGCTCTTTTAAGAATTTGTGTAAAAAGTACAGGGACCCCTGACCATTAGGTCCAGTCGTGACCAGCTCTGGGGTTGCGGTGCTCATCTCACTTTATTGGCCGAGGGAGCCGGCATACAGCTTCCGGGTCATGTGGCCAGCATGACTAAGCCGCTTCTGGCGAACCAGAGCAGCGCATGGAAACTGAGCAATGGGAGCTCACCCCATCGCAGGGATTCAAACTGCTGACCTTCTTATCGGCAAGTCCTAGGCTTTGTGTTGTGTTAAAAAAATCATCAGTCATGTTGCCCATCACCACCTCTGCTTGCCCAAGACTTCCCCAAGTCTGCAGAGTGCATTCTTTTGATCATTTGAGGAAAGTACAGTATTAATCAGTTGTTTTATACTTGCTGCTCCAAAATTAGTTTCCTGTTCAAATTCTCTGACACACGCAATTACTTTATCACTCTCTTTCATGTCTTTCTTCTTTCTATCCAAGATGAAGAAGACTTTTCATGCCCTCGTAATTTTAATTGCCTTTGTTTGTTCTTCTTCTAATCTTAACATATCCTTTTCAAAGCAGCGCAACAAGAACTGCAGCTTTATTTGAGGTGTGGCGAATACAATTAACTTACACAGACTTTTTTGCCAGTACTGTCACTCTTGTATAAGTCAATTAAGTTTGCTACACGGCAATGCAAGTATTTTTGTTCTATTAAAAGTATTTCCTAGTCAAATAAAAGTCCCAAAGTGGTGCCTTGTTTTTCAGTAGGTGATTAGTGTTTTCTCAGGGGAACCATCTACTGCAACACAATTTTTTTTTCTGTGTGGCAACAGCAAATGCAAAATACAACCCTATTTAGGTATGTGAGGAAAACCCTCTCTCTCACCAGCCATGATGCTTCAGGTCTGCTACTGACTTCCTATATAGCCATGGTGGTGGTTTAAAGTGCAATAGGGGTAAGAATAGGGAGTTGAATCACACTCCCACCAACCTGTTAACTTCCCAACAACCTTTTTTTTAGTTCATTCATTCATTCATTCATTCATTCTCTCTCTCTCTCTCTCCCCACACACCCGCTCCTGATGGGACTCAATGACCTGCAATAATTCTTGCCAAGAGAACAACCAAGTTTTAAAACAGTTAATTTGGGGCAGAAAACCAGAGATGGAGGTGAGTCCTCCTTCTCAGCAGTGCAAACTGACCTTGAAGCTCCTCCACCCTCAACTTTATAGTGAATTGACAGCAGGCCCATAACCGGAGCTATGAGGAAGGGGCCATTGTAAGTCAATAAAGGTAAAGGTAAAGGGACCCCTGACCATTAGGTCCAGTCGTGACCGACTTTGGGGTTGCGGCGCTCATCTCGCTTTATTGGCCGAGGGAGCCGGCATTTGTCCGCAGACAGCTTCCGGGTCATGTGGCCAGCATGACTAAGCCGCTTCTGGCGAACCAGAGCAGCACACGGAAACGCCGTTTACCTTCCCGCTGGAGCGGTACCTATTTATCTACTTGCACTTTGTGCTTTCGAACTGCTAGGTTGGCAGGAGCAGGGACCGAGCAACGGGAGCTCACCCCGTCGCAGGGATTCGAACTGCCGACCTTCTGATCGGCAAGTCCTAGGCTTTGTGATTTAACCCACAGCACCACCTGCGTCCCTTGTAAGTCAATACGGAACTACAAAAACCTCGTCTAATGCAACGAGTGTCTGATATCATGAGTACAATTGGTGCTATTCATTTATTAATTTAAATTTAATTGGATTTTAAGTGCTGGTTACCCAAGTGCTCATCTAGGTCACAGACTTAATTGGCTTCTGATGGGTCCCATTCCAAATAGATAGGTTGTACCTGTACAGTGTGGCATTATCTGACTGAACGAAGTCTAACTTCACAAACACAACACCACAACCTCATTAGTGGTAGTAATAATGTTTCTTCCAAATAACTGGGGAATGTTAATAACGTAGACGGGGAAATGAGTCATTCTGAATTCCTTCTCAAAAGTAGCATCTGAGAAGACTACTGTAATGGGATGGTAGAGATAATATCATCCAGTTGTTCCTTATTCATTAAAATGCAGTTCTGTTCTCCTTGGGAACTGGATCACAGAGTTCCCCAGTGACTTTTTAAATTTTTTAATTAAAAAAAGTTAATAGAGGTACTGTGCTCTTTTGAAGTGACAGCTCAAAGAGTTTAAACATAAAAGCAGTTTAAATATGAAAGCTTGCTTTTGAGGTTTGTGAAGCTAAGAGTTATATAAATCTGTCTTGGCATAGTATCAGCAAACCAGGGAGAAAATATTTTCTTATAACCTTACTATGAGCTCTCTGTTGCTTGAATGGTTACATCTGTCTTTTGATATCATAAGGTGGTGCATAAGTTAGGATTCAAAACTGTGTTGGGAAAACTGGAGGAGAAGGAAGAGATAGCCTTTAATATAAACCTATGATTGAATTACTAAAATGAGGTTTGTCAGAGCTCCACCAGGGTCAGAGCAGGGAGGTGTCTCCCCAAGCTGGAAGAATGAGCAGTAAAGTACTTTGAGGGTTCCCACACACACACACACAATCAGGAGGCATATAAATTTGATGAAATAACTAAACAATAAAAAAACTGGCAAATGCAATTCAATGTAAGCAAGTGCAAAACATTCTAATTTCACATATCTTCTCATGGGGTCTGAACAGGGGCTGGCTGACCAGGAAGAAGACCTTGGGATCCGAGGGATAGCTTGATAACTTGATAGCCACCCAAAACTGTCAGATGGGCAGGGTACAAATAATAACTGATGGTGAAGATGTTGACCCAATGTGCTTTAGCTGTGAAATATGTGAATGCTGTGCCTAGGGATCATGAGGGGAAAGACGGAAAATGAAACTGCCAATATAATAAAGCTGTTATATATCTGTGGTGCAGCTCATAGGACTTTGGGAAACTGATCCTTCGGTGGAAGGCGAAAATGTTTAAAGTGGAATGGCAGATGAAACTTATGGACTATATGGAATTGGCGGAAATGACTGGCAGAATCCGTGACCAGGGAGAAGAGTCGATGGAGGAAGATTGGAAGAAATTCAAAGACTATCTTCAGAAACACTGCAAAATTAAGGAATGTTAGAGTGATGTTGGATTGAAAATAAGTGGTTTCCAGCTGTACAGGTTAAAGTTAAGGATAGACTAAGATTAAAGATTAAGATTAAAGATGTTTAAAGAAATGGAAATTTGATAATAAAAGGGAAAAATTTAAAGCTATATGACATTAAGAGTAAGGATTAGGTTTAAAAAGTTGAAGTTATATATTTTAACATTTTATTAAATTAAAGATTGGGATAAAAAGTGGAAAAGAAACTGCTGGACAAATAATGTGGATTGGAATACAAAAGAGGGAGGTATGAGGAAGTCCAGAAAATAAGTAATTTAAAATTGGAAATGGAAAAGAGAGTTTGTTTTTAATTGTTATGTTTTATGTTTTCATTGTTAAGTTTTGTATTGTTTTTTGTGTGTGTTGTTTTTCTTTTTTCTTTGTTTAAAACTTTAATAAAAAATTATTTAAAAAAAAGAAAAGAAAAGAAAATGTTTAAAGTGGCTCATGGAGCTGAAGAAATGGAATTACACCCACTCCCTGCTAATGTCAAAGATTTGGGACCACCCCCAAAAAGCATTGAATAAGCAAACAGTCATGGTGGGCATGCTGGCTCCATGTTAGACCCAAATTGGGCCTCAGAAGCCTTGTCTGAATTGGCTCGTAATGACTACAAGCTACAACTGCTCAAATTTTCTCTTGTACACAACTATTAAAAGTGCGGGTGTCCTGTCCTCTTTGTCACCTGGTCACCCTTCAAATCCTGGTAACGTCCAGCAAGAAGAAGCACCCTTCTTTAACATTTGCATTTTATTTATATTATTTACTCTGCTCTATATTATTCCACTAGGGACATGGTTGGTGATGTGGGTTAAACCACAGAGCCTAGGACTTGCCGATCAGAAGGTCGGTGGTTCGAATCCCCGCGACGGGGTGAGCTCCCGTTGCTCGGTCCCTGCTCCTGCCAACCTAGCAGTTCGAAAGCACGTCAAAGTGCAAGTAGATAAATAGGTACCGCTCCGGCGGGAAGGTAAACGGTGTTTCCGTGCACTTCTCTGCTTTGCCAGAAGCGGCTTAGTCATGCTGGCCACATGACCAGCTGTACGCCGGCTCCCTTGGTCAGTAAAGCGAGATGAGCGCCACAACCCCAGAGTCAGCCACAACTGGACCTAATGGTCAGGGGTCCCTTTATCTTTACCTATATTATTCCACTAACTCAATTCTGTACACAGGGCACGAATGACATTGGTCGACAAAAGAGATCGACATACGTGCACACAACTGGCCAGCTCCTTCTTGCAGGACATTACCAGGATTTTATCGGGGAAATCAACCATGTGAGTTGTACCTGTGCATGAAAGACTGTATGCATGTAGGCACCATGCAGTCGGCTATCTTGTGGGAGTGGCGAATCATGGCCAGAACACCAACACACAGGGAGACTGCTGGCTCAAGTCTCTATAAAGTATTGACCAAACTTGTCTAAGACTACTGAAAACAAGTGATGAGCTGCCATACTAGGGTGTGCAACTTAAATTTTGGGGTGAGTTTAAGGGCTGAAACTTAAATTTTGCTAATTTCTTCAGTGACAGGCCTTAAAAAATATGTTTTTGCGCGTGCTGAATTCAAAACTTTCATGATTGGGCAAGTTTAGTTTTATGATGAAGAAGCCCACAAACTGCTTTCGGAAAACCAAACGATTTTGATTTTACCTTCTGAAAATGTCAGGTAATGCTTAATAATAATAATAATAATAATAAGGTACAACTGCATTTGTAATTTTTTTCTGTGCAATTTTACACACATTTTACTAAACAAGCAAAACTAAGTTATATTAATATAACCAAAATCTCTTTTGAATTCCTAAGTCGTTCCAACTTTTTAGCACCCCTCATATTTTGGGAAGTTGAAAATTGAAAAATCCAGCACGCCCTACTGCCATTTGCAAACCAGCCCTTAAAGAAACAGGACTTGGGAGTTTCATCTAATGCAAGATCTGAGAGAGATGAAGGCTATATGCATGCTTAAATGGGAGTGAGCCCAACTGGAGACAGGGACAATAATAATTCCCAGTACACATGCACAGGACTGAGCTTATGAGGTCTAGTTTCACAACATTCTCTCTACTCCTTGAGAGAAGGATCTCAGGTGATAAGGAAATAATTATCCAGGTCAAGAAGATTTATAGCAAGAGTACCTGTGACATTAAACATATTTGTGCTGCCTTTAAAAATGCAAATAAAATCAGTGTCGGGAGGAGGAATATAATTATTGGAGCACCGAAGGCATGGTGGTGGTGATTTAAACCTTCCATCCCCCTGCTGCAGCCCTGAGGGATATATCTGTTCTGCGGAGCTGGTATTTTCTTTTTGGGAAATCCATTGGATTTACCCAGAAGAAAATGCCACTTTCAGAGAAGGTTTTTTCCTCCCTCAGAACTGCAGCAGTGAAAGAAATGCTTTTCATGCTCCAATAAGTATCAGCTTCCAACCTCCCAGCTATGTTTCCGTTTCTTAAAAGCAACAACCCTGTCCATCAAGGGCAGAGACACATTTGATAGCTTGTCTCGTTTGGTCCTCACATATGCAACACGCGCCACTTGAGTAGGAATTAGAGGAGACAGCCATTGTTAACCTCAGAGAATTCGAATGATTAGGAAATGAGAAAGTTTTTTGTTTGTCACTGACTCCTTCCCTTGACTCAGCTCCACCTAAGGAGCACGTTTTCCAGATTTTCCAGATGTTACCGGCAGCTGATTGGTACACATAGCTAATCATCCTTCCGGCAGGAATCCTGACATTCCTGCACCTTTGTCATCGTAGGGAAAGCATCATCCACTCTCTGTGTTTAGGTGTTCAGTGGGAAAGTCTGGCACTTAGATATATGGCCTGCCGCTCCCACAGAAGGCATTCAAATTTAGGTGGGTCGCATTTAGGTCATATGTCATTACAGTGGTGCCTCGCAAGACGAAATGAATCCGTTCCGCGAGTCTCTTCGTCTTGCGGTTTTTTCGTCTGGCGAAGCACGGCTATTAGCGGCTTAGCGGCTATTAGCGGCTTTAAGAAAAAGGAAACAAACTCGCAAGAACTTGCAAGACATATTGTCTTGCAAAGCAAGCCCATAGGGAAATTCGTCTTGCGGAACGACTCAAAAAACGGAAAACTCTTTCGTCTTGCGAGGCATTCGTCTTGTGAGGTACCACTGTATTGCCCACAGTGCCGGATTTACGTATAAGCTAAACAAGCTATAGCTTAGGGCCCCACTCTCTTGGGGGCCCCCCAAAAAATTAAAGGGAAAAAAACTGGATGTACATTTCCAAAATATAAGATTAAAAAACCCAAATAAAATCAAACCTACATACAGCAACAGTATTTTGTGCTGCGTAGGCTCCTATAATGTAAGCAATGGGCCCCGCCTGCTAGCCTGCTCCCTAAAATATCACTGGTTTGCTCATTTCTATATACAGTAATACCTCGGGTTGAAGTAGCTTCGGGATAAGTAATTTCGGGTTGCGCGCTGTGGCGACCCAGAAGTAATGGAACGTGTTACCTCCGGGTTTTGCAGCTTGCGCAGTGTCAAAATGATGTCACGCGCATGCACAGAACTGGCGAATCATGACCCGCAGATGCACGGACGCAGGTCGTGTTCGCTTCTGGATGTGAACGGGGCTCCGGAATGGATCCCGTTCACATCCAGAGGTACCACTGTATGGGGTGCCTACATTCTGCATGTGCAGATGGCTTTAAATACCTATTAGGTCCAGAAATTGCCACATAGCATATATTCAACACAAAAAGCAGTGGCAATTTGTTGTTGATAAAGGACAGCTGGACATAAAAAGGGCACCATTACCTCCAGTAGCTCAGGGCCTCATCAAACCTAAATCCAGCCCTGATTGCTCAGGATCACTTATCGCCCCCAGACTATTTACTGTCACAGATTATTGCTATATAACGGTGCCATGGACCTCTGTTATGCACACCAAAGGTACAAATCTCTTCAATTATTATTATTTTTAAAGTTTGGGGGTGTCTACTTAGTCATAGAATTGTAGAGTTGGAAGGAACCACAAGGCTCATCTAGTCCAACCCCCCTGCAAAATGTGGATAATGTTGATACATACACCGATATAACCACAATGCATGTCCTTAAATTACACTGCCTTTTTACAATCTTGAATATATCCAATAGCAGGTTTCTTCCATCTTCGTTCCCTGTATGCAGCCACAAGCCTACCCAAATTGTGCTTCCGGTCCTATTGTTTTCACCTCAGCCACTGACTCAATAAACAGCCTAAGGAGTCATGCTTCTCTTCTCTCACTCAATCTTTCCCCACAATCTGCACTATGGAATTAATAATCCTGGCCTACCTTATGGACTGTTGTAGTAGGGGTAGAAAAAACGTTTGAATGCTTCCACCAAATGTCGGTTTGTGAATGAATCCCTGCATATACAAAACTAGTCTCTGAGGAAAAGGCTAGGGCAGAACTCCTGTGTTGCATTTGTTTGGTCTGTACAACAAGCAAATACTCAGTTTCCTGTCCTTCTTTTAAGATCATTTGTTCGATATATTTAGGTTCTCAGTAAGTGAACACGTGATTGTTTAAAGAAGAACAGGAAACTGAATACTTGCTTGTTGTACTGACCAAACAAGTATATAGGCGTCTAAACAAAGACATCTGCACTCTCAAAGCCAGAGTCATAAACCTGTAACCAATTAAACATTATCTCCACCATCATCATCTTCAGTAAGGCAACAAATGAATACATCAAGGAAGGATTCACATGGATTAAAAACCAATTTCCAGAGGATAATCCAATTGCAACAGAACTGCCAGCAGCTCTTTAACGTTCAAAATACACACTCACTTTTGAGTACAATAAACGAGAATTCACTTACGGGATATCCAAATGCCTTTTTGTACTCTTTCGTTTAGACTGTTTTGGATACATTACTTTCCCCCAGTACTGGAACACTAATCAATTGCACAGGGAAAAAGCAACACTGTTCTCACATAGTAAATTTACTGATGCCTGCTTGGAGTGTATGAAACGCAGGGCTGAGCCAAAAGCTATACATATATTCCATGAACAACTTCAGCAGTTTAAAAATGTTTCCCTACGCTTGTTAGTTGAAGTCAGCTGTTACCTGCCAATGCCCACAGAGTAAGCTGTCCTGGCATGCTTAGCCTAGTTCATGGGTAGGCAAACTAAGGCCCAGGGGCCGGATCCGGCCCAATCGTTTTCTAAATCTGGCCTGCGGACTGTCTGAGAATCAGCATGTTTTTACATGAGTAGAATGTGTGCTTTTATTGAAAATGCATCTCTGGGTTATTTGTGGGGCATAGGTTCTTTTCCCCCCTTCAAAATATAGTCCGGCCTCCCACAAGGTCTGAGGGACAGCTGAAAAAGTTTGCTGACCCCTGGCCTAGTCATTTCCCCTCACTTTAGGAGGAAACAAGCCTATTGTTCTCCCCTCAATCTACCTGTGAATTTAGTGATGTGAAGACTTCCAACCACATCTGGAGACCCCCAGGTTCCCCATGCCTTCCACAAATAGTCCAAATGCATCAATAATCCTTTCCGTCATATGAACGCCACAGACCAAGGACAGAGATACAAGTCTAGCTTTGACCCCTGTTCAGATAGCGACTTGATCACATTCAGAAGACCTTATCTGTGAGATGGGCCATTTGTGCTGGGATCTGACATGATGTGAGAAGCAGTTGTTGGGGGAAACAATCACCCATCATTCTTACTTCCTATAATGGGTACTGCTGAGCAATGAGGACAGGAGGAAAAATAGGACAGGGCAGTGGTTTTCAACCAGTGTGCCATGGCACCCCGGGGGCCTTGAATGGTGGCCAGGGGTACCGTGGGAAACACTGACCTATGTCCTACTTTAGTTCCTTTCCTCTGATGTCTTTTTGTGTGAAATATACTCGGAGTCAAGAGTGGATTTCATGCTCTTTATTCAGCTCATAGTTGTGAGGAGGAATGGAAGTTCCCCCAGAAAGTCTGCTTTATATACATTATTTACATAATAGGCCCCACGTGATTAGCTAATTCCAGGATTCTCCTGTAGGCCAATCAGGTTGCGGATTCACTTCCACCTGGAGCTGGATTGGGTGGCTCCTGTGGACCGATCAGACTGCTGCATTCTGGGTCCTATTGTTCTAGGACCAATCAGACTGCTGCATTCTGAATCCTATTGGTCTAGGACCAATCAGACTGCTGCATTCTGGGTCCTATTGTTCTAGGACCAATCAGACTGCTGCATTCTGAATCCTATTGTTCTAGGACCAATCAGACTGCTGCATTCTGGGTCCTATTGTTCTAGGACCAATCAGACTGCTGCATTCTGAATCCTATTGGTCTAGGACCAATCAGACTGCTGCATTTTGGATCCTATTCAACTCAGTACATAACATTGTGTCTCTACCTCCCAAAGGCTTGCACAGCTATTTGTTGCAGCAGCCCTGGCTACAAGCTCCGCAGGTGAATGGTGCCTCGGGCTGGTCAGGGGGCACTGGTTGCCAGGAGTTGAGGCGGCCTCGGAGTAAACAGACAAGTGGGCGAGGAAGCCCAGCCAGCCAGTCCGCCAGCCCTTGCTGTTGGGAATGGACAGATAAGTGGGAGGCTGGCAGGCGCTGCGCTGGCCTTTCTTCTGCTTGCTGTGTGCAAGGTCTGCCTGGGAGCTAAGTGCCCAGTGCTGAAGGAGAGCCTTTCTGCCATACAGGCCTGGCAGCGCCCACTGCTGCCTCCTAAGGTAAGGTGCTGGCCTCCTGTTCACCTTTGGCCAGTCTCTGTTGCGCCACTAAGGCTGGGGGCATCCTCTTCCCAGGCCCCTGGTGGGCAGTGTCAGGAGGCACCTCTCTTGGGGGCTGGAGGGGGCAGCTAAGAGATCGGGGCAGCAGCTGCCCAGAGGACTCCCAAGGAGAGAAGGCTGAGGGAACACTCCACAAGGGAGGGTGTTCGAAAAAGGGTGAGAGCTCTGCAGGCAAGGGGTGACATAGCTGGGCTTCAGAGCCCCACAGGGGTGCCGCAGAAAGAATGTAGCTGGCCAAGGGAGCCGTCAACTCAAAAAGGTTGGAAACCTCTGGAATAGGGAGATCATATACCACCAACTGCCCTGTGACAAAGATCCAGGAGACCAAGGTGGCAAGCAGGAAGGAAAAATGTCCTCAGAGCCTGTTCCCACCCTCCACAGGGACATCTCCCAGCAACTGCCCAGCGGGAAGGATCCCAAGGGCTTCCCAATTTCTTGATATTGCTTATTGCGTATTCTTTTAGATGTCGTTTCATGTTACTCGTAAGCCGCCTTGGAAAGATTTGCATCTCCAACAGTGAAAATAAACAACTGCGATGAACAAATAAATTGCACATACCAGTTTCTCAATCCAATTTCCTGCCTCTCTAAATCGATCTGAGGACTGTCGAGACAAAGCAGGATTGTACTGGACGCCCATAATTTTGAAGTTGCTGCTGAAGTAGGTTAATCTCTGATCTGCAAAAGAAAAAGCGGGGGAATGATAAGGCCTCTGTTGTGTTAGAAAGTCCACATCCCTCCAGAACCACCAATAAATACATACCACTAAATATCTCAGAATGAGCATGCGGGGAAGGGGAGAACAATTCTCTCTCCCTCTTGCCACACTTGGCTACCTTAAGCCATTCTCTTCCCCTGCTCAGGCTCACCAGACTTCTGGAATTGGGCCTGGGAAGGTGTAAGTAACCTCAGCTGTTTGAAAATGGCTTAGAACTTTGAAGGAAGGACCATAGCTCATGGCAGACAATGAAATTTGCATGGGAAAGATTGCAGATCTGATTCCCAGCATCTCCAGGTCGGGCCAGGAGATAATCCTGAAACCCCAGACAGCTGCTGCTGCTGAGCTGGACTTGGTATAAGGCTATTTCCTATGCTCCTATAAAGCAGTGGTTCCCAATTAGCTAATTACTGAGGGCCCCCCTATTTTTTAAAAAGCCAAGCCACGGACCCCTTACTTTTGATAACTCTACGGTAGTTACCTCTGCAAAGCACTTTTTGGAAGAAAATGTCGGGTATCCCCTAATAAGCAAAGGATCGTAGGTATACTAAACAAGCATTTCCCAACCTTGGGCCTCCAGCTGTTTTTGGACTACAACTCCCATAATCCTCAGCTAGCAAGACCAGTAGTCAGGGATGATGGGAATTGTAGTTCGAAAACAGCTGGAGGCCCAAGGTTGGGAAACACTGTTAACTAAACAACAGAGTAGGGCTGAGCAATATCTGGTTTGCAACATCGTGATATATCAGCAGCTAAACAGATTCCGATATATCACGATGTCTGAAACAGGAGATCAGGCGTGGAGATGAGGGAAGGAGCGGCTGTGGAGATGGAATGGGTGGGGGGAGGAGAGGAAGCAGAGTCACCTCGACCTCATGGTTTGAGTGCGAGGGGATGGGGGATGCTTCAAGCCTTCATCAGTGGGGCAGCCAGCAAAGATGCATATCCACTGTGGCTGCTGCTGCTTTCCTGCTGACTGAGAAAAGCTGCTCTGCCTCAGTGCCAGGGCATGGTAGTGCCACTGTGCCTTGTGAGGGCAATTGGCTGCCCTGCTCTCTGTCAGGATGAGGGAAGGCAGCCCAGATCAGCAGTGCTATCGGCTGAGATCATTGCCAGATTTACATATAAGTTAAAGAAGCTATAGCTTAGGCCCCCACTCTCTTGGGGGCCTAAAAAAAAAATAAAGGGAAAAATAAACTGGATGTACATTTCCAGAGGGATGTGGGTGGCGCTGTGGGTTAAACCACACAGCCTAGGACTTGCCGATCAGAAGGTCGGCACCCCGCAATGGGGTGAGCTCCCGTTGCTTGGTCCCTGCTCCTGCCAACCTAGCAGTTCGAAAGCACATCAAAGTGCAAACCTCATTCTCTAATGGAGGGAGACACCCAAGAGGTGTGTGCCAAAATCAGCCCTATGAGGACTGTGCATGCTCAGTAGTCATGGAATGCTGACTGATAGTTAGGGGAGGGGCACTGGCCCTACCATTAGGCAGGTGGAGGTGATCAAAATAGTGAAACTATAGTGGAATATAGCACAAGTTTAGCACTCATTATGATATTATTTGCAAACGGGGTTGTTTTTACGGAAGCCAAAAACATGGAAATGAGCGCTAAACTGGTGGCTATACAGTGGTACCTTGGGTTAAGTACTTAATTGGTTCTGGAGGTCTGTTCTTAACCTGAAACTGTTCTTAACCTGAAGCACCACTTTAGCTAATGGGGCCTCCTGTTGCCGCTGCGCCGCCGGAGCCCGATTTCTGTTCTCATCCTGAAGCAAAGTTCCTAACCTGAGGTACTATTTCTGGGTTAGCGGAGTCTGTAACCTGAACCTGAAGCGTATGTAACCCGAGGTACCACTGTATTCCACTATCATTCCAGAAGTGGCTCTTATGTAGTCTGGAAGCCCAAATATAACGCAGAGCCTAACAGGGAAGTGTCATGAAAATTGAATAAACTGTCATGTGAATGCAGCCTGAATGCCAGTATAAGAAGCTGGCTGGTTATAGCTCTGAGTTATCTTTGTCCTGCATCAAACAAAATTAATTTTCTTATTCCTATGGCAGACATTGTTTATCTGCACCAAAAGTTCCTACTTAATTGTGACACCTTCAGTTTCCCCAGGCGGGAAAGAGTCAGCATCCGGAAATAAATAAAGCCCTTAATTTCCAAACTAACTGCAAATGAGATTTTTAATTATTCTTAAACAATTGCCAACGCTACCTTTTATGGGGGGTGTTTTGAATTCCATAATTTACCTGTGCATTGTGTGAAGGAATTCTTTGTTTTGTCTGTCCAGAATCTTTCAGCATGCATCTTTGCTGGATGCCACTGAGTTCTAGTACAGTGGTACCTCGGGTTAAGTACTTAATTCGTTCCAGAGGTCCGTACTTAACCTGAAACTGTTCTTAACCTGAAGCACCACTTTAGCTAATGGGGCCTCCTGCTGCTGCCACGCTGCCGGAGCACAATTTCTGTTCTCATCCTGAAGCAAAGTGCTTAACCTGAAGCAATATTTCTGGGTTAGCGGCGTCTGTAACCTGAAGTGTATGTAACCTGAACCGTATGTAACCCGAGGTACCACTGTACTGAGAGAGGGAGAAAAACTTCTTCCAAGTCACTTTCTCCACAATATGCGTGGGACATTAGGGGATCATATCAGAAACTGGGATAGCTTCTGTAATTCCGGGACTGTCCCTGGGAAATCAGGACACTTGGAGGAGATGGAGTTATTTGCAGCTGCTTGTATGGCGACTCCCCACTTCCAAAAATCCGAGAAGAGCTTATCTGTGCAAAGTCGGAATCAGGGCTGGATTTAGGTTTGATGAGGCCCTAAGCTACTGAAGGTAATGGGGCCCTTTATATGTCCAGCTGTCCTTTGTCAACAACAAATTGTCAGTTTTTTGTGTTGAATATATGCTATATGGTAATTTATGGACCTACAGTCATACCTCGGGATAAATGTGCTTCAAGTTAAGTATTTTCGGGTTGCGCTCCATGGCAACTCAGAAGTAACGGAGTTCGTTACTTCCGGGTTTTGCCGCGTGCGCATGCGCAGACGGTCAAAATAACGTCATGCACATGTGTGGAAGTGGCAAAATGCGACCCGCAGTTGCATTCGCTTCAGGATGTGAACGGGGCTCCTGAGGTACCACTGTAATAGGTATCTAAAGCCATTTGCACATAACAAAATAACCAGTCCATGCAGAATGTAGGCACCCTATACAGTGGTACCTCAGGTTAAGTACTTAATTCGTTCCGAAGGTCCATTCTTAACCTGAAACCGTTCTTAACCTGAAGCACCACTTTGGCTAATGTGGCCTCCCTCTGCCGCTGCACGGTTTCTGTTCTCATCCTGAAGCAAAGTTCTTAACCCGAGGTACTATTTCTGGGTTAGCAGAGTCTGTAACCTGAAGCGTAGGTAACCCAAGGTACCACTGTATATAGAAATGAGCAAACCAGTGATATTTTAGGGAGCAGACTAGTAGGTGGGGCCCATTACTTACATATCATAGGAGCCTACACAACACAAAACACTGTTGCTGTATGTAGGTTTATTTTATATCTTATATTTTGGAAATGCACATCCAGGTGTTTTTTTCTTTGAATTTTTTTTGGGGCCCCAAGAGAGCAGGGCCCTAAGCTATAGCTTGTTTAGCTTATACATAAATCCAGCGCTGGTCAGAATGACAGAATGTGGAAGGCAGCGTTGGCAGAGAAGCTAAACCAGAGCTGCAGGTCGGCTCGAGGTGACATACTGCACAAGAGAATAAGTTTTCTGGTTTTCGTTTATTGCATGTACCAACACAGTCCTCAACCTATCAGATGTCTTTTTGGTTGGATTTACTCACCAGCTAAACTACGGCTAGCGCTGTCCTGCTATGAACTGCATTGCTTCTTGCTTGTTAATTCCTGTAAGCAAAACTGCAGACATGTCCTGCTTACATGTAGCAACAGGGTTATGCTGCTCCCTTGGGCTACAGAAGTCTTATTACCATAGATATTGCTCCCCGCCCCCTGTGATTCCTTTTTTTGCTTTTGCGCTGGCAGGCGGAGACAGAGAGAGTACTGTGCAAGGCCCAGAGAATAATTGAAATATTCTGGCATGTCCAAATGACAGCACTTGGCACTAGAGTGCAGAATCATATCCAGCAATTCAGCCTCTTGTCTGTGGACTTCCATCTCTCTAAGAACTGGGAGAGAACTGGAAAGCAAATAGAAGGTACTCTTACATGCCACCCCAATCTCTGAGCGGTGCAATATTTCTGGGATTCCAGGCATTTCCCCAGGGTCTATGTTTCCTTTTGGAAAATGAGGCACAGCGGAGACTATGTTGTCTTTATGGCCTATGTACACATGCAGAGATGATGGTGGCGCTGTGGTCTAAACCACTGAGCCTCTTAGGTTTGCCAATCAGAAGGTCGGTGGTTTGAATCCCTGTGACGGGATGAGCTCCCGTTGCTCTGCCCCTGCTAACCAAGCAGTTTGAAAGCACACCAGTGCAAGTCGATAAATAGGTAGCACTGAAGTGGGAAGGTAAAAAGTGTCTCCATACGCACTGGTTTCCGTCACAGTGTTCCGTTGTGCCAGAAGCGTTTTAGTCCTGCTGGCCACATGACCCGGAAAGCTGTCTGTGGACAAACAAACGCCGGCTCCCTTAGCCTGAAAGAGAGATGAGCTCCGCAACCCCATAGTTGCCTTTGACTGGACTTAACCATCCAGGGGTCCTTTACCTTTACCTTTACCATATATCCAACCTGAGCCTATGATGGAAGGCTTCCCAGCACCACACTCCAAAATACCCTTGCTTCACCCAGTGCTACGGCAGCCTTGGAGAACTCAGCCATTGCTCTCAAACATTGCTCTCCAGCCCATTGCTTTGCTATCTCCATTGCATAACTCCCAACTACAATCATAAACTCTCATCTAAAACACCAGCCTTGCTTTTTAAAACTAACTCTCAGTTGAAAGAGGGAGGGAAGGCCACTCATTTGCAAATGAGATTTGTCATTGATCCTTACTTGTCCTAATAGCTCCTTATCTCCAGTCTATCGCCTCACTGGCTTAGTCCTGGCTTAATTAGCTTTTGACACTTGTTGGTTCCAGAGGATTAGGAGCATCTAGTACACAGCTCAAATACACACATGGGTCAACTAGCCTATCTTAATTAGCTTTTGACATCCCAAGCCTTAATTAAATTCTAACATCTACTTGCCCGAAAAACGTAGCACCCAAGAACTCATAACAGTATATTAAATCTATGCTGGATGGTTTTGGCTGTGACAAAAACGAACATGAGTTTTATCTTTTATTTCAGCAGCCTAGAAATTAGTCTCTGGTATGCAAAGTTACTAAGGGATGTGGGTGGCGCTGTGGGTTAAACCACAGAGCCTAGGACTTGCCGATCAGAAGGTTGGCAGTTCGAATCCCTGCGACAGGGTGAGCTCCCGTTGCTCAGTCCCTGCTCCTGCCAACCTAGCAGTTCGAAAGCACATCAAAGTGCAAGTAGATAAATAGGTACCGCTCCAGCGGGAAGGTAAATGGTGTTTCCGTGTGCTGCTCTGGTTCTCCAGAAGCGGCTTAGTCATGCTGGCCACATGACCCAGAAGCTGTACGCCAGCTCTCTTGGCCAGTAAAGCAAAATGAGCGCCACAACCCCAGAGTCGTCCGTGGCTGCACCTAATAGTCAGGGGTCCCTTTACCTTTACCTATGCAAAGTGACTGTAACTTTTAAAGGTATTTTCCTCCACCACCCAAAAGTCAAAGCGGAGCAATTTCCCCTGACCCAGGATCCAAATTTGACTGTAGGGGTGTTCAGAACAGCCAGCTTAACACAATGCAACATTCCCACCACTGAATAACGTCAGAGGTAGTGGAAAGGTTTGAGCAGCAAGCTGCATTTCCCAGTGTCTCTCCATCAGTCAATGAAATCAGGAGATGACAACGGTTCCTTAGGTTCTCTAAGCTTTCCTCCCTCAGATTTCAGAGTCCTTTCTTGGGTTCCATGATCACTGCAGATGGTGACAGCAGTCTTCTTAATACTTCTTCTTAACTGTATGTCAGTTCAAAAATTACTTTGGTAAAATACATATTTTGTTACACACAAATGGCTTTAGATACCTATTAGGTCCATAAATTACCATATAGCATATATTCAACACAAAAAACAGCGACAATTTGTTGTTGACAAAGGACAGCTGGACATATAAAGGGCCCCATTACCTTCAGTAGCTTAGGGCCTCATCAAACCCAAATCCGGCCGTGAAGCCATGACTGTTTAAAGTGGCATGATACTGCTTTAAATGCACAGTGCGGATGGATAAAGAGGATTTGGCACATGAGGGCGCAATGCTCCTCTTGTGCTGGACTCTGCTTCGCCACTCTCCCAGAAGACCTGAAAATGGGTAATTCTAGACATAAAAAAAACAACAACAGCTCCTGAGATTCACCAGAGCTGCTCCCTGCATCCCACCCTGAATGACACATTTTGTGTGCAAAGCCCACCCAGGAACCAGAATGTTTGATTTCAGGACTTGGCAACTCCCGTTTGCTTACATACTTGGAGACAACGAAACATGTGCCACAATCCTACGATGTCTTGCTCAAGAGCAATCTTTGCAACTTGCACCGCCTGCCAGCCTTCTGCTTGAAATCATTTTCAGTGCCTTTAACAGCTTCGTGACAGGAGGACAGACAGCCGATTAAAGTCTTTCCTTATCACTGCATGCTCAGGCTGGAGAGAGAGAGCCTTCGCCTGCTGAACTCCTGTCACTTACCTCTTAAAGGCACTGATCCCCAGATGAGGTTAAAAGTTGACCACCTCACAGGAAGGACCATTAAATGACAGGAATGGCCTGGAGGATTTGTTTTCTGGGAACAGAAGCTGAACTTACTGGGGGGAAAAGAAGAGGGTTTTAATTTGGAAGAGAGCATTTGTGCGTGGAAACATCCAAAGGGCACCATTGCAGCCTGGCAATGAAAACGGTGGCATTCGCCTAGTGTCTGGGTGTAACTGGTAAAGCAGCACAAGTTGTGCCAATTTTCCATTTAGTGGGTGGGTGAAAAAAAATATGACTGTAAATTGCAGCAGCAGCTCAAGGTTGTACAGCAGGAAAAGTAGCAAGCCGGAGGATGAGACAGAGAGCTGGGCCCCTAACCTGTCTTTTGGCTTGCTTCATGCAGTTCCAAGATGCTTGCTTAAAGTTGAAAGAGTTGGGAAGAAATGTTAAGCATGTGTATCTACATGCTTGAACTTTTCGAAAAGAAGATTCTTGTTTCAGAGGAGAAGTGAGGCTATAGTGTCCATTATTTGTTGTTGTTTAGTCGTTTAGTCGTGTCCGACTCTTCGTGTCCCCATGTACCAGAGCACGCCAGGCACTCCTGTCTTCCACTGCCTCCCGCAGTTTGATCAAACTCATGCTGGTAGCTTCGAGAACACTGTCCAACCACCTCGTCCTCTGTCGTCCCCTTCTCCTTGTGCCCTCCATCTTTCCCAACATCAGAGTCTTTTCCAGGGAGTCTTCTCTTCTCAGGAGGTGGCCAAAGTATTGGAGCCTCAGCTTCAGGATCTGTCCTTCCAGTGAGCACTCAGGGATGATTTCCTTCAGAATGGATAGGTTTGATCTTCTTGCAGCCCATGGGACTCTCAAGAGTCTCCTCCAGCACCATAATTCAAAATCATCAGTTCTTCGGAGATCAGCCTTCTTTATGGTCCAGCTCTCACTTCCATACATCACTACTGGGAAAACCATAGCTTGAACTATACGGACCTTTGTTGGCAAGGTGATGTCTCTGCTTTTTAAGATGCTGTCTAGATTTGTCATTGCTTTTCTCCCAAGAAGCAGGCGTCTTTTAATTTCGTGAAGAAGAAGTATATTAATGGTGAAATACAATTAAGAAGAAGTATATTTGGGGGGGGAGGCCCAAGAGAGTGGGGCCCAATGCTATAGCTTGTTTAGCTTATACGTAAATCCGGCACTGCATGGCTTTCCCCCAAAGAATCCCAAGAGCTGTCATTTGTTAGCAATGCTGGGGGTTGTTAGAAGACCTCCATTCGCCCTGAGAAAGCTACAGTTCCCAGAGTCCCCTAGGAAGGAGGATTGAGCCACGACCAACTGAGCCACTCTGGGTTGCTCCCTTCTCTTCTCTTCTCTTCCCTCACCCTTTCCCAGACTCGGTGCCTTTAAAAGTTTGTATGTGCTTGTGTGTGCACACACACCAAACCGCATTAGGTAAGTTTTAATTCTCTAATCCAGAGACTTCCTATGTCGGAAGGCATACAGCAGAGTGGTTTGTGTAAAATTTCCATACAACCACTGGATAAATAAATGGGGATTCAGCATGAACTCAGAGTCACCCTGAAAACTGAGCTCTCTGTCACTTTTTCCAATTAAAAGTGCTCACAGTGCACCTAAAACAATGTCAAGTTACCACCTTTGCTCCTTGGGGATTGATCTTTAAAGTACTGAGTCTGAAACAGACCTGATGGAACCAGACCTTGCTATTCCCCTCTCTTTCACCTGTTGAGAGTTGTTCTCCTACTCCAATAAGTCTTGTCTCCTACTTCTTACTTTCATGAAGATACATCTACTCTTTCTTAGCTCCACTCTTGCAAACTATGTCTTCTGTTAAATTCGCACTACCAAAGAATAGCTCAAATAAGGTCTTATCCACTCTTACCTTTTACCCCACACTTTCCAGGCATGGGTAAGCACTTTAAAGCTCCGTGTCCAAATGACATTCCTTTTTTTTTTTTTTTGCCCCGGAGCCTTCCGCATGAAAACCTGCTCTTAAAAGTTGAAGCACTACAAACAGCAATTTGAGTTTTCTGTGGATCGCCATTTGCTCCGATTCAGCTGTAAAGAGTGGGGTTTTGCGAGGAAAGCTCCAGGGCAAGAAGCAGGGGAAAGCACTAAGAGATGTTTGGATTATAATGAGAGAATATGGGTACAGAGTATTCTACTTCTAAAATTCTAACCCCAACGGGGGACCCTGTCCTGTTTAGAAAATAAGCAGAAATCTGGCATGTAGTTGCAGATTCTTCCATCACACTGGGGCAATTATCGGGTTAAAAAACAACAACCCCTGCCCAACTGTTTCTTGGTGGAGGTACATACACCCTTTTTTATGCCAGAACTTTATAAATTGGGATTAAAGGAAAGCAGATCATCAGGAGCCCCTCTCCACATAGGATCCACTCTGAATTTGCAAGCCCAAAGTTCATGTAAAACAGCATTCCTCATAGCAATTAACAAATCAGACAGAGCTCAGGTTACTTACCCCTGCAGGCCCCAAAGATCATAGTTCTCATAGCCAAGGTGGGTTCCAGACCCAGTTTGGAATAAACCATCCACGCTCCGAGAACGTTTCTGAAATATGGAGCTCTTGCACCGACTGGTGTGACAGGCAGGGTAGATTGTGAATGGAAGGTCCTTCATTGGGATGTCTGTGGTGCAACACCCAGCCGTGTGTGGAAATGCAAGCTGTGGGTGAGCCAAAGAGTAAATCAAAACTCCAGGGAGATGTCAGCATGAAGGATTAGACTCTGTCCTTCGGAAAAGCACCATGGAAAATCTCATGTAGCTATATAGGAGATCAGTCAAGCCACACTAGCCACAGCTTCCAAATTTCCCAAGGTAGAAATGTGCCACCAGCTCTGCGTTTTATAAGCTATCGCTCTCTGAGGAGATTTTCTGTCACCATTGCTCCTTCCTTTTTCTTCTTTCAGGGATGCTGGATAAAATAAGCAAGCAATGTGAATACAGTCCAGTTGTCTCCAGCTGCTCACTCCTCCACAGATAGTCTTATGTCGTTCCTATTACAGCTCTATGTATCTGATCTCCTAATTATGTGTTAGGCTCTCCAGACTGGGAGCCTCCTATGGGAGGTGCTTCCCATTCCACAGGGCCACCTTCCCATTCATTTTAGCCCCTTTTAGGTGGGAACTTTGAGCCACGTGGCCTCCCCTCTACGATAGCTTCTGCCCTCAGGTGCGGCAGAAGTTACTGCCCCATTTTCAGTGTTGGAAATAAGATTCACCTGCAGATCCAATAATCTTCTATCCATGGAATGAGGGCGTCATCTTGCCCTCCATTTCAGGCAGCAAAGGTTACTGAGCCAACCCTGGGAGTCCTTTTTTGAAGCTATCTGGATGTGTGTATTTGCCTACATAAAGAGCCCAGAGCAAATAGGAGAGGACAGGAAGAGGAATATGAGCAGAGAAGTATTTAATCAGCTGCAGTATGCTTAACTGGATGTTGCAGAGATTTAGCAGGAAAAGTGTCTTTATCAGCTTTATTCCATTTGCTTTTTTATTTTTTAATTTAAATAATAATAATAATAATTTTTATTTATACCCCGCCCTCCCCAGCCAAGGCCGGGTTCAGGGCGGCTAACAAGCAATAATAAAAACAAGCTGAATGATTACAACTTAAAAACAAAATTAAAATACAACATTAAAAATGACTTTAATATAAAGCTAAGTCATCTGAGCAAGAAAAGGGATAGATTAGTAACTATCTAATGTAACAACCTGTGACACGTGAGAACAAATTCTAGACTTGGGTGTTTTCTTCTGGTAACTCAATTTCCCTACATCTCATTTACTACTTTTGTCCCCTGCCTCTCCTTCAAGGAACTCTCTCAGCCGTGTGGGTGAGGCGCTGTTACCCCATTTTATTTTCATAACAACCAGGTGAACTTCATGGTAGTGTGGTGATTCGAACCCAGGATTTCCTTGTTCACACCCAGCCCATAACATCACATTGACATAGAGAGATATTTTTACGTTCACCCCTCTTCTCTGAGCAGCGAGAAGTTCCAGAGCTACACAGCTTACCCAAGTTTAGTTTCCCTTGGGAGGAGGTCACCGAAGGTGTATACTGTTTTGTAATATTTGAGTTGTTTACAGGTTGAGCATAGATACAGTCTGAGCACAGAGGAGGATGCAACCCTCCAAGAGACTGCTTAATCCTCACGTCAGATCTAGAGGGAGACAGAAAGTCCCCATTGATAGCTTAGGGAGTATCCCACAAACCCCTAGTTTTCTCCTCTATCTTGAAATTGAAGCTTGTTTGGTTTCACAGTTCTGCCTTCACAACAACATGGACACATTCCATCCATTAAGCGTTTTCTGCTTAGTATGGAAAGAGTTCCCAAAATATGAAATATCCAGAAGCTAGCAATCTGCAGGAAGAAAACTTTTGTTAGCAACCCTCAGCAGGAAGGAAACATCTCTGTCTCCATTTTTGTAACCCCTGTTGCTTAGGAAATATGCGCTTCATTCTAGGACTGTAGTAGAAATGGGAGGGTGTGTTGCCAGGGTGTCTCTGGAGGTGCACAATGCAGCAATCTACTAAAGACACATAGGCTCCCGGGACTGGGTAGTTCCTTGATGGAAGATAGCCTAGGAACACTATGCTCAATCCCTGTCACTTGCTAAATAAAAATTCCCCAGCTCACTTGCCTTGTCAAATGAAGACACCAGCCAAGAGTATAGGAGCGAAAGAGCAGCCAGTAGGCCTGATCTTTATTTTGCAACAAGACTTCAAACTACCACATGGAAGAAGCAGAAAGAAGCCCCCAACAAAGGATGGCTCTTCTTTTTATAAGTTTCTCAAACTACACATAACACCCTTCGTAAAACATCATATATTGGTCATAACTATGTCATAAATTAAGGGACTTAGGTGGCGTTGTGGGTTAAACCACAGAGCCTAGGGATTGCCAATCAGAAGGTCGGCGGTTCAAATCCCTGCGATGGGGTGAGCTCCCGTTGTTCAGTCCCGGCTCCTGCCAACCTAGCAGTTTGAAAGCACATCAAAGTGCAAGTAGATAAATAGGTACCGCTCCGGCAGGAAAGTAAACGGCGTTTCCGTGCCCTGCTCTGGTTCGCCAGAAGCAGCTTAGTCATGCTGGCCACATGACCCGGAAGCTGTACGCCGGCTCCCTCGGCCAATAAAGCGAGATGAGCGCCGCAACCCCAGAGTCAGTCATGACTGGACCTAATGGTCAGGGGTCCCTTTACCTTTACCTTTATGTCATAAATTAGGAGGGGTCTTCTGACAGATACCTGAGCACCAGGCTTGCCCTTTCCCACATCTGACCTCCGCCTCTCACCCTTCAGGTGAAACAAAGGTAAGTATTTACATTTTCCTGTTTTCCCAGCCGAGTTAAGCACACCCTTTTGTCTTGACCAAGACCCCAAAACCCACTGGAGGCTGGGTTTGCTATTATTCTTGGAATGACTACCTGTCTGGCACTCAGGTGTCAGGATGCCACCAATTTTCACCTGTGATAGGAATTTTATGGTCTTAGATATATGGTAATGTTCATAAGCATACCAACCAAGCACGTACATAGATCAGCACAGGAAGACCGACCTGAAGCCATTTTGATTCCTAAACTGAGCAAATGTTTTCTCTGCAAGGTCAAAGTGGAAAAGCCTCCCCATTGTCTTTTCCTTCACAAATCCTGTCTTAAGGGTATGTCTGTGTTTGAATAGGGTGTGAGTATTTATCATTACAAAAGACTAGCCAGGCTCCCCAGGAAATCCAGTCAAGTAACCTGCCAGACAGGAGATAAACAACGACAGGGGAAAAACAACATTCAAATTTCTGTTTAGATGGCCTTTTCTGTGATGTAGGTGTGATGTATCGGAAGGGTGGTCTTAGGTTACACCCCTTTTGTGATGTATGTATGATGTTTCTGGGGGTGGTCTTGATCTACAGGGTGGCAATTTCAAAAGTCTTTATAAGGCCTTGTGCAACATTGTTCTGGGTTCTTCCTCCTCTCCTCCGGGTGAGGGGAGCACCCTATTGCAACAGATCAATAAAGATCAAGCTTACTAGCTGCTTTGCTTCTCAATATTCTCTGGTTGGCCTCTGTTATTTTCTCCTACCAATAGGGAACCTATGTAAGGACTCTATATGGGCTCTTGGATAAGGGAAAAGGGCGATTTTTGTTTACAACACACCCAGTTAGTGGGGCTGCTGAGTACGTGGTCTTATGCTTCAGGGATTATGGCTGCCCCTAGCCGTATCCCAAGCTTCTCCCCTGGTAGCTATTTCCCTTCTGAGTAGAACAATGTTGGAATGGTATAAATCCATCACTGGAGTGATTTTATATGAATTCCTAAAGTTTTCCCATTGAGCCAGTACATAGATACATTTATCAGTGAATTGCTCATTTGGTAATGTGCAGCAAAAGCTCTTTGAAGAGTGGGGTGGGGAGAGGTCTCTCTCACACACACCCTTCAATTTACATGCTCCCCAGAGGAAAGGGGTTGATAATTAATGATTCACGGAGATAAAGTGGCATGCATGTGGGAAATGTTAGCCACTTTCTTTCTGCCTTTCCAGAACTGCAGGAAGGCATTTAGCAAAGGAAGAACCAAAACAAGAATAAAACAAGACAACCTTTAAAAACAATCCCCAAATCTGCATTGGCACAGTGTACAAATTGACTTTGAAGTGTGCTCTGAAATCGACTAGAAGCTGATGGAGTTCCTTTAATTCCCACAAGAACTGTTGTGCTTGATGTGGGCAGCGGAGAAAAGGTGGAGACTGCCTCACTATCCTGACCCTTTCAGGGAGAAGGAAGAGGAAGACAGTACAGTGGTACCTCAGGTTACAGACGCTTCAGGTTACAAACTCCACTAACCCAGAAATAGTACCAAGAACTTTGCTTCAGGATGAGAACAGAAATCACGTGGTGGCGGTGTGGCAGCAGCGGGAGGCTCCATTAGCTAAACTCCGGTCTTGAAAGACTTACACTGGCTCCCAGTACGTTTCCGAGCACAATTCAAAGTGTTGGTGCTGACCTTTAAAGCCCTAAACGGTCTTGGTCCAGTATACCTGAAGGTACCTCCATCGTTCTGCACGGACACTGAGGTCCAGTGCCGAGGACCTTCTGGCGGTTCCCTCGCTGCAAGAAGCCAGCTTACAGGGAACCAGGCAGAGGGCCTTCTCGGTAGTGGCACCCGCCCTGTGGAACGCCCTCCCACCAGATGTCAAAGAGAAAAATAACTACCAAACTTTTAGAAGACATCTGAAGGCAGCCCTGTTTAGGGAAGCTTTTAATGTTTAATAGGTTATTGTATTTTAGTGTTTTGTTGGAAACCGCCCAGAGTGGCTGGGGAAACCCAGCCAGATGGGCGGGGTATAAATAATAAATTATTATTATTATTATAAAATGGTACCTCAGGTTAAGAACAGTTTCAGGTTAAGAACAGACCTCCAGAACGAATTAAGTTCTTAATCCGAGGTACCACTGTATAGATTTACAACAGGGGTTTGAGGGAGATAGCAGCTCAGAGGCAGATGAGGGGCAAAGTTGGGAAATCATGGGAGGGGGGAGGCAGGACTGGAACAGCAGTCGGCTGACATGGTGTCTTTAGAAAGCATTCCAGACCCCTCATCTCCCAGAACCTGGAGGTCCTTAAAAGTAGGAGAGCAAAGAGCTCAAAGACAGGGGGCATGTAGCAACACCCGTAGAAGTGATGAACGAGGAATGTGGGAGAGGTGGGGTATGTGTGTGTGTGTAGATTCACTCGGGACAACACCATTATCCAAGAGGCTGGGTTCTATAGTCTCTCTCTGTGAAGATTGAAATAAAAAAGGACGGTAAGATACTTTCCCTTGTCTTCATTACTTTCCTGGGCAACCAGCCAGGAGCTGCTGACAGCAGCTTGACATCATGAGATTTGGACAAGATCTAGCAAGATTTCAACAGAATTTGGAACCAATGCTGGTGGCAGGACAGGCGAGGCACCCCTGTAGGCACTGTCTGGGGGCTTCTTCTGCTTCAGGCGGCTGCTTCACCCCACCTCCTGGTTGGACCAGGCCTGGCTACATGTGTGTATGAGTGGAGTTTGGTGGAGAAAAGCTGTCCACTGTGTTGAGCCCTGGAAATAGACGAGTGAGCTGAATGGTTTCTTTTTTAAGACTCCAGAAAGCCCTCCTGTCCAAACGAGAGCATCCAAATAAGGATGTGATTGCATCCTACTTGACATTTCTTGGGCATAATTGGTCCACCTCAGGAGGCAGTCAATGGGAGGAAGCGTGCAAAGAAGGGTTTCGTTTATCTTCCCTTCCATCACAGGTGTCTCTACAGATTTGATGCAGAATTTGAGGGTGGGTTCTATAGACTCTCTCTGTAAAGACTGAAATAAAAAAAGGATGGTAAAAAACTTTTCCTTGTCTTTATACTTTCCTGAGCAACCAGCTGGGAGCCACTGGCAGCATCCAGCACTGACTGTCAAAAGACCACTCATTGAGCAGCTAGAGTGGGGATTTGTCCGAGTTCTATCAACTCCTAGTTTGACACCTTACCTATTACAACAGACTTTCCCAACCTGGTGTCCTCTAGGAGGCAGTCAATGGGAGGAAGGGTGCAAAGAAGGGTTTCGTTTATCTTCCTCTTCCATCACATGTGCCTCTAGGGATGCTTACAGAATTTGATCTTCGTGAATTCTAACGCGACCTGACCTGATTCACACCTCCTGACCCAGTGCATGGGTTGGAATGTAGTTATCTCTGTGTCTTTTAATACATCACGGTGCCATGTATTTTCCCACCAGTGACAATGATGGAGAGAAAGGGTGGGGGAGCATACAGCCTAATGATGTTAGGGCCCTTTGCAGGGTACCTATTACCTTTTTACTATTTTGAGTGGCGCTCTCCTTTTGCTGTTTAATGATGCCTGCGGTGTGCATGTCAGCACAAATCCCCTTGCTTTTCAAGAAAGGGTGGTTGATGTGTGTTGATAATCTTTCTATAATTATTATGGTAATTTTTTTAATAAATAAAAAACACACACTAATGAGCTAGATGTCCACAAACTGCATAGCTTTTATGGAATTTAACCTGGAACATATCCAAGAACTAGTCAATGAGCTCTGCTGTGAAACCACCCCCAAGTTCATAAAGAAGGAGTGGGTGGGGGCACTGGATGGAAAGCCCCCGAGGGAGTTCGGATCTCCTGGACGCTGTCCCCGCGAGCACACCAAGTTCCATTTCTTAAGATGAAAAATTGGATTTAAGTTTTGGACATGCTTCGAGTGAGGAGGGGGGAATTAATCTGCCAATTAAGCCAGCCACTGAGGTGCCAAGAGTGACAGAGAGGAAGAAAGATAACATCTAAGAGTAACATTTAAGTTGGTATGTTGGAACGGAATGGAAAAGGAGGGGGGGGTAAAGCCTTTTTTACTATGATTTATTACAATACCTGACAACCGCCCCCCCAGAAGAACCGTTTACATTATTTACAGCAAGTGAGATTAGAAAATATAAACTGTGTGGAAACAACAATACTATATAATTAAAGCTTTTGTTTTTTGAATTGCTTGGAAGAAGATAAAAGACCCTCCAAATATTGATATTAGAAAGAAGCAGGATCTCGTTAGCCGCTGGAGAGACTTCAAAAAACTTTGGATGGACTCTAAGACCAAGCTGCAGAGATAAATAGTCATAGAGGGAGGTGAGCTCTTAATTTGTTATTATATCTGCACTTTAAGTCCGATTTGGCAAATCTCCTCTGGAAAGGCTAATGTTTGATGCAACCGGTCTAGGGAAATTAATGAGCAAATGCCTAGATTTGATTTCATCGGAACTGAGAGAAGATGGCGTCTGCCAGCAGCGAAATGACTTTTGGATTGATTCGGCATAAACACCAGCGTGTGAGGAGACACTGCAACAATAGGAGAGTCAAGTACGCAAAATTCACACATCATTGCTTACTTTAACTCGCCTGTGGAAACAACTCAGAGGCCATGAAAGAAGGAAGGTTAACAACAGGAAGATTTAAAGGAACTATTGGAAACTCAAGGCAGCAGAGATATGAGATTATCAGAGGCCCCCCCCCAAACTTGAAGCATGGGAAGTCCCAAAAAATTTTTGGCAGAATATATGGACTATATGATATGTATTTGTATAATTTGGAATATTTAATGTGATTTGATTGGATTGTTAAAATGGAAAATTTAATTAAAAATTATTATTATTATTATTATTATTATTATTATTAAAATGAGCTCTGCTGTGTACGTCCCTAGCTGACCGAGATTTCTTCCCCAAAATCTGAAACACGATCTGCATTAGTGATCCTTAATGGCGCTCCAAGTTGCTTAAAATACCAGCAGGAGTCAGAATAACAGTAACACTAATCTGCATCACGATAGCAATAAACTAAGCATCACAATAATAGCTTATAAGCAGCATGTGGGGTGGCGACTTAGAAAGCCAGCCCATAATGATATTTAATAACTTCAAACTGCAGCAAAGTTAAAAGCTTGCTGGAAGAGAAAGACATTCAAGTGCTATGTTCTTGCGACAGGGAGTTCCCCGTATGGGTGCTGCCATAGAAAAGGTTTCTCACACATTCCTACCAACCATACCACAAAAGTCCTTGACGCATGGAGGAGGCCTAAAGGATAGGCAGAGTCACATAGGAGGAGACAATCTCTTACGCAGCTTGCATGGAAGCTGTCAAGGACTTTAAAATAATAGCAAACACCTTGATCCGCACATAGAAATGAACTGTAGCCAATGACAGAATTTTGGACTGCCAAATTTTGCACCAACTGATGTTTCTGAGTGGTTTTCAAGGGCAGCACCCAATCAAGATACACACAGACTTCTCATAAACATGTGAGTGAGGTATGCAGATTTCACACTAAGGACAGATCTACACAATACATCTAAAACATATTCAATGCACATTTAAGGTGCATGGCTTCTCCCAAAGAATCCTGGGAACTTTAGTTACTTCCTCACTTCCCGGCACCCTAAACAAACTGCACCTCCCAGGAAACTTCAAACAACACAACACAATTGGTTGTGTGGCATTGAGAATAGATTGGAGGTTCTGCGGATTACATTGGGATACAAAAACAAAAGGAATCACTTGATCAAAACAGTTTGGCAAGTCTCTGTGATTCCAGAGGGAGGAATGTGGACTATTTTTGCAAAAAAGAAATACCTCTTCTTTATTTTTTTCATCAGTCACTTCTCTTTAGACAACACTTCCTTTCTCTATTTCTCTCTAAGTTCCTTCCTAAAATTGCAAAAAATGTTAGCAAGTAGGGGAAGAATTTCTATGTACTATTTAAAGGCATCAGCTTCTTATATTCTAGGTTAGAGATGGTCAGCTATTCTCCAGACCAGACACTTGGGCAGGTTTCCTCAAACTCAGCCTACAACTTGGCCTACAACTCCCATGATCCCTAGCTAGCAGGACCAGTGGTCAGGGATGATGGGAATTGTAGCCTCAAAACATCTGGAGGGCCGAGTCTGAGGAAGCCTGCTCTTGGGGCTGACCTATTCAAAGGAAGGTACCTATCATTATTAATTCCATGTTTATCCCACTATTCTTTAATCATAATAATTTTATTATTTGTACCCCGCCCATCTGACTGGGCTGCCCCAGCCACCCTGAGTGGCTTCCAACATATATAAAAAGGTAAAGGGACCCCTGACCATTAGGTCCAGTCGTGACCGACTCTGGGGTTGCGGCGCTCATCTCGCTTTATTGGCCGAGGGAGCCAGCGTACAGCTTCCGGGTCATGTGGCCAGCATGACTAAGCCGCTTCTGGTGAACCAGAGCAGCGCACGGAAACGCCGTTTAGCTTCCCGCCAGAGCGGTACCTATTTATCTACATGCATTTTGACATGCTTTCAAACTGCTAGGTTGGCAGGAGCAGGGACCAAGCAACGGGAGCTCACCCCGTCGCGGGGATTCGAACCGCCAACCTTCTGATCAGCAAGTCCTAGGCTCTGTGGTTTAACCCACAGTGCCACCCGCGTCCCTCCAACATATATAAAAACATAATAAAACATTAAACATTTTTAAAAACCCTTCCCATACTGGGCTGCCTTCAGATACCTTCTAAAGGCTGTCAAAGGCAACTATGGGGTTGCGCGCTCATCTCGCTCTATAGGCCGAGAGAGCCGGCGTTTGTCCACAGACAGCTTTCCGGGTCATGTGACCAGCAGGACCAAACCGCTTCTGGTGAACCAGAGCAGCGCATGGAAACACCGTTTACCTTCCCGCTGGAGCGGTACCTATTTACCGTATTGGCCAGAATATAAACCGCACCTGCAAATTAGCTGCACCTTTAAAATTCAAGGGTGGGGGGAGAAAGAAAGACAATACCCAAATATAAGCCACACCCTTAAAATTCCGCAGACACTCACACCTGTAAATGGCAAATGTAGAAGAAAATCCTACAGCGATACCATAAAAGCCCATTTTTGTCAGGTTGTGAATTTAAGCCACACTTTAACTTTTCATGGTCGGAATTTGGGAAAAAAAGTGAGGCTTATATTCAGGCCAATACGGTATCTAGGCATGCTTTCAAACTGCTAGGTTGGCAGGAGCAGGGACCGAGCAACGGGCGCTCACTCTGTCAAGGGGATTCGAACCGCCAACCCTCCGATCGGCAAGCCCAAGAGCCTAGCGGTCTGGACCGCAGCGCCAATCTTCTACTAATATATTTTTATTAAGGAGCTCAAAGTGGCACATGTCATTAATGCCCCCCCCCTATTTTTTACAAAACAAGTACAGTGGTACCTCGGTTTAAGAACAGCCGTGTTTACGAGCTATTCGGTTTACAAACTCCGCAAAATCGGAAGTAGTGTTCCGGTTTGCAAACTTTACCTCGGTCTACGAATGGAAGCCAAACGGTGGAAGGTAACCACCAGCAGGAGGCCTCATTAGAAGAAGAAGAGGAGGAAGAGGAGTTTGGAATTGATATCCCGCTTTATCACTACCCGAAGGAGTCTCAAAGCGGCTAACATTCTCCTTTCCCTTCCTCCCTCACAACAAACACTCTGTGAAGTGAGTGGGGCTGAGAGACTTCAGAGAAGTGTGACTAGCCCAAGGTCTCCCAGCAGCTGCATGTGGAGGAGTGGAGACGCAAACTCGGTTCACCAGATTACAAGTCCACTGCTCTTAACCACACCACACTGGGAAAGCGCGCCTTGGCTTAAGAACAGATTTGGTTTAAGAACGGAATTCCGGAATGGATTAAGTTCGTAAACTGAGGTACCACTGTAGAGGTGAAGGAACATGCTGCTATGTATCTTAGTTGCTGCTCCAGAGACACACACGTTGCAGATAACACTGGCAAAAAAAATTAAAGCCACAATACTGAATCTTTCAGGTTCAATGCTGAAAGACACATTGTGTATCTAGGCCAAAATGCTTGTTTATATCACAGACGTTTCACCTCTAGTAAAGAATGTTGTGGATCTCATTGTGAAATCTGTGTCTAGTCCCTCCGTGCCACTACCCTATCATGTCTAGAAGGGATAGGTGAGGTGTTTTTGAATGGGCTGCTGCCACTTGATGGCAGTAAAGTTCTATAGCAGCCTTACTAAGTGCCAAGTTGATTGGCAGCATCCTGGCCTCGAGCCAGAATTTATAGTCGGAAGCGACTCCAGAGATCACCATTTGGTCCAACTGCTGCATCCAGGGTCTGTAATATCCTTGGCAGATGGCCAGTCATTCTCAGGTCCTTTTTCTATCGACAGTGTATTAAACAATGAATTAAACAGTGAATTAAACAGTGAATTAAACAATTCTTAGCCATTCTGATGCCTTCTTGATGCCAATAAGATGATCTCCCAATCAAATGTAATGGATTAGGAGCAGTGCCGGATTTACGTATAAGCTAAACAAGCTATAGTTTAGGTACCCACTCTCTTGGGGGCCCCCCAAAAAATTCTGAGACTTTGTAAATTGTGTTTCTAAAGGCACTTTTGTTATTGCCAAATGTCAAAGTGTTTGCATTATTAAGTTTGTTATAAATAAAAAAACATTTTAAGTTACAGCTTAATAATTATTTCACTATTAATATATTTCTTCCTAATTGTATTTCAGTTCAACAGTTACTTTGATAAAATACATATTTTGTTATGTGCAAATGGCTTCAGTTCCATAAGTTAGGTCCATAAATGACCATATAGCATATATTCAACACAAAAAACAGCGGCAATTTGTTGTTGACAAAGGACAGCTGGACATATAAAGGGCCCCATTACCTTCAGTCAGTAGCTTAGGGCCTCATCAAACCTAAATCCAGCCCTGATTAGGAGGGATAGACATCTTAACTCAGGCATCCCCAGCCTGCGGCCCTCCAGATGTTTGGCCTACAACTCCCATGATCCCTAGCTAAAAGGACCAGTGGTGAGGGAGGATGGGAACTGAAGTCCAAAACATCTGGAGGGCCAAAGGTTGGGGATACCTGTCTTAATTGTTGCAGAGTATAAATGCCCAAGCTTTCCGGCAAGTTGCTGTTGCTAACGTTTATGAAATTTGTATATAACCAAAGGTTCGCCTTGATGTTTATAAAAGTTATTTTAAAAAGGTTCCTGCTCCTGAAAAACAGCCCGGATTGTGTTTCTATTTCCATAATTAGCACTGGTGACAAAGAAAGTGCATCTACCTTTGCGTTAAAATTAAGTAAACCTCCCACTAAAATACAGGATGCCAGAACCCGGATTTCTGCAAGACCTAATTTTGCACCGCAATGGTAGGAAATTCCTATCCTATCTTGCATTATAGGCAGCAACAGCCAAGGCAGTATTTGATTAGGCTGATGGGAAGTGACAAAGGTGTAGATAACAAAGGCAGAGATAATTGTGGGAAATGCAACCTCAATTAACAACATGAGTAAAAGTAAAGGTGAAGGTACCCCTGTTAGGTCCAGTCGTGGCCGACTCTGGGGTTGTGGTGCTCATCTCGCTTTATTGGCCGAGGGAGCCGGCGTACAGCTTCTGGGTCACGTGACCAGCATGAATAAGCCACTTCTGGTGAACCAGAGCAGTGCAAGGAAACGCTGTTTACCTTCCCGCCAGAGCGGTACCTATTTATCTACTTGCACTTTGACGTGCTTTTGAACTGCTAGGTTGGCAGGAGCTGGGACCAAGGAATGGGAGCTCACACCGTTGTGGGGATTTGAACCGCCGACCTTCTGATCGGCAAGCCCTAGGCTCTGTGGTTTAGACCACAGCACCACCCGCGTCCCCAACATGCAACCGGAGACTGTGCCTGCATACAGTCAACCTCTCCTCCACTCTTTTCATGTCTTTTCAGACTCTGGGGGACAAGGGGGGGCGGGGAGCTTGTCGCAGCAAGAGAGAGAGACACTGATTACTTTTCAGCAGCCTGCCTTATCTCTGCCTCTTGGCCTCCCTCCTCTTCTGCTTCAGCTCCTGCCTCTGATTCTGAACTTCTGTCTGCCACAGACTCTCCCAGCACACTAAACCCTGTTACCTCTTCAGGCTCCAACATCTCCTCCTCCCAGTCTTCTCCCGTTTCTCCCTCTGACCAGGGCCTTGCAGAGTGAGGCAGAGGCCCGGGCCAGGTAGATAATGTGGCCCCCTTTTTTTTACCCTGGGGGATAACTGAAGTCTTATAAATAAGTAAGTATATAACATAACTTTTTTTATAATGTATTGTAATTTTAAATACATTTTACAATAAATACATTATTCATTTTAAAATGTACAGTGGTACCTTGGGTTACATATGCTTCAGGTTACATACGCTTCAGGTTACAAACTCCGCTAACCCAGAAATAGTGCTTCAGGTTAAGAACTTTGCTTCAGGATGAGAACAGAAATTGTGCTCCAGCGGCGCGGCGGCAGCAGGAGGCCCCATTAGCTAAAGTGGTGCTTCAGGTTAAGAACAGTTTCAGGTTAAGAACAGACCTCTGGAACGAATAAAGTACCACTGTATTAAACAATTTTTAATAGTTCAATAATGTATTTAAATTATAATTAAAACTTCTCCGTCTTCTTATTCTACCCTTAAAAAAGATGTATGCTTGTGAGAAAGCCACTATTGCTCAAAAGCCGCTATTTCTTTAAAAAACAAGGTTTCCACCAAATTTTATCCTCATTGAGCTATATGTACTCCTCAGGTGTAAGTAATATTCCTGGCCTAGTCAACAAACGGCCACATCTTCATCAATTTTTCATCATTTTTTTAAAAAAATTAGCGATAAGAAAGCCAGCACACTTATCTTTAAGGTACGTGTGGTTTTAATTTTTGGCAAACAATTTTTCAAACAAAAACTCACCAACTTTTAACAGCATGAAAAACATGGTCCACCATCAAGTTCGTGGCACGCTGGCTGCTGGAGCCTTGGTCGCCTCCACCCACCCGGCGCCTGTTCTGCACTCCTCTGTGGAGCCAATCGCAGGCCCCGCCCCGGATGCCGGGAAAGGTTTTCTCTTGCGCTGCCAGCCATGGCCCTAGGGATTGCGCCCACCGCCGCCGCCTTTGCGCCTCCACATTTGCCCCAGTGCATCCCCTGCAATTGTGAATATGCTGACGGAGGCCCCATTTGGAATTGGAGGCCCGGGCCAAGTGGCCCATATGGCCCCCCTCCTCTGTCTGGGCCTGCCTCTGACCACTCATCGTCATCCCCCTACTACTCCTCAGGCTCTGAGCTTTCTTCCCTTGGTGGGTCCCTAGCCAGTGCCTCCCACCGCTCTTCTGCGTCCAACCAGTCCGTGACACCAGCAAACATGTCTGCAGCCTCCCTGGCTGCCTAGGCTTCCTGATCTGGAAGAGCCTTCGGGGAGGAGTTATCTTATTCTGTCTTTCCCTGGGAAGTGCAGGCACCTTGGAGGGCTGTAGAGTGCAGACGACCAGGGAGACGATGAAAGAAAATATTCTCACATGCACCCCTTGACGATCTCAAAAGCCAGTTGAGTGCACCCAAAACCTATGGGAATTTCACTGAAATCTCTATCCCTTTTGATAATTTTCAAACAATATTTCTTTTCTCACTAATTGACTGAGAATAGTTTTCATTTTCGTTTCAAGTGCAGGAGAAGGTTTTGGCATAGCACAAGCGTGAATAGTTTTCTTGCCTGCTAGCCACTCCCCCCCAGGATCTGGCAGTGACCAGAGGGATGAGTTACGTTCCTGGCTACTGGGCTTACTGTGTCGTTCTGGAAGACCGAGAATGGATCTACACAGATATTTAAGAAAACGCTGTGAAAATGCTTTTGTTAAAAATGTAAAATATATATGGAATTTGCCATTAGCTCATCAGTGCCATCTAGTGTCACGTTTGTATAATGCACTTAAAACGTTATAGCTGCAACTATATAGCAGTGCCCTCTTGTGGATTGTCACTGCAATAGGTGTTGGCATCTGTAGGGAAGAATCTGCTGGCCTGCACACTTGTTTATGCACAGTTTGAGCAGTAATCAGCCTAGCTGGGCTGCAAGATGGATAACGGTGAGCCCAACATTGACATGCCATTCTCTTTTTCCTACAGAATAAACTAAAAAATGCAGTGGAACAGCAGGTCCCGATTCTTTATTTGAATCTGCCGTGGGTAATTTGTAGCTGGACAGCAAACCTATGATTCCAGAGAAGCAAGAAGTAAACACGTATCTGTTTTTCCTTCATTTCTGCTACAGGAGAACCCCTGCAGGAGTCCACAAGCGGCATAAGGCTGTATCATCCATCATAGCTGTCAACCGTCCCTTATTTGGCGGGAAAGTCCCTTATCCCAGTGCTGTGTCCTGCTGCTGTTCCTTATTGATGATGTCCCTTAAATTCCCTGGGTTTCAAAGGAAGCAGCTCCTCTCCCTCCCTGCCAGCCAGGGAGGAGGGAGGCTCCAACTGTGTTGCTTGGCTGCGTTGCTCACCCAATAAGGAGTCTAAGAACGACTGGGGGGTGGAGCTTGCATGCCTTGTGCCGATCAAATCGGCCGCGTTGCCTGGGGACTCGCCTTTGCTCAGCGCTTCCCAGCGGAGAGGTGATGGTGGTTTTCCTTGCTGCATCCCCTTTGCTGGGTTGCTGCGCTGTGGGAACCACCGCTTGAGGCTTCGTTTGGCTGCTGGCTGGGCTTTCTGCCTTTGGCTCGGAGGGGCTCAGAAGTTGAACATACCTGTGCTTGGAAAATTCCTTATTTTGGCTGCTGATCCCTTGTTTTCGAGGCTGCTGGTCCCTTATTTTCAAATCTGTAAATTGACAGCTATGTCATCCATCCATATCTGACAAGCAGGGCCTCTTGCGGTAATCCAAGCCATGAAGGATGATGAGCTGTCAGGTGTGAGGAGAGACTATGGGGATGAAGGAATAATGCTGGGGTTTGGGCTGGAATGTCTGCATTCATAGAATCATAGTATTGTAGAGATGGAAGGGGGTCATCAACCCCCTGTAATGCAGGAATCTTTTGCCCAATGTGGGGCCCAGACCCACAACCCTGAGATTGAGTCTCATGCTCTACCAACTGAGCTATCCCAACGATCAATTAGCCGGCAGGGCAGCCTTATTGATTAATTCTTACTCTTTAACCGCAGACTATTATATTCTCGCTTGCTGGCGAACAACATTTGTTGCATTTTCCAAACACAAGGCATAGTTTAAAGGAGGTGGGAAGGAAAACACACCATGGACGAGCTATTAAAAAAAATAAAAATGAGTAAAGCTTGGCTGCTCCCACCTTAATTCTGTTGCATCACACAAGGATCTCAACATGCGACTTGAATCTTGCATCAGATTTGCAGAGGAGGTGGCAAGCAAACAACTTAGGTCTCAGGTATACTCCCAGCAAATGACTGCCCAACGAAGGAAGTTAGAATGGGAACGCAAGGCTTACATTTGCCTTTAAGCCAGGTGCTCTCCTATTTATGTGAACATTGCAGTCGTTGCTATTGCTATTGCTATTGCTATTGCTATTGCTATTGCTGAAGAGATGAATTAAAATGCAGATAAACGTTTTGGCTAATGAAACCACAAAGGCAGCCATGCTGGTCCGTAAGAAAAATACTTTGAAATGCACAGTTTTGCATGTTAGTGTTATGAGTTTGGGGGCAGTAGGCTGTATGCCTGAGCCCCCTTCTAATTCCTGGATTCAGCACTGATTCAATTCCTGGAAAAGCCAGGCTAGCTTCCTGGTGAGGCAATGGCTCTCTAAGTATGGGCCAGTCAGGTAACAAAGGAAGTGGCTGTGTGCCAGACAGAAAATGGGGGGGGGGGGGTCCTCAACTCTCTGGTAGTTAGAAAGACAAAGGCCAGCGTGGGGAGTCTGAGTTTTGTGAGCTGGAAGCAAGGCTGCAAAACCATGCCTGATTTTTTGCTGGAATCCAAGGCTGTGGCTATTGGAGAAGCAAGTCCCTCGTGGGATGTTAATGCTGCGAGCCCTCTGTGGGGCACCTTCTCAAGGCCCTGATGATGGCAGCAAGAAGTCCACCAAGGCCCCTCAGGTGCACAGGAAGCAGAGCAAAAACACGATACTGGTTTGATGCTTGCAGGCGCACCACGCATTGTGAAATACAATGTGCTCATAGAACCTTTTGTTATGCTCTTGGGTGTCAGGACAATGGATCTGAGGGGAAACTTGACATCAGAGCAGGGCCGTCTTAAGCATATCCGGCGCCCTGGTGCAAAGATCCCTCCGGCACCCCTCCCTTTCTCAGAATTTAGAACTCGGGGCCCAACTCGCGGACCACCTCCTAGTCCTGGGAGCCGCTGCCCACAGAAGACGCTGTCAATGTGGTGGATGCGGTGTGGCTGGCCAGACCGCCAGAACCCCATGCTCGCTTGCGGGGCTCCAGGGTGCCTCCTCCTCCGCTGCCTGACGACAGCCTGCTGCCAGCGCTCTCGCTGCTGCCCAGCGGCCCAAGGGCCTGAGGAGCAGGAGGCAGTTGCCACACCGCCGCCTGTGCCCCGGGGAGTGGTGGTGGTGGGGCGGCGGGCACTGGTGACGTGGAGGAGGCCCCTCGGGAGCCGCTCCCACCACTGCCGCTCCCACCGCTTCCTCAGACGACGACAGCGGCTGATGGGATTCCCACGGCTGAGGGGGAGGAGGAGGAGGAGGCAGCCCGTCCTCGGCCACCGCCTCAGAGTTGAGGAGCGGCTCCTTGTCCACTGCTGCCCGTGCGGCTGCCACAGAGCGTTTATGGGAGCAGCACAAGCAGCAGCAGCGCCAATGCGCCCGCCCACAAATGGGGGGTGGGCCGAGGAGGGTAGGAGGGAAAGATGGTTGGTGGGGCACAGCTGGTGGCATGCAGGGAAAGGGGAGGCCGCCGGCAAAGCTGGGGCACCCCTGAGAGGCCGGCGCCCTGGCGCAACGAGCCACTAAGTCCTATGGGAAAGACGGATCTGCATCAGGGTACACTCAAGGTAACAGAATACAGTGGTGCCTCGCAAGACGAAAAGAATCCGTTCCGCGAGTCTCTTCGTCTTGCGGGTTTTTTCGTCTTGCGAAGCAAGCCCATTAGCGGTTTAGCGGATTAGCGCTACAGTATTAGCGGGCTTAGCGGATCAGCTGATAAGCGGCGGAGCGAGCAGCTGATAAGCGGCTTAGCGATCAGCTGATAAGCGGCTTAACGATCAGCTGATAAGCGGCTTAAGGATCAGCTGTTAAGCGGCTTAGCCGATCAGCTGATAAGCGGTTTAGCGGCTTGGGAAAAGGGGGGGGGAAACCCCCGCAGGAACTCGCAAGACATTTTCGTCTTGTGAAGCAAGCACATAGGAAATTCGTTTTGCGAAGCACCTCCAAAACGGAAAACCCTTTCGTCTAGCGGGTTTTCCGTCTTGCGAGGCATTCGTCTTGCGGGGCACCACTGTACCACAGTGGACTCTCTGTGCTTTCTCGATCTTCCTGCCTCACCCCTCTCCACCATTCCTGAGTTAAGGAGAACACAGGCAGCCTCTTGCACAAGGACCCGCCTCCCCCAAGATACTGGCTGGGATATTTGTGACTGGGGTATTTAGACTTGAAAGAGGGAGGAAATAAATCGGGCTGTTCCTAGTCCCTATGCGTAGTCATTGCCTTGAGCAAAACGGGATGTGAACCCCTTTAAAAAAGCACTGTCAGCCAGGTTATCAAAAAAGATACGGCAATAAGAGATCCACTGTATTAAAACAGTACAACTGTTTCACGGTTTGGCGACGTAAAGAACCACAAGCAAAACATTTCTTGCTGGTTGCAACTGTATTCCTCAATCTATTGCTCTCCTTGTAAAAAAACAAAAAACAAAACAAAACCAAGAACATGAAATAAAATGAGGCTGATGGGCATAGCGTAATTTGGCAAGGAATTGTGTTGGTGCCTCTGGTGGAGGCACCAGGCCTGCTCTGAAACCAGAACGGACCAAAACAATGGAGCTATATGCATCATATGTATATATATGTATAGTCCAAATGTCTTGGGGTTCCAGGCTCTGACATTGCCTGCCAATCCTCCTTCGCAGCTTCATATCCCAGTGCGGGCAGCAATCCATTCCCGATAGTAAGTTACTCGCGTGTAGACTCCAGGCTTGTTTGGCTTCGCACATTCTTCACCCCAGCTCACTATGCCGACCAGGTACCATATTCCTCTAGAATCAGGAGTAACCAGAGGACCACCAGAGTCGCCCTAGGAGAGGAAAGAAGACCATTTTTGATATGCATATTATTTGGTGCAGTGGGGTTTAGAGCAGGGCTCAGCAAACTTTTTGGGGAGGGGGCCGGTTCACCGTCCCCTAGACCTTGTGGAGGGCCGGACCGCATGCGTGCGGCGGAGGGGACTTCTCTCTCTATCCCCCAGCCCCTGCCTACCTATGCTGCTAACTTATGACCATTGCTCCACAGCAACTGATGTTATACAATTCCATTCACCATATAGATGGGGTATGTACTTTTGCTTTCATTTCATATTGAATTGACATTATAGTTAATGCGTACAGTTTATAATAATTTGAGTTATTGTAAGTTACCATGCATATGCAGGTCATCATTTCAATAATTAATTTGCAGTTTATGAAGCATTTCCGTATCCATCTGCTGTGCTGAAGAAGAATTCCACAAAACAGCGGGTACCGTATTTTTCGCTCTATAGGACACACCCGACCATAGGACACACCTTGTTTTAGAGGGGGAGAACAAGAAAAAAATAATTCTCCCCCTCTCTGCCCAGTGCCCCTTCAGCGAAGTGGCAGGAGGCGCTGCGCAGAGAGGGGGAGAATTTCCCCCCCCCTTGTTCTCCCCCTCTAAAACAAGGTGCTGTTCAAGGTGTGTTCAGTCGCTTTCAGGCGGCTACCTTGGAAGCCTGGAGAGCGAGAGGGGTCAGTGCACACCGACCCCTCTCGCTCTCCAGGCTTCAGTGAAGGCAACCCGAAGGCAACTTCGGGTTCCTTTCAACCTGCTCTTTGGGGCTGGCGGGGGGAAGCCCACCGCCAGCCCCAAAGAGCAGGTTGGGGAGCAGCGGAAAGGTGTGCAGCCTTCCCGCTGCTCCGCGAGCTTCTTGGGGCTGCCGGGGAAGCCAGGCCCCCCCCCCCAGCCCCAAAGAGCAAAGAAGCCAAGACAGCGAGCGGGATGTGTCCCGCTCGCTGTCTTGGCTTCTGCCATAGCCCCGCGCAACCTCTGCAGCCGGGAGAGGCTGAGCGGGGCTATGGCTTCTTTAGCCCCGCGCAACCTCTCCAGCCGGGAGAGGTTGCCTTGGATATTACTGATGATCATGTTGCCTTGGATATTACTGATGATTGTTTGCAATACAGGGGTTTAATTGTTTGGTTACAAAATGGCGCTCAGCCAGCTCAGCCCAGCCCCCTTCCTCCACTACGCAGGGCGTGGAGAAGCCAGGAGGAGGGACCATGGTGTGTGAGAGGACGGGGGAAATGGCGCCCCCCAATGGCGCCGCTGAAAAAAATTAATGGAAAAAAATTAACGAACAGAATAGATGATCCACAGAACATCCGCGGGCTGGATCCCTAGGGCAATTGGGCCGAATCTGGCCCGTGGACCATAGTTTGCCAACCCCTGGTTTAGAGCCACATGCTGGCTTTGGAGCTGCAAATTAGATACGTTGCATTAAAATGCAAGCTGCATGGATTTCTCTCCCTGCATCCCTCTACTATTAAGCTATTGGACTTACTTGGCAGGCATCGCTTCCTCCTTCCAGGTACCCAGCACAAAGCATCCCTGCCGAAATGGCGCCATTGTACACGTTCCATCTGTTGCAAATCTCATTGCCTATGATTTTCACTTCTGTTTGGCGAAGTTCACCGACGCTGGGACCTAGTTCCAAAATAATATGGGTGGCGTGAAATTTTGTAGGAAGCCTGCGGTGTAACACACATAGAAGCACCACATAACCCCACACCCCATGCAACACAGGACCACAGAGTCATCGTTCAGTTACAGAAGCACTGCTACCAACGCACTCTGAGCACTTCACCTCCATTGCAGGTGGGGGAGTTGTTAAGAGATGCCAAATCTGAAGCAAGGATCTCATGGTCTGATGCTTAAACTTTGCCTAGTGAGTTCCTTAGGCATTACGTGCTCAGCCCTGGGAGCCCTAACAAAACAGGGAGTTTGCAATGTGACCCTCTAGGATTGGCAATATGAAACCTCTGGTTCAGCCAGACTTGATACAGATACTCAATCTCTACCTCTCTTTCAAAACAGAACCAGTGAAGGCAGTGAAGGTCCTGTGCGAGTGCCTGGAGGCGGTTGGAGGATGGATGGTGGCTAATGGATTGAGGTTGAATCCTGACAAGACAGAAGTACTGTTCTTGGGGAACAGGGGGCGGGCTGGTGTGGAGGACTCCCTGGTCCTGAATGGGGTAACTGTGCCCCTGTGTGCCTTTTGCACCCCAAGATTATGGACACCTGCAAGCACATACGACCCCACCGGAGGGGTACCTAATAATCTACTTGCACTGGTGTGCTTTTGAACTGCTAGGTTGGCAGGAGCAGGGACCGAGCAACGGGAGCTCACCCCGTTGCAGGGATTCGAACCGCCGACCTTCTGATCGGCAAGCCCAAGAGGCTCTGTGGTTTAACCCACCCTTACTACTTCAACTTACTACTGATGTAAAAACAGCACTTACAGAAAAGTAGTAGAAAAGCAAAAGGAACCAGGAAAAGTGTGGAAGGGAAGTCATATGGTATTTGCATACATGCTGTATTTGGTATGAAGTTGTAAGTGAGACAGGGGAGGGGGGTTAAATATGCTCTCTGTTCCTCTTTTTGAAAATGCAAAGAAAAAAAGAATTGAGTAAACCTTTATGTAGACTATACATTAAAATCTGAAAATTTAATAGAGCTGTTTCACATTATAGTGTCACATAGTGCACTGGCGTGCTTTCGAACTGCTAGGTTGGCAGGAGCAGGGACCGAGCAACAGGAGCTCACTCCGTTGTGGGGATTTGAACCGCCGACCTTCTGATCGGCAAGCCCAAGAGGCTCAGTGGTTTAGACCACAGCGCCACTTGCGTCCCCTTTATGGCATTGGCACCTCAGGACCGTCCACCAAACCCAACTTCGGATCAGGTGCTTCTGAGGAGTAGCAGCCACTCCCACAAAGTGGGAGAGGGAGTCCTCTGGAAGGTTTGGGCCCACGCAGGTCCTGTTCCCCACACCCCTATGCCATGCCACTGCTTGTAGTGGCAGGAGCAACACCTTCCCTCTGCTTATATCTTTGCTCTCTTTGGATAACTCTTTGGAGATAACTTTGGATAACTCTCTTTGGAGAGCCAGTGTGGTGTAGTAGTTAAGAGCAGTGGACTTGTAATCTGGTGAACCGGGTTCGCTTCCCCGCTCCTCCACATGCAGCTGCTGGGTGACCTTGGGCCAGTCACACTTCTTTGAAGTCTCTCAGCCTCACTCACCTCACAGCGTGTTTGTTGTGGGGCAGGAAGGGAAAGGAGATTGTTAGCCGCTTTGAGACTCCTTCGGGTAGTGATAAAGCAGGATATCAAATCCAAACTCTTCTTCTTCTTTTCTAACTGGTGGTTTGGGATTGGACCTGCTATGGGAGAGCCCAGCGGGGGAATGTCACTCTGTGACTTGGAACCGGCCTTGCCACAGAGACTGCACCTTGAAAGTCAACGTCTGTGTTTAAGCTGAACAGATAGTTTACTGACCTTCATCTCTCAGAGCACCATATCCCGTGACGAAGCAGGTGGTGTTTTCTGGAAAGATATGCGACGCCTCTGGGAGACAGATGCGGTGCACGGCTGCCGTAAACTGAACTGGGTACGCAAGCTGCACGACAGCAATGTCAAACTCATGTCTCATGACGCTCTCGGCGTATTGCTCATGCACGATGATCTGGCGAAGGTTCCTTCTCAATAGTGGAGGGTTTAAACGGGCCCCAAAGCTAGCTGTCCAGCTACGGAGATCCCTCACTCTAAAACACATTTGAGAGCGGTAGAATAATCATCCATTCTACTCAACATGCATACAGAGTTTTATTGCACTCCAGCCTTTCTTAACAACAAGTTAATATTAAGGCAAAAGAGGGGATTGTATAGGGCAGAATTCTCCCCTTTCCTACTGATTTGGCTCCACAGTTCTCCCCCCTGAGGTCTCCCCGGCCAGAAATAAGTCTAACGTGGAAGAAAGAAAGCCAGGATGGGAGGAGAACCATGAGCAGGGGCAAAATAACTACTGTATTTTTCGCTCTATATGACGCACCGGACCATAGGACGCACCTTGTTTTAGAGGGGGAGAACAAGAAAAAAAAATCTCCCCCTCTCTGCTCAGCGCCCCTTCAGCGAAGCGGCAGGAGAAACGGAGCCCCTTCCATTTCTCCTCCCGCTTGGCTGAAGGGGCGCTGCGCAGCTCTCCCTCTCTGCTGAAAGGAACCCGAAACCTGCGGAGCGCAGTGGGAACTTGCGCTGCGCTCCGCAGGCTTCAGGCAGCTATCCCTGAAGCCTGGAGAGCAAGAGGGGTCGGTGCGCACCAACCCCTCTCACTCTCCAGGCTTCAGCGAAAGCAACGCGAAGCCAAGGAGCGCGGGGGGAGCGCTCCCTCTGCGCTTCGGAGGCTTCGCGTTGCTTTTGCTGAAGCCAAGGAGCCTGCATTCGCTCCATAGGATGCACACACATTTCCCCTTAATTTTTGGAGGGGAAAAGTGCATCCTATAGAGCGAAAAATACGGTAAGCATCAATTTCATATGTTTTGAACATATATATAGCTGGGTTGAGGTTGCACGTGATGTGATAGCTTACTAAAGATTCTGATTACTCATGTAATGTTGGTGCAGAACCTAGATACAGTTTTAGCAAGGCTGGGAGGTGGGGGGGAGAGATCTTCTCACCCTCTAAAGCAGTGAGCTGCAGTTAAAAGCCATATATCACCGATCAGTGTTGCGCCACAGCGATGGATGCCGTTCAGCTGAAGACTGGCTTGCCACGGCCACTCCCCTTCCACAGCAATGTTTCCTCCATAGATTCTCTCCACAGATCTTTCCACTCGTGTCCCACAACCTGCCAAAGAACATCTTCTTAGCCCAGTTTCATTCCCAACAACAAGACTTTTGTCATGATCTGAACATTACATATTTTGAAGAAGTACAGTCATACCTTGTGTTGCGTTAGGTTCATGTTGTGTCTTTTCGGCTTGCGAACATGGCAAACCTGGAAGTGTATATAGTCACACTTCGGGTTGAAGTTGCTTCAGGTTGAGCGTTTTCGGGTTGCGCTCTGCGGCGACCCAGAAGTAACGCAATGCGTTACTTCCGGGTTTTGCCGCTCGCGCATGTGCAGACGGTCAAAATGATGTCACGCACATGCGCAGAAGCGGCAAATCACGACCTGCGTACGCACAGATGCACAGAGGCGGGTTGTGTTTGCTTCAGGATGCGAACGGGGCTCCGGAACAGATCTTGTTCGTATCCAGAGGTACCACTGTACTTCCGGGTTTCACCGTGCGTGCATGCGCAGAAGCGTTCTGCGCACTTCGCACATGTGCAGAAGCGCTCTATCGTGCTGTGCATGTGCGCAGAAGCAGCACTCTAGTTACGGACTTTTCGGGGTGTGAATGGCACCCCAGAATGGACCGAGTCAGTAACTAGAGGTACCACTGTAGAGCGGCTTTTTAAACTTAGAAATCTACTTGCCTTCTAGTTTTAGAAAGATAACATAAAGCAAAGAAATCACCCTGATCCCCATGCACTGCATTTAATATTTCTACAAAACTCACTTTAGAGGCAGGGAGGAATGAATGGCAATCTGATGGGGGTCAGAAAAATTATCCAGCACCCGCCCCCCCGATCCCCAGGAGATCTCACCCCGGACTGTCTCCTTTTGCCCTTTAGGAGGTGAAAGAGATAATTCTGCCAGCAATGCCTAAGAAAAAGCAGTTGTGGTGGATGGGGGTGGGGTCTGCTTCACAATGTGACCTGATCCAAATTGGGGGCCCTTGTCATAATAATAATAATAATAATAATAATAATAATAATAATTTATAATACCCCGCCCATCTGGCTGCATTTCCCCAGCCACACTCTGGGCAGCTTCCAACAAAACACTAAAATACAATAACCTATTAAACATTAAAAGCTTCCCTAAACAGGGCTGCCTTCAGATGTCTTCTAAAAGTTTGGTAGTTGTTGTTCTCTTTGACATCTGGTGGGAGGGCGTTCCACAGGGCGGGTGCCACCACCGAGAAGGCCCTCTGCCTGGTTCCCTGTAACTTGGCTTCTCGCAGTGAGGGAACGGCCAGAAGGCCCTCAGCGCTGGACCTCAGTGTCCGGGCCGAACGATGGGGGTGGAGACGCTCCTTCCGGTATACTGGGCTAAGTTTTCTGCCTCATCTTCACCCCCTTTCCTGGCTGCACTTTGGTCCCAAAGGTGTAATTTGTAATAAAAAAACACCTTGGGGGAGCAATATTTAGCAAGGAAGAGATGTCAGGTCTCATTCTGACTTGGGAGCATTGTCCAGAATGGGATACTGAGACTGCCTTTTCTGCAAAATAAGAAAGCAGCCAGTTTTGGTGTGTGCTTTTTAAGTACAAATAACAGTTAGTTGGGTCCTTACCTGCTTAAGACAAATTGGCTCTATTTAAACCATTATTTTGTTAGCTCTGTGTTTTATAGGGGAGAAGAGTTGAAAGTGGTTTGAGATGTTGTAGGCACTCACCCCTGATTAGACATGATTTCGAAACAATATCAAACCCTTGTTTTCCATGAGCAGCTGTCTAAAAACCATGTCCAGCTCGTTGACAAAGCTATTTCCTCGCCTCCAGTCTTGATCATAGCTGTCAACTTTTCCCTTTTTTAAAGGGAAATTCCCTTATTCTGAATAGGATTCCTTGCAAGAAAAGGAAAAATACTATATAAAATACTGTATTGCAGTATTTTAATATTTTTTTGGAAGTCGCCCAGAGTGGCTGGGGAAGCCCAGCCAGATGGGTGGGGTATAAATAATAACTTATTATTATTATTATTATAAAAGTTGACAGCTATGGTGTTGATTCAGATTGTACACATCCAACCCCACATATAGCATGCAATAAGGAGGAAGGGATCATTAATTAGGAAACCCAACACTTTTTAAGGCCGCGATCCTACACATACCTCAAAATTAAGGCCCAACAAGCTAAATGGGAGTTAATTCTGAGTAAAGCTACTTAGGATCAGGGGTGGTAGTCAAGTAGGTTTTACACAGAGTAGACCCATTGAAATTAATGGACCCTAACTTAGTCATGCTTATTAATTTCAGCAGATCTACTCATGCCGCTGGCTTGAACAGCCTCAAGGTCAGCCTTCAACTAGAGATTTAAACTGCTTTAATATCTGCTCCCTCTTCCTGTGCATCCTAGGAAACTACAGCTTTGTGTGGGGTCTACTAAACCCCACACAAATTCCCGGGATTCCTTGGGGGAAACTGGTATAAAAATCAATAGACATGCCTTTCTGTTGCCCTTTTGCAAACAAAGGTTTTGACTGCACCAGAGTTTACTGTGTGTTTGCAGCTGTTTGCATTCCCATTTAAATTGCGCAGTTTGCATGGTATCACTCTCAAAGAGCACCAGTTTTGGGGGAAAGCCTGAGAGAAAGCCACTTCCAACCTTGGGAGGAGGTGGTGTTGTTGTGGGTTTCACGCCCCCAACACGCCCACGGAGGCTGGCTTCCAGCCCCACGCTATCAGGGGAATCCTCGGGCCGCGTCATCCCCTGGCCAGCCAATTGGCTGCCTCAGGGGGTGTGGCTTGCCTCACTTAAGGCAAGCACGGCCCCGGGATCTCCCTCTTTGGTCCACTCAGCTGCTGTTGTTTCCCACCCGCCCTCTCTTCAAGGTTCCCCTTCTGACCTTGCTATGGACCTCGGTTGGTCGCCGTTAGGGGCCTGATAGGAATTTTTCCACTTGGCAGATTGGCACCGGCCATTTGGTTTTTTGCCTACCTCATAGCAAATCGTCACAACTTCTTTGGTTTTGGCGGTTAGGCATTGGTAGGGGTATTGTTATGTAGATGAATGGGAGGGAGGAGCGCCATCACTTCCCCCGGTTAGTGAAGGGTAGTCCAGTAAAGGATTCCGAAGCCTATGGAGGCCAGGGCCTAAAGCGCGCCCCCGAGCGGTGACCCCGGGGGAGTCCCTAGTTGATGTGCATCAGCAGGGCTCCCCCTGCTGATGTTAACCCTTCCCGGTCTTCAAGCAAACAGGCTGAAGCCGGATAGTCGGATAGGACCAATGCCTAAGCCAATACCGCTCTTTACCTGTAACCAATAAAGCTGTGGCCAATTTTAGCCCATTAACCTAAAATAATTGTGTCATGTGTCTTTATTCCTACTGGTGGGAGGCGGGAACTCGCCACGCGAATCAGGCTCCAAGCCCCTCCAGCTGGGGTGGCAGATGATTTGCTTCAGTGGTTTGGGGTGGGTGACTGTCCAGCTAGATTTCTCTGAACATCTGGTTGCAGATGCGACAGATCCAGCTTCCGACCAAAGAGAGCCTAACGACTGTGTAACGCAACCATCATGGAAAACCTTTTCAAGAGAGACACAGCATCTTAAAATCCAGTTAAGTCTTCCCATCATTCCTCTGCCTGCAGTAGCAGCCCAATCAGGCTCCAGGAGGGAAGCAGAATCAGCCAATCAGATGGGACTCATTGTGTAAATAAAATACCGTATTTTTCACTCTATAGGATGCACCCGACCATAGGACGCACCTTGTTTTAGAGGGAGAGAACAACAACAACAACAAAATTCTCCCCCTCTCTGCCCAGCACCCCTTCAGCGAAGCGGCAGGAGGCGCTGCGCAGAGAGGGGGAGAATCCCCCCTTGTTCTCCCCCTCTAAAACAAGGTGCTGTTCAAGGTGTGTTCAGTCGCCTTCAGGCGGCTACCTTGGAAGCCTGGAGAGCAAGAGGGGTTGGTGCGCACTGACCCCTCTCGCTATCCAGGCTTCAGCCTTCCGCTGCTCCGCGAGCTTCTCGGGGCTGCTGGGGAAGCCCGGGTCCCCCCCCCCAGCCCCAAAGAACAAAGAAGCCAAGACAGCGAGCGGGATGCATCCCTCTCGCTGTCTTGGCTTCTGTCATAGCTGCGCGCAACCTCTCCAGCCAGGAGAGGCTGAACGGGGCTATGGCTTCTTTAGCCCCGCGCAACCTCTCCGGCAGGGAGAGGCTGCGTGCGGCTATGGCAATAACCCCACCTTCCCGCAAAATCCCACAGGAACCATGCACCCTTTAAGGTGCGTGCAGCTCCTGTGGGCTTTTCTACGAGGAGGGAGAAGGGACTGACTGGCCACATCAGTCCCTTCTCCCTCCTGGGGAAAAGCCCCCAAGAGCTGTGCGGAGTTTGTGTGCGGCTTTTGGGGGCTTTTCCTGCCTGCCTCCCCCCCTGCTATCACTCCATAGGACGCACACACATTTCCCCTTCGTTTTTGGAGGGGGAAAAGTGTGTCCTATAGAGTGAAAAATACGGTATTTAAAAGCCTGAGGTTTAGGGGGAAGTTCAACCACTGTTTTACTAGCTGCAATAAATCATTGCAGGACTCCGAGCATATTTCACTTAGTTAAGGAGTTAATTGCCCCGATTATTTAATAAGTGGCTCCAGCCGATTTGCGATAATCTTCTATCTAATTGATATCAAGTAGCCAGCGACAGGCGTGGACTTCTGTTTGGCAGCTACATTGGAGAAATGGACACAAACCAGTGTTAAGCAACAGCCCATAATCTCCCCTGAACTATACACTACTAGCTGACTCACGTGTCAGGCTGCACTTTCTCAGCTGCAAAGCAGCACCAGGAGGGGACGATTTGCAGGTGAAAGGCAGGAGTTACGGATTCCCGATCCAGACTATTAGGGCTGGCCCGCCCATGGGATGAGCTGAGGCAGCTGCTCAGGCAGCAGAACCCCAAGAGGCGGCGCCCCTCGGCCACCCCAAAACCCCAGGAAAAGTGGTGGCTTCTGGCAAGACCAGATCTTGCCAGAACCTGCCGCTACTGCTTCGTGGGCACCACCATATTATCCAGGTAAGGGAGGCTTTGGCAGTGGGTGG